CATAAAAAACCCAACAACTAATAGATCGTCAGAAACTATGCCATAAGGCTAACGTCATTCTAATTACTAGTAATCGGTTGCTTAGATCGATATCAATAAATACACATCAATTCTACAAACATTTATCTAAGTTTTGGTGTTTTCACCGCAAAACAAAGTCAATGCAGATATACTGAAGAGTGTTAACTCTTCTCGATCAGTTAAAGATATCCTAAGATATAGCCGCTTCATTAGTGGGAAACAGAAAGTCGTCAGTCAGCACCGTTTCTAAAAAAAAAAAAAAAAACAACAACAACAACCCAAAAAAACAAGACAAAAACAGCAAACAAATAAAACAAAAGCCCAAAAGAACAACTTTCGTGAACAGGAACATGTAGGGCGATACGGGAAATTTTTGAAAAACTGACTTAAATTGGGTAGGTGGGTAGGTTTGGTATTATGTGCATGGCTAGGGACTGGTTGTTGGCATACTATTGTCGAATTGCTTGGGATTTTAGCCTTTCGTCGCCGAATGATGGAGAACACTAGGATCAAATGTCCGTCTTTCAAAGAACATTAAAATGACTCAAGTGAGCGTCGCGTCTGTGCTAAACATTACGTCATCGCTTATCTTTCATCAAGTTGAAATCATTTCACTCCTAACCTTACATATTATATTGGATATTAACCTCTGTCCACTGTTCTAAAGGGCAGTTTCTTCAGGACGAAACTTTATACAACACAGGTTTCACTGTAAACAATGTATAACCGTTGTAATCTCGCCTAGCAGACATCACATAAATTCTATCATTTTCACCTTTAAAATTGCGTTCACTTACCTATATACTTATCATCCTTATGAATAATATGGTTTTTGTATCAGGTTTGAATGTAGTCACCTAACTAGGAGGTTTAACTGTAGCATTATAATCAGTTGACGGATTTTCTGTTGTATTAGTTTAAACAATATTTTATTTCTATTTTACAACATAAATATATACAGTAAGCAAATACAATCACACTGACATAATTATTTTGTGGATTGGAAAACAAGTCAAATGTGACTTATGTAAATTCCTTTCCACACATAATGTACTTGCAATAAAAAAATATGCACATACTTGGTTAGAATAATACAGAAAAGGGAAATCAGAAAAATAAAATTAAAATGAATAAATTTGTTAGAACATTATTATCTAGAGTAGTAAAATAAGAAAACTTCTGTTTCAAGATTATTTCATAATATTGGGAGATTACTCCAAACAATTTCTATAACAAAGTAAAATATTGTTTTTAACTAGTATTCAATTTAAGTAAGTTTTTTTTTCAAATGATTTTGTTTAGAATGTTTCGAAGAAAAAAGAGACAAAAATATTTAAATAAAGTTTTGAATTAAGATAAAGAATAGAGAATATAATTATGCCTGCACACAATATTATTATTCTGTTGTATTGCCAGTAAGATTCGTGGTTTACGAAAATGTGTGACTGCTCTAAGCTAAAAGTATCTCCACCCTGTTTTATTACCAGATCAAATCGTTTGTGCCACAGCTGATGAGAAATCAAAACATTGTATGGCCTTGACTTGAGGATATATATCTGGCCTTCGTGCACGTGAAAACGGTGCATGTTTACAGAGGCGTGAGAATTACACAACGTAAAAAACGTAAAGCTGTTGGAAATAAAACCGCACAATAAAATCTTATCATTTCCTTTGTATACTTCTAGCACTGAAGGCAACTTTCAATACTGTATATAATATGAAAAAGGCAAAGCCTCAAAGCGAGCTCGATGTACTTTTAACGTGAAATAGTATGAAATAATAGCTCATTTTTATTTCAAATGCAGTGACGAGTGCGTGTGACGTAACACGTACTGTGTTAAAAATGGCTCCGCCCATGTCGTTAAATGAATAACGAGTTTTGAAAACGTTTATAAAACTTTGTTTATCTTATTTCTCTCTATAATTTTCAAGCGAAATAAAGATTATTAAAAGTGAAATAAATGTAAAACTTTAAACGTTTGCGACATTAAAATAGCGTACTTGATTTGTTTGTTTTGCACGTGCTGTTTGGCGCTACATTGTGACGTCACGTAAACAATACTTTAAACGTCTGTACAGCGTTAACGACTGAATAAAAGATATTGGTGTTCGGATTCATTTTCTTAGTTAGACCATTTTCTTTCATTCTAGATAGTTTTCACAACAAAATTCGACAAAAAATTGTTTATTTTTTATCAGATTTTTCAAACAAAATGGCGCCTTCGATTTTCATTTTTTATACACAGCTTCCGTTATTCTGGTTCCCGGTCCAATTATGGTTCCCATAGACGTGCGCGGGTGACCAGTCTACACATCCGTTTTCAGTCAGAATTCCTCAGTTTTTACCGTTATCTTTAAATTCGAAAGGTTGCGATGTGTCCAATTTGGTACTTTGGACGAAAGTTTTCAAAACCATCACTTAGCAGGTACTCGCGTTACCGTAAAGCTCGCTTTGCGAGCAGGCCCTTCGGGCCAGCTCGTCGAGCTCGCTAATATGAAAAAGGCAAAGCCTCAAAGCGAGCTCCATGTACTTTTTACGTGAAATAGTATGAAATAATCGCTCATTTTTATTTCAAATGCAGTGACGAGTGCGTGTGGGGCCTCACACGTACTGTGTTAAAAATGGCTCCGCCCCTGTCGTGAAATGAATAACGAGTTGTGAAAACGTTGATAAAACTTTGTTTATTTTATTTCACTCTATATTTTTTCAAGCGAAATAAAGATTATTTAAAGTGAAATAAATGTAAAACTTAAAACGTTTGCGACATTAAAATAGCGTACTTGATTTGTTTGTTTTGCACGTGCTGTTTGGCGCTATATTGTGACGTCACGTAAACAATACTTTAAACGTCTGTACAGCGTTAACGACTGAATAAAAGGTATTGGTGTTCGGATTCATTTTCTTAGTTAGACCATTTTCTTTCATTCTAGATAGTTTTCACTACAAAATTCGACAAAAAAATGTTTTTATTTATCAGATTTCAAACAAAATGGCGCCTTCATCATTCGATATTTTATACACAGCTTCCGTTATTCTGGTTCCCTGTCCAATTATGGTTCCCATAGACGTGCGCGGGTGACCAGTCTACACATCCGTTTTCAGTCAGAATTCCTCAGTTTTTATCGTTATCTTTAAATTCGAAAGGTTGCGATGTGTCCAATTCGGTACTTTGGACGAAAGTTTTCAAAACCATCACTTAGCAGGTACTCGCGTTACCGTAAAGCTCGCTTTGCGAGCAGGCCCTTCGGGCCAGCTCGTCGAGCTCGCTATTAACATTAAAGGCCCATTATGCAAAAAAAGTTTATCAATTTTATTCTAAAAGTTATCATTTTTGATATCTTATAAGATCTAGTTATTACACATTGTTTGCAATATGTATGAACTTTTTTGTTGCTTCTTTTGTTCTGTTGGCAATCGGTATACTAGTAATTAGTGTGAATTAGTATTTTGTATGGAAGTCAAAATACTACTTTGTATACATTTTGCTACTTTTGCTACACGTTTATCCCTACTCTCTTCTGTTGATTAACATCTAAAATGCTCTAAATCCATTATCAAAGCATTATTAAGCAAATGTTTGATTTAAAAATATGGATTTCTGTGGCATTATGTGCCTTTAAAAACACAACAACAGCAACAACAACAAAAACTTTTGAGAGCTTTAACAGTACTTAGCAACGTGATCTTCGTAGACATAAAACGATAGACATAAATAAATAAATAAATAAATAAATAACTTTAAAATTTGATTTTATCAAATTGTAAGAAGCAGCATTAACTGTAATAACAACGAAACATTTCAGAAATGAGACCAATACATCTTGCTGCCTTTTTTTACGATCGATAATTGTTTTAATGATAAAAACCGAACGCCAACTTATTTAGCCAACTTTCTGATACGTATTGATCAGTAAAGAGATCTTTTTTTTTCCAAACGGACAAGAATTTTTGAAATAGCCTTAAATATATCTAGTTCCTTGACAACAAAGTCGTGGGATATAGCATTCCCTATGAGACAATGCGTATCATTTTAAATAACGGCTCGCATTTGCTTCCGTAGCGAAACAAATAAAGGGAGACAATACCTACCAGCGTTTAAATTTATGTCAACATGATTTACTTCCCATTATAAAGTAGATGTTTACATAAGGCAGAGATGCGTCAAGGTCTTCCATACCTATCTTCCAAAGTAAACAAACAAATCCACGCTATTTCGAAGATAATATATAAGATATACAAATCTATTAATTTGAACAACATCATCTTATTCTTTCGCATTAGATTTTTTCGCGCTGTTTTTTTTTACATGCCTAATGTAAACACTTACTTCTTGTTACACTTATATTTGTCAGAAGTTATCCTTTGCCAATAGTTAGTGCCTAGCTAACACAGTTTGCCAATTGTAGATCTTTTAAAGCTGTTATTCTACAACCCTTAACCTGATAAATATTTTAAATGGATTCGCCATTCTTCTTTGATCTGGAAAATCTATTATCACTTTTAGTGGTAATTTTGAAAAGTCTACTGACTGGTTAGCGAAAATGCAGACCACAAGCAGACGGCGCGAATGTGCCAACTGATCTTGGTCTGTACTGGTCGCATGGGTAGAATCAGTAAACCAGCAGGCATAGGATAAACGGGATCAAGTGACTTGTTATTCGTTTTAATTTATTTAAATAAGTTAGTAAATAAATGAATGAATAAATAAATGATTAACTTTGTAACTTTAAATTTTAATTTCCGATGTAAAGGTCGTTCGCAACAGCTGACTCCGGGAAAATCGATTTTTGTTTTACATTGAATACGAAGGGAATAGTTATTTTAAAATCCGAAAAATAGTTCTCCGCTCAGTTTTGGATACAGAAAAAAATATTTCCGATCTTCAGGAATTGTTAAGTCTAAAAAATGTTGAAAACATTAAAAAAAATTTTGTCTTTACTCCTTTAAATTCCGCCAGCTAATATTTGTCGGAAATTAAATGTTTACAATATCCTTTCGGTTTTCGGTTGCAGATATCGGCTAAAGATATTTTTAGAGCAAACAGCTGATTGCGTTCGCTTAAGCAGGACTATAATTGTAAAATATTCTTAACAAAGGGAATCGGAAATTTTTGTGTTAGTGACAAGATTGTTTGGTAAGTTCTTTTTATTATTATTTAATTTATTTATTTACGTTTAATATTTTCTGCTAAAATTTAAATCAGTGGATCTATTAAGTTAGATCTCGCTTATACCAGTTTTGCAGATGTACATGTATAGTAAAGCCTTAAAGCATATAACAAATTAATATAAGGAATAATCAATATTTCAAGCTTTTAACTATAAACTTCCTACATTTATTGAGTGAAAGGATACAATCTTTCTTATTGTTTTTCAAAGGGGAAGTCGGATCACGTGTATAATGCATACTCATTATTTGTACATGTATGTACAGATTGTAGATATGTATAAAGCAGACGGCATGGTAGCACGTGACTTAACATCAATTATTCAGATATCATTTATTTACTCTTTATTGTTTAATTTCGTCGAAAGACTCGACCATATGCATCGTCTGTGATGCAAAAACAAAATGTATATATCCAATTCCTATAAAATCGATTAATGATATCACACGTAAATGAGACTGCAGCGCGGGTGGCATTATCGATTTAGTGGCCGCTAACCAAATTCCATTGAGTGATAACGGTGCTATATCACATTGTATACAAATATCATTTATATCAGTAATATTTTCAATAATTTGTTTATTAATCGAACAAATAAATGAGATGATAATATACGTAAGAAAATCTCAAATACAACAGAATCGATCAATATATGGCTTCGAACTGCTCGTGAAAGATGAGCACAACCAAATCAGTGGTATTTTTATGGTAGCAAGGTCATAATATTAATGCTTTTGAAATGATTAGTCATCGAAGAGCTGATTTTGAAAAGGCTTTAAAACTGACATTATGGTTTATTTCTAACATTTCGGGTGAGATGTGTGGTAAGGGTGTGCGTCTTCCCTTTAAACCATTGTCAAAAGTGTCTTGACCCGAACAGCAATTATAATTTATATAAATCTCAGATTTATGACCGATTTCCAGCATGTGTTAGTAGTAAAGATTAATTTCTTCCTGTATAAATGACAATTTTGTTTTTCAACCGCATTTCAATTCTGTATTTATATAAGGGTAATCCTGTGTATTATTTTTAGATATATATTTGTCCCGTTAAAAAGATATCTGTATACATGTACATGTATCTATAAGTACTAGTAAGTAAAATAGGATAACGGATTAGTACTTAAATGTAATACACACCCCTTGAGTTAAATAACAAGATGTAACATTGTGTTCCTCGTAAGTAAGTTATCAACAATTTGTTTGTAATAAGGTAGTCTGTACATGTTTCTTTATTTGTCAATGCAGAAATTATCGTGGCATGTTTGATTTACACTATCCCGACACGATTACAATGTTGTACGACGATTGTGAACATATTCGGACTTAATTCGGACCTCGACCTTTCAACAAAGTAAGCCGGTCGACTTGATTCATGTTTTTTTATAGATATTTGCATTGCTAGCGTCGGTAAAATGCAATTGGAATGCAACGCAAGCATGCAGTCAACATATTTTAAGTTAAAAGTTTTGTTAAAAAGAATCTAGTTTAAATGCTTGGTAGTTGAATTAATTTTTAGCCTTTTTATTAATTTTAAGACTTAATTATTATAGAAAATGGATACATTAAGGTACATTAAGCCTCAGACACATATATGTTTTCTGTCTGTTAAAAAGGCACTTTATAAAAGTGTTATATATAAAGTGTAATAATAGAAATTGCCAAAAATCGTCTTAAGAAGGCAGCAAAAGATGACTCATAATAAGTAACGTTTTAGAAAAGAAACAAGACATCAACAAATAATTATTTTTTTCCAAATAGAAATAATTGCATAATTTTAGCTTACTGGGCTTAAACAAATGCAGTTAGATCATAAGTAGTCTGTAAATCTGAAAATGAAATTTATTAATGATCATTTTCTATGATAAAGCTTTTTCTGACGATAAAATCAACAACATCATCATCATCATCATCATCATCATCATTATCATCAACACCATCCTCTCCGTATCAGTCCTTCCATCTATTTAGTCTTACAGCAATAGTCGTGTTATTGTCACTGTCCACATCACCATCCAATCATCATCCAGCCATTATCATCATCATCCAATCATCAAATCCAATTATCACCATCCAATTATCATTATCATCATCATCATCATCATCATCCAATCATCATCATCATCCAATCATCATCCAATCTTTATCATCCGGTCATCATCGTCATCATTATCCAATCATCATCATCCAATCAGCATTATTATCATCATCCAATCACCATCATCATCATCATCCAATCATCAAATCCAATGATCACCATCAAATTATCACCATCCAATTATCATTATCATTATTATCATCATCATCATCATCCAATCATCATCACCATCCAATCATTATCCAATCATCATCATCCGGTCATCATCGTCATCATCATCATTATTATCCAATTATCATCATCCAATCACCATCATCATCATTATCCAATCATCATCATCCAGTCAGCATTATTATCATCATCCAATCATCATCATCATCTGACATGGTTAACAACAGTTTTGGATATCATATTAACAACAAGGTGAATCATCATCATACTTGTTTATAAGTAGCTGTTTATCCTTTTGAACTCGAGGTCAGCAGTTAGACAAGTAGAAAAACATATTGAGAATTCTGTTCATTGCTCGATTTTTCATGACCGAATTATTAACAACTAACGTTCAAGATAAAACACACTTGTAGATTATTATTTATGAACGCATTATCTCTGAAAACCTAATTTTGTTTACTGCACACCAAACTTTCGGCGTTCGTTTTGGATTTTTTTCGGTACATGTTTGTTATAATTGTGTATATAGGCAAATATAGTGGGTATTATACATGTAGGTGGGCTGTTGTGAATGTGTATAACAAAATAATAAAATAAAGCGTATATGTGACAATGAACAGGGATTTTTTTGGCTTATTTTGTAGCCGATATTTGGTCATATTCCCAATTGAAAATGGTATATTATTTTCCCAGTCCACAGGAAAAAATTACCAATTGAAAGTTACAAAATAAAAATATTGAATAACAAATTCTAAAAACTTTGAAAATAAGGGCTTCTTCACTGTTAACTTAAATGTTTGAAGATGCCATCCTAGACAGTGATTGTTTGTATTCATTTAATAACTGCAAAATTTTACTCATAATTTTTTCCCAATCATCGCTGAAATTCCCAATTCCATGGGTATGGGCCATGTTCCCAAAATCTTTGAAAAAAATCCTGATGAAATATTTCAACAAGGTGACTCGCTAAAATTTACATAATAGGGAATATGTACGAATGCTAATATCCCTCTTTTCTTATACTATGGTCATCTAAGAACACAAAACTTTACATTTTTCCTGCACACTGAACATATTTTGTGTTTTATGGTTTTAATTTTCACTTACACTTACACGTAAACCTACACGTATTATAATTATATTTACCAACCCATATAAACCCACACGTATATTGAACTGAAAAGTAAAAGTAGCATTTACAGTTAAAAGTTTGTATTTGTTAAGGACGTGTGAATAAATATAATTAATTTGAAATGGAATTCGTCTTCAAGATCAAGAGCATAGCAATTGATACAAAAGATTTTCTTGTTTGTCGACCAATACATTTTGTACATAAAAATTATCATCTAAAACATGCTTCTTTTGTATCATAACGGAGGTACGTGTTTCAAATTGCCTTTAAAGTAAAATGATTATGATAAAGTATACTTCATTGTGGTAAAGTGCTGTTTTATAGTCTATATTTTGCTTTTAACGATGCTGTATCATCTAGTCAGCAAAGTGAAAATGCTGACACGAAATTACTACATGCAAGCGAAAATGGATAAGTTATGTTAGTTAGTTGATATTACAAGACGTGAACATAAGCCTATAAATATAGTATTTCTTTTCATATACAAGTGTATAATCTTATCCGTAAAAGTATATATATCCGACTGCATAAAGATACGCAACAAATTACCATTATAATTTATCTTGATATACTAAGTGTAACTGAAATATTCTGTATGGCGGGTCAAATAACTATATATATCACGGTGCCTATACCACGTGACATGAAATAATCTTCATGAAAAGGTATTACTTTAAAAGAATTTCATTATTTTTGAATTATATAAGTGCAGAACCCTCTCATTCTGGTGGGCAACCCATACATAGAATGTTTATGGAAAAAATCAGTATACTTCACAGGAAGTGAAACTGGTTTTGTAACATTAAGATAATGTATTGTAAAGAAAAAAACCAACGCCCTCCCCCAGGGAAACATCGTTGAATAGGTGTATAGGTTTCTCGCTAGAATAAGAGGGCCCTATAAATTACCCCCACTCCCATAATGAAATATTAAAACAGTTATGGAAGAAAATAAAACTTGGGACGTCTTTTGTTTTGCAAAAAAATGTCACTTGTTAAAGGTCGTGTAGCCTGGGTTCCAGTCTGTCGATTTTTTATGTGCTTCTGTTCGGCAAATTATCAAATCACGATCGAGTATGAAATAGCGCGTATATTATGAATAAGCATAAAAATATCAACGCCTGAATCCCAAGCTATAGGCACCTTGTATAAATGCATGTATATAGTGAACTTTGAAGGTGTTCCTTATTTCTCACCATACATTCCTTGTGTTTTTGTTTCGTTTTTCCTCAGTTATAAGATTTGATGCTACACTTAATAATTCTAAATTGAAGCCTATATCTTTCCATACAGCCGAAAATAGACGGATCAGATCTTAAACTAGTGTACTTGGGGCAAATATTGAAAAAGGGCCAGTACAAAAGGGGAACATTCTGACTGATTTAGAAACAAGGACCGGTTTCACATACAAATAAATCTGTCTACAATCTGATAAAGAAAAATCAGTCTCCTAACTTGATAACGTAATGCAAAACATAAGAATGTCTGAAAATGTTGTCAGAATTAACTGTCTTCAAAGGTCATCATTTATAACATGGCTGTTGTTAACAAGTGGTCTATCAGCGCAGGTAGTTCTGTACACTAAGCATCCAAATTGCAAAATAGATAATTATGTTGATAATTGGTGACAGGTTATCTGTATGTTGCCTTTATTTGGAGATGGTCTTTAACCGCAGCTTAAACACAAGGTTGGCTTTATGTTCTTTTAATTAAATATCTAATTATAATCTAATTATACCCAGGTTATTTATAATAGTTTCTGGTATAAACAGACACTGTATTAAGACAAAGAAAGCTGCAACTTGTTCAAAATTATCAAAATTAATGGGAAAAGTAATTTTATCATTATTGTAGTCAAAACCACAACCATACGTGGGCTTTATCTTTTAACGAGTACAAGTATTGTTTAGTTAGATAATTATGACATTTTAAGTATACAAAATATACCCCAAAAAGTTTTACTTTTTAAAAGTTTACTTTTTAGGAAATATACTTTTGATATCTATAAAACAAAAACTCGCAAGTTGAAAAGAAGTACCTAAATAAACCACATTGAATAATTAAAAGTACGGCTGGTGGCCTGTAGAGGTCAAAGGGCCTGTCTCAACGCAGCCCCCCTGAGTCTTGAATTTTTATGACGTCAGAAGTGCTACGTTCAAGGAATCAGGCCCGAGAGCGGTTCATGTTTAAGCATTGTTTGACGGTATATTTGAACAAAAACAAAAACTGCGGTTTGAAAAGAACCAAACAATGTAATCTATACAAGCCTGCGTGCGAGTTGTCAGGGTCAAGGTCTGTCGCTTACAAGCCCTCTTAATTTTAGAGAAACTGAATGCGAACAGCAATGAAACATGCTGTCGAACGTCCATGTTTTTAAGCCTTATTTATAATTGGACTTAGTACAAAAAAATAAAAAAACCCAGTGTACAATCCGATCAGACTATTTCAGTTTTTTGCGTGATAACGATTTTTAATAGAATACCATTATACAATGAGCGACTTACATTCATATATTTAATAATAGTTCTACATCTAACGTCACTGTATTATCCTACATTTCTTTGTCGTCTGCCTGTACTTCCCCCTCCCCGATTATATTTGAAAAATATTAGATAGACTTTGTATTTAAAAAAAATTCCGGAAGTACATTTTAGGTTCAAACGACATCTTTTAATATCTATGTTTGGAAAATGAACAAAGGACTAAATTGATTACGTCAGTCTTCGTTTTAAAAAAAGGAATTAGGTACACATATACGTTATTGGTGAGTCATAACATATACGATATATACGCATTAATTAGTGGATCAAACAAAGAATATGTTCTCGTCTGCTATTAAAATAGAATATCTGTCAATCAGGGATAACACTGGGACAAGTGGACTAAAGAACGCCTGGTATTTCGAGACATGCTTGTAGGAGATATTGATCTAGGAAATGAAAATCATTAGAGCTGTAAATTTTGAAATGATATTTACTATACATGTGGTTAATTTGGCATACATTAGTATACAAAACGCGTGATATTTTGATCGAACAGAGGTACGCATTTTTTATTTAAATACATGTTCACCTCGAGGTTATTGCACAAACCACACGTGATCCATACCAGTCCTCTCTTTCGCACGAGTAATCTCAGACTTAGACATTTTGTAAAGCGTAGGTGTGCTTGCTTGTTTTGCTAAATATCACTGCGGATAAACTTGTATACTTCCCATTTGTGAGTTCATATTTCTTGAGAAGTTGAGATAAATATAAGCCGTTGGATCCCTCTGCTTGACTCCCACAAACCCTTTCGGATCTTCTCCTCCTGGCCTCCTCATTCGGATCTCCTTCACCTAATCCTTTAAATCAGATACCCGCCACCCGACCTTCTCTACCGGATCCGCTCAACTCGGATCTTCCTTCGTTCAATCTCCCACGTTTAATCTTCCTCGATCCCCCACCTGATCTCCTCCGTTCGAATCCCATCCCCTTTTTCTCCTCGGTCTCAGGGGTGATCCATGTGAAGAAGTTGGCAGTTTCTTGTTGTTATGAACTACGGCCAGGTAATATATTGAAAAGCAGAAATTCTATATCAAGTACTTTCCGTTTATGCCATACGTACAGTACCTTTCTCACAGCAGCACCGTGCATTGAACTGGATGTCACAACACGGCATGTTTAAGCACCTGCTTAGTCGATTAGGTTTATTCTTAACCTGTGAACCTCTAAATCAAAAGTTAATTCGGTTAATTGTGACAGCTATGATTTAGTTGCATCAATAAATGTCGGGTCACACACCGACTTGAATTTCATTGATTAAGTTGTGGTAACATCTAACCGTTATCAGTACAATTCAGATTTCGGGCGCATACCAGATTGAGAAAATCCTCAAACGTCCTTGACACGAAATATGTTCTGTTCGTAGACTCATTAATATTTCAGTAGTCTTTAATTGCGCAGATGTTTGACACGGAGAAAATTTAAGTCTTCTTGCAAATCGAACGTGACATTTTTCCCATCGTCGCAGATTTTAGCTGAATCAGCAAATTTTTACGCTGAGGCTATTTTAAGAGTTGTTTGCTAGACAAGATTGCATTGACAGTTCTATTATCTATTGGCGCGTCTTGGCTTCCGTAATTAAAGTATAAACTTCTAAGATTAGCGAACTGTCTGGTGAAGAAGAGTGCCTCAAGGTAAACAAGAGACCAAGTCATTTCTAGCACACGATTGGTTTTGATCTGTGTTAAGTATATTTTGAGGATATTGAACCTTGTTGAAGCAAATTATGTATTATTGGTTCTGCGATAAATCAATTCTCCTTGCTATAAAAAGTACATTAGTTATACCACAGTCGGGTACAGAACAATCCGAAAGGAACCTATTTTCCATACACATATACAAACATTCTGAACTTGCTTTTCTTTAATTTTAAATACTTAAAATTCCGCTTGCACAACAACCTTAGAAGGTCTATATGAGTTTGAATCCCGGACGTGAAGTTCTACATTATAAATGAAATATCCAGTAATACCGATATTATTTTCAGTTTTAACGCTCTCCAAATAAAGAATAAATACAAACGAAAGGTGACAATTTACGGAAAGTCACGACTTTGGCCGAGTTTTGACGAACAATTAATGGATGTCACACCAAATCAATATTCCTCGACACTTCACTTGATATTCTTTTACTTTCTTTTATGGCATATCTTACAGTATGTGTTCTTTATTTTTCTATTAAGTAATGTTTTTATACTTTATATTGCATTTTTACCCGTAAAAGCCGAAAGATCACTGTTTTTATAGATAAAACTAGAAGGAAAAGAAATTAACAGCATGAGACGAAAGTTTTATTATTTTAAACACGAATGAGCATGTGTCTGTGTGGTTATGTTACATTGCATAACATTTACATAATAGTGATTATTCACGCGGTCCATGCCGTGATTCGGATAGCTTTCAATGATTGTCCTCAATACAGGACAATATGATAATAGCCATAGCTTTGTTATATATATATATATTTACCTATTATTGATAGTACTTTTGTATATAACAGAAACCTTGGCAGTTATCTATATAAATAAATATACACTGAAACATGTATTTCATTTATAAATTTTTAAGTACCTTTGTATGAAAATCTTGAACTTAAACACCTTGTAGTCATATTTAATGGCACCTGACCCGGTGACTAACCAGGGAACTTTTTTGCAATATGATATAGAAATTGGCGAATAGAAATGTGCTGTGTTAATTGCAAATTTCCGGCCCTATCCGCCTATTTCCGGATGTATACTCGTCAAGGTGGTCTATTTTTTAAGGTTTTTCTAAATCGTCACTTTTTAAGTAGGATAACATATTAGAATTAATAAGAAATCTTGTTTCACAACCAGTGCTTCATTATAATATTGCTACAACTGTTATTATTTTTATCTTGACGCCTTGATAAGTGCACTTTTAAGTTTTCTTTTATTTTAGCATCTTAATTTTGCTTTCGGTTTCGGATACATTTAAAAAGGTTCTTGTAAATAGTAAATCGCTAATAACAACTTGACTTTATAATCGGCTTGTTGGTTTGTTGGGGACGTAATAGCAGTCATATTGTCAATTTGTAATTCTAAATTAAACAAGTGGATTTAATTGTTACAATTTTCTTCTTCAGGCCAATCGACGAGATAGTACGTTCCCGGTTTTTACCATGGTGAAGTAGGCATTTAAGAAGGTAATTGACCTTACTAGGGGTCATTTGCCAAGGACCGGTGACCGGAAGTTTGGCATCTCAAGGACGTTCTTCTAGTCAACAACTTGATCTCTTGAACTTTTTAGAAAGAAAAGTACAAAAACACGAAAAGCGACAAAATGTCGGAAACAGAAGCCAGAAATGGACATCATGAAAACGGAAAAATGAAAAATGGCGGCCATAATCGGAGACAATCGGAAATTTCCGACATTTCCGAAGACGATATTAGTAATCTGATCCCAACCCCGCCGGACGGGGGATGGGGATGGGTGATAGTGGCCTCTTCATTGTTTTGTAACATTATTGTTGATGGGATAGGGTACTCGTTTGGTATCTTTCTTCCTGAATTTGTCAATTTCTTTGGCGAAACTCGGAGCAAAGTATCCCTAATTGGTTCACTTCTCTGCGGAACATATTTATGTGCGGGTAAGTTTGTGTATACTTTTACCTCATATCTTTCTGGAAAAATAATCGTCAGAGTCAATTTGAAAGACATGATTCTATGTGTAAGGATACAAATAATGACTCGAACTCGTGTTGTCTAGGGTGAGAAACAGACTCCTTAACCACCATGCTTTTGCCTATACAAGCTACTCAGTTAGTGCCCATAGCTCTTGATATAGATAAAGCTTTATGTTTTAAACCCATCCTCATCACCACATAACCAACGTTCATTCCGTATATGTGAAATTATACATATATCTTATTAACAAGTATGCTATATATATATACTAGCTATAGAAAAATATGTGTGTATATATTTTTGTAAAGTAGGACGCCTATATACATGTATGTAGATGATAACATTATGATTATGTTGCTGTAAAAAGGCAATTAAATCATAGTAACAGTGTACTTTAGGTCACCTTGACCTTTTTAGCTCGAAAGCGAACGCTTAATTTGTAACGCAAATAGAAAGATAGTAGTTGGAGATCAGTCAAGTAACGTACCAACTATTTGATCTTTGTTTAAATGTTTTTGCACCAATACAGAATTCCGGATTTATAAAACTGGCATTGGGTCAATAAAAGAAGCAAATTGTAGTCTATTACCAGCCTTGAAGTATAAAATATTACTAAGTATACTCTATATATAGAGATGACGAGTTTGCATAATCATTATGTTATTTAGTATTTTAAAGGCCCATTTAATGCCCTAGGAATGTTTTTACTTTATTTCTTCAAAGCTTTCTAATTATTTCTTCAATTTGATAGCTTAATAATTTTGATGTACTTCTATATAGTCTCCCAAAAGGTGCTCAGTGGCCAATTACCTGAACCATCTTTTTCTTCTGTTACTTCTTTGGCATTTAGTGCAGTTATAGCAGATTATTTAGTATTTTGTATGAGAGTCAAAGCACTATATATATAGTTTGCTTTTATGTCAATCTAAATTTTTTTACATTTATAAGTGTTAATCTAATTAATGTCCAGTTTTTAATATGACTTTTTTCTATATAATTTTCCCATGTTGCGATTGGTCGAAAGGTGGTCACGTGCCAGTCGATAGCAAGTGAATTTGTCCTTTGGCCTCGGTGAATATCACATTTAATATTCCCCTCATCATCATACAATAACTGTATAATTCCACAGGCAATCGGTGCGTGGCTTGGATAGTATACATGTACATGACCACGCCCACTTACTTTTTTATAAATTTTTTTTTCACTAATAAAATATTTTTTTATTCAAAATATTTTTAAAATATCTTATTTTCAATAAATCAACAAAGAAAATTTGTTTTTAAAAAATTTCATCCATATATACTATTAATATAGTAAAGGTAGAAAGGTTCGCCAGCGGACCTACCACCAGGCCTTATGTTACCTCCCAGATCTTTGTTAATTGTCAACCAATTTTCACCAAATAAAGTGCAATCTACGCAGAAATGATTTTTCTTTCGAAAAATGTACAATATTAGAACAGTTGGTACGACAAAAGATGGAATTTTAAAGCAAAATTGCACTTTTTGTCTAGGTCGGCCATCGCATGACCGAGCCGAAAGTAGACGATTTTGAACATAAATCGATCTTTTTCTTAATAACAAACTAATGTCAGTGCATGCAAACAGTTGAAATAGAAAAGGCAGCTATAAAACTATCGCTTACCGGTCCAAAGTTAATCCAAAACGTCTGCAGGTACGCACTTTCAGTAGTTATTTGCACTAACTTTTTAAATTTCCCGACATTGTACATGTATACAAATTCTGATCCGGATATTCAAGGTACGCATGCTCGGTTCCCGCTGGTACCCAGCTTCGCTCAATTTTTATTATGCGAAAAGGGGTACGCATCAGATACATCCGGGTCAGCATTTGTATACATGTAATGTCAGGGAATTTAAAAAGTTAGTGCAAATAACTACCGAAAGTGCGTACCTACAGACGTTTTGGATTAACTTTGGACCGGTAAGCGATAGTATTATAGCTGCCCTTTCTGTTTCAACTGTTTGCATGCACTGACAATAGTTTGTTATTAAGAAAAAGATCGATTTATGTTCAAAATCGTCAACTTTCGGCTCGGTCAAGCGATGGCCGACCTAGACAAAAAGTGCATTTTTGCTTTAAAATTCCATCTTTTGTCGTACCAACTGTTCTAATATTGTCCAAAGTTAATCCAAAACGTCTGTAGGTACGCACTTTCGGTAGTTATTTGCACTAACTTTTTAAATTCCCTGACATTACATGTATACAAATGCTGACCCGGATGTATCTGATGCGTACCCCTTTTCGCATAATAAAAATTGAGCGAAGCTGGGTACCAGCGGGAACCGAGCATGCGTACCTTGAATATCCGGATCAGAATTTGTATACATGTACAATGTCGGGAAATTTAAAAAGTTAGTGCAAATAACTACTGAAAGTGCGTACCTGCAGACGTTTTGGATTAACTTTGGACCGGTAAGCGATAGTTTTATAGCTGCCTTTTCTATTTCAACTGTTTGCATGCACTGACATTAGTTTGTTATTAAGAAAAAGATCGATTTATGTTCAAAATCGTCTACTTTCGGCTCGGTCATGCGATGGCCGACCTAGACAAAAAGTGCAATTTTGCTTTTAAAATTCCATCTTTTGTCGTACCAACTGTTCTAATATTGTACATTTTTCGAAAGAAAAATCATTTCTGCGTAGATTGCACTTTATTTGGTGAAAATTGGTTGACAATTAACAAAGATCTGGGAGGTAACATAAGGCCTGGTGGTAGGTCCGCTGGCGAACCTTTCTACCTTTACTATATTAATAGTATATATGGATGAAATTTTTTAAAAACAAATTTTCTTTGTTGATTTATTGAAAATAAGATATTTTAAAAATATTTTGAATAAAAAAATATTTTATTAGTGAAAAAAAAAATTTATAAAAAAGTAAGTGGGCGTGGTCATGTACATGTATACTATCCAAGCCACGCACCGATTGCCTGTGGTAGATTACGAACTGTTATGGAAAGTGCCAATTTTTATAAGCAGTTTTGCCGAACTGTTTGCTACGTAATGAAAATCGTACTTCATGTTATCGTTGCAGGTCCAATTGTTAGTGCACTGACAAACAAGTTCGGTTGTCGTCCTGTTGCCATGACTGGTAGTGTTATATCAACTGTAGCGTTTCTCCTGGCGACGTTTTCACCAAATATTGACATCCTTATTATAACTTACGGCGTCATGGGAGGTGAGATATTATTTTCAAGTGTCTTTTTATTTGTTATTCCTCATTTACTGCAGACTATAAAAAACGTCCAAGATTCAAACTATAATTCAAACTTTCATGAATATGAACTAATGTCTTTTTCATCTCTTTCGCATCATGCGCTTATTTGTTACCGTAGAGATAAAGTATGCAAGCATTTCTGGGCAGTGTTAAAATATTCAAGCATTTGTGTGCAATGATGAATTATGCAAGCGTTTCCTTGCATTGATAAAATGTACAAACATGTGTAGGACGTAAAATATTAATTAAGATATCTATTTTAAGCTCTTTGAAATTTAAAAAGATTTGAATTGATTAATGATCAAGAGAAATATAAAGTCTTGCTCTCTCAACGCTCTTCAAATGAATATTCAATCGCAACTTTTCGGCTTTTTCCGTGATTCTTCGGAAAGGAATAAAGTTGGGGTTTTCTGATTGGTGAATATTAGATACAGAAAGTGACGATGTGTTCCGGTTTTATACGGACTACAGTCATGACAACTACAATGTAGTAATTAACCGGTCGTTGACTTCAAACCACTTGTCCCTAAACACTGTTGGTTCGAATCCCGACAGGGACTTTGAATTCTTTCATGTGAGGAACGTTGGTGGTTCTACTCATGTGCTCAGTCGTACCTGAAATAATGCATGGAACCTTCGCCAGTAAAGCTGGAAAGTCGCCATATGACCTATACTGTGTTCGTGCGTTGTAAAACCCAACAGCAATCTAGTACTCTAAATATAACAGTGGTGATACTATATGTATGACTTGTTGGGGTTTTTGTTAAGTAAGTTTTATATCTTATCTACGAAAGTGAAAGTTACATTAGGCAACGCCTTCCAGGCATCAGATCATCAGGCGATAAAAATACATGTACTAGATGATTTCATAGAAACAATCTCATTAATACATGTAAAACCGAAACCATATTTGTTACATTAACACCTCAAACAGTCATTAGATTTGACCGCGCGTTAAAACTTACAAATTAGAATTTTCTCGTTCTTAATTTATTACCTCCCTTGAACAGTTTAGCTGTTCTAGTTACAGGACAGGAAGACACATTCATTTATTTCTAGGAACTAGAGTTTTAAATATTAAGTTGACTTTTGTTTAAATTACATATGTATACCTACATTTATGCATATTGTAACGTTGGACAGGGCGATAAAATTGTCTTGAATTATGAACATGTAAAACAGCACTGTCTTCCTCAAGATGAGGATTGGTAAACGTTTACTTCGTAAGTTGATGAATTTAAGTCATCATATAAAGATTGGTTATATACCCTAGTATATTTTTTCATTTGGCCTCCAGATTCATGCTAATTTTTATGAAAGTTAGCTATGTATTTAAAAGTAAAATACTGTGAAGAGAACAAAGAAAGTAAATTACACATATGCAAACAGCGCTAACAATCCACGTAAATCTTAAGAAAGAGGCCAAAATATGCAAAAATATCCCTAAACTGCGTTAGTCATGAGCCCCTACTGCGTTAGTCACGCAGTAGAAATATTGTGATAAATACTACAAAATCAGTCATTAATCGCACACAACCTGTAAATTATTAATTAAATCTTATTAATTAATTTTCTTTAAGTCTTAGTTCATTTTTTCTCAATATTGTATCTATACTTGAATCTGGAACTTTTTACTTGTCTTTAAATTTTAATACATTTTTCTCAAGTTTGATTCTCTTAAATAATTTGGCTCATCTGGAGGCTTGCAGCTTTAACACCTCTATGTTTTCACTGTTGATAATTAAATTTACATCTACATGTACAAAAACACTTCACACGTAGTGTATAAGTAGCCCTAAATGTCAAAAGGTGTTTTTGTTTTACAGTCTAAGATGATTTTCTTCATTCTTCAAAACTTTTAATTAAATGAATGCTTATTTAAATGCTTTATATTAATGTATATAGAGACATGAATTTTACTACACGGTCTGATACCATTCGTACAAACAAAATATATTTGTGATAATTTCACACACCGTCAATTTATTTATAAAATCAAACTTTCAACCACATTATGACATCAGTTATGTAACAAAAACATCTCAAAATTGAATTAGGTCGTGGTAGATCTTTAAGAAAGATAAAAAAAATGGTATAACAAAAAGATTACACCAATGATTTGTTATTGTAAACTACTTTCAAAACTGCACGGAAAATATGTGTCATAAATTTAACCAGCTCATCTTGAAAATTTGATTTACATGTGTGCAGTGTTTCGAGTCATTTAACTGATAAGCCGTATTTTACCTTTTAACTATTTAATTCAAGGTTACTCTCTTAAATTAAATCGACCTAAGCCGCATTACATAAGTCATACATAATTATGTATAATAGATTATTGATGGCGTAACCGAAGCACATTGCATATTAATCATATCAAAATGGATTGCTGCATTTCAAATTATGTATGCTTGAAATGTTTTAATGCTATTGTTTTGTACCTTTAATGTATGTTTATCGAATACACACACACAAACTGTGGTCGCTTTGGTAAGAAATGGGTATGAATCATATGCAAATAAGAACACAAGAATGAGATGGGGTACAAAATGCACATTCAATCCGAGTCTATTATATAAATAATAGCCGAGGAGTTCCAAATGAGAGAAAAAGGGACATTAGCGACACAGAGGGGTGTAAGATATTTAAAGGGGCGGAATAGGAAAGAGCAACAGGGGCGATATAGAGAAAGAAGGACGAAAGGGAGTGACACATGAGAGCACGAGATGCATAAGAGAAAAATGAATATGAATAAAAAAGAGTTAGAGGGATGCTATACTAGAGAGATAGAAGGGAATTATTACGAGAAATAAATACATATATAGAAAGGGGGAGAGGGGCTAAAGGGGAATTTAGGAGTAAAGAGAGAGAAAAAGGGACTGTGACATTGGTATGGGATAAAGAAAACAGATAAGAGGCAACGATTATGCAAATAAATGAGATATTAAGGGAGAGGCACAATCTAGAATGAGGCGCGAGATAGAAAGTGGTACGAGATAGAAAGATGCACGTGTTATGAGAAAGAAAGATGCACGAGATAGAAAGTGGTATGAGATAGAAAGACAGTGGTAGATGCAAGAGATAGAAAGTGGCACGAGATAAAAAAAATACAAGAGATAGAAAGTGGCACGAGATAGAAAGATGCACGAGATAGAAAGTGGTTTGAGATATAAAGATGCAAGAGATAGAAAATTGTGCGTGATATAAAGATGCAAGAGATAGAAAGTGGTATGAGAAAGAAAGATGCACGAGATAGAAAATTGTACGTGATAGAAAGATGCAAGAGATAGAAAGTGGTATGAGAAAGAAAGATGCACGAGATAGACAATGGTATGAGAAAGAAAGATGCAAGAGGTAGAAAGTGGTACGAGATAGAAAGATGCACGAGAAAGAAAGTGGTATAAGAAAGAAAGATGCAAGAGATAGAAAGTTATACGAGATAGAAAGATGCAAGACATAGACAGTGGTAGATGCAAGAGATAGAAAGTTGTATGAGATAGAAAGATGCATGAAAGAGAATAAAAAGGGGCATAAAAGAGAATAGAGGGAGATGTGAAAGACAAAATAGGATGAGACATAAAAAGAGTGATAGAAAATAGAAAGAGGCGTGGAATAGAAAACGATTCAAGATAGAAAGCAATGTAAAAAGATAAAAAAATGACATGAAATAGAAAGAGCGTTAGATAGAAATATGCACAGATAGTAAGATACACGAGATAGAGTAGAAATGGGCGTGAGATAGAATAGAATGAGGCTTGAGATAGACACAATGTGATACAGGAAAGAAGCGTGAGGGAAAATAGAGAAAGAGGTGCGAAATAAAGATACGATTCGAGATAGAAAGCGGTGTGAAATAGATAGGACGTGAGATAGAAAGCGACATGAAACAGAAAGGGGCGATAGATAGTAAGCGACTTGAAACAGAAAAAGGCGTGAAATAGTGAAATAGAAAGCGACGTGAAACAGAAAGAGGCGTGAAATAGAAAGAGACATGACATTGAAAGAGGCGTTAAATAGAATAAGAGAGAAAGAAGATAGGATGGTGGAAGGTTGACAGAAATGGGAAAAGAGGGGATCGTGGCAAAGAATGGGGTGTAGAGAAAGCGAAGAGGTACAGAACCTTTGATGACTGAGAGGAAAAGATGTAGTAAAAGGAATAAAGAGATATAGAATTAAGTAACTCAAATTATGCTGATAAAGGCACAATATGCGTAAATCTGAGTATAAAATAATTTATGGGAATAGAAACAGAGTGATTGGTGCAGGAAATTACAATATCTCGTTCAATAACATTTCAATCCAAACGATATTTAATTTCTTAAAAATACATCATATTAGTTTAAATGTATGTTCAAAAGAACCGGTATAATTTTTCTCTCTGTTTCGAATATTAATATTAAATAATCTGCGAAGAGATCGTTGACTTAGCCTAGTTTCTAAGAAAATTAGTCCCTTTTTCTTCTTTATTAAATAGCAATATGACACCGCGTGAAACATTTCTTCCTTATTCCAAGTCACGTGTTACATCTTTAAATAACGTTTAGAGTTTCGGGAAATAAAATGTTGTTTGTACGTGTTTATTAGTAAGAAATGACCCACTTTTGACTAAAAACGTGATCATACTGTTATAAACAATATGCACTATTAAGTTCAACACGGAAATGAAATTTCATCAGGAAAATACTACAATGTATATACAAAAGTAATCAAGAGATAAATATATTAAAATAAATTGTACAGTGTATTTCAATAAGGACATGTTGAAGCCTTTAAAGTCGGTTAAGACAGCCAAATTGAAAATGATGTAGTTTCAGTTTGATTGGGTCTTTAGAAGGAAGTGGCCAATGTTTGATATGGAAATGGTGTAATTAAGAATTTAGTAACATCTACCACAAAGAACATTTGTTATTGTATATTTTTCAATCAATATGTTATGTTTTCTTTTCAGGATTTGGCTTTGGCATGATTTACTTGCCCTCAATTGTTAGCGTTGGTTACTACTTCGAGAAAAAACGCGCCATTGCCACAGGGATTGCCGTCTGCGGATCTGGTGTTGGGACGTTCATATTTGCTCCTCTTACAAAGTTTCTGTTAGACGAATTCGATTGGAAAAATGCTCTTTTTGTTTTGGCCGGTATTGTGTTCAACGGCTGCGTTTGTGGAGCACTTATGCGCCCTCTGGAGGCCCCAAAAAGCCTGAAAGTAAAACCGAAACCTAGGGAGAAAAATGTATTAGATAGAATCAAGGAAGAAGCTAAGAAGAAAGGTCGCATGACGTTTACTTCGGAGTCATCTGGCATTGGTCCTACAGATACAACTGACATTCTTGAAAAGGTTAGACAAGCAAAGCTCAAAAGAGAACAGATATTGCAAGAAAACGAGTCGGAAATTTGCTCACTTCCCAGTACTTACTTCGAAAAAGATAAGAATATTCAAAGGCAGGATAGCAGATCTAGTGGAACAAGACCGAGGATTGCCAAATTGTCATTTTCAGATCGAGGCGATACTGCTTCTCGAACTGAAACGCCGACGCGCACTCCAAAAATTATCATTGATGGAAGCGAGCTGGGTTCCGGCTCTATAGCTGTATCTGAACAAGACGGTGAATGGTCACCCACGTCATCGCCTGTGCGCACAGTAAGCACGGAACCAGGACAAACTTCGGAATCGCCAACAAAGAAGCGTCTTTCTACACTGAGCGATGACAGTCAGAAGAAGGCTGACAAATTTATATTGCCAAATGGAGTTCAGGGCTATGAGGTGCAACCGTTGATAAAAGTCGGAAATGGCGGCGTGCAAGAAAAGAAGAAGAACGTCGCTCAGCACATACTTGCGCGGTCTGGAGCGGTTGCTGCTGGAGGGAGCAAACATCTTCTTGGTGCGTCAATGAGAAGCATTTCAAGCAAGGACTATTCTAGGCCAATGTATAAAAAAGACATTTTCTACAGTGGTAGTATAGCTAATATAAATGAGTACCGATCGCAACCGGATATGCATAGTTACATTACAAGTATAACGAGTATCCCGGGTGACGTCGGCGTGTACGAGCATCGTGGTGATACGAAGTTCCATAAAATTTGCAGTTGTCTTCCGAAGCCGGTGGTGGACGTCCTGTCAGAAATGTTGGACGTATCTCTCTTGACCAACGCTGGCTTCATGTGCATTTGTCTAGGCAATATCTTCGCAATGATTGGGTTCTATGTGCCTTATGTCTACATAGTGGACCGAGCACTTATGGCGGGCATTGACAAAACGGATGCTTCTTTCTTATTATCTGTGATAGGTAAGTAACCTTTAGATATTTCATAAATAAAAATGATGTGTCAAGCGAAATGACCAGTGGGGTTAAATTCTATACATTTTTCACATGGGAAGTTAATCTGATATCTTTTTGCGAGGAAATATTGTATGAAACCCCTGGAACACTTATATTCTAATTCATGTTTGAAATAGCGAAGCAATAGAACAGTCCCAGTTAAATAGCATTTGAAATATTGTATTCTTTTACCTTTAATAACGACACGCGACGAATCGGCGCCTTTTCATTAAAGTTTATGTGCATTTAATTGTAGGAGCGAATTTGATTAGATAAATTAATTTAGACTTTCATGCTTCTTTGATGAAGTGGATATGTAACGTTTATTGGCATAATAACGTATGCAATACTTATACTCAGTAAAATGTACAAAGGCAGGTACCGGGAAATACATTTATATCAACATAAGTTATTTTGAAAATTGTTATCTTAATAATAATAAGCATATAGATTTGTATCAAAATACCTAACACTTAACCTCCAAACTATCTTTCCACCTGGACAAGTCCATTCATCATCATTGTTAGCGAAAATTTCAAAACATGAAATGACCAAATAGCGAACTTTGTTTGCATTGGTTCGCATGGGTAGACTCTTGTGCCGCCAGCAGGTCTAGGGTTAAATAATAACCGATTCAAACAAGACATTCGTTTTTTTGTGAACGGAAAATTTGAAAGTGCAACTGATCTTTTTTAGAAGTTTTAATACAAAGATTTCGTGGCGAAACATTTTTGATGGTTATCTTGGAAAACTTGTCGCATTATCCTTATACTGAATATAGTTCTGAATTCTACAGTCTGTTAAAATTATGAGATTACACTGCATCATTTATTAATATAATAATTATTGTTATTTTGCCTTTGGGTTTTTACAACAAGTAAAACCTTTTATCGACTACAGTCGCCGACTTATATAAATTTGTCATGCAATGTTGCAAAAAGTTCTATATTTACGTGTGCAATTTAGGTGATATAAATTTTACAAACACATTAAAGTAAACATTTCTCTTCGCAATATTGATATGTGATGCATAAGTATTTACAAATGTGTCTATGTGATTTACAAACGAGACTTGAATTATATACCCTGTAGTAGCTTTTTATAAATTCGAGATATGCACGCTCCATAAATATTATTTGTTTCTCTTGATTTTTATCAAGGTGTTTTGTCGCAAATGGTAGAAATTAGAAAATACTAAAATGTAGCACAATTTTCTTGAGAACAAAAAGGACGGTTTTCTCAAGTATCAAAACGGATGCAGAACGGTTTTCTCGAATATCAAAACTAAAATTTTGAAGCAGGGCTTTTCTGTTATATCAAAAGGTAAAAAAGATATGTTGTATTTTCAGACAGGAGGTTAGGCGTTTTTTTTAAAGATTATTCAGGAGGAGAAAGTCTAGGCTATATTTGGTACTTAAATAGGAAACCAATTGAACTTTGAAGTCTTTATTTTATTTGCAGGTATAACCAACACTATTGGGCGAATTATATCCGGTGTTCTGGCCGACTTGAATAGTGTAAACAGCTTGATGTTGAACAATGTTGCAATGCTAATCGCCGCTGTCTGCATTTTCCTGACGCCATTTTGTAATACGTATCCATTATTGGTAATTGCGGCTCTAGTGTTCGGTTTAACTACAGGTAATTGCAATTCCTACACCTTTTCATCCTGATTATGTATAATAAACTTGTCCAATATTGGATTGGTTCTTTATTGGATATTGGATTGGTTATTCATACCATCATACAATATGTACCTCTATTTCATTGGACATCTATATTTAAATGGATGTGTTTGATTCATTTCATTACTTTTCAGAATCATAGTGTTTAACGTGAACAACTAAGAATGTATGTTCTTGTTCATATTCATATATTTAACTTCTGAGGTATTTCATAGCAATGTTTATATTAAATTGGCAACAATAGAAATGTATGATTTATGTAGATATTTTGCTAAAAACTTTAAGAGTGTACATTTACTATTATTATTTGATGAAAGCTTTGAAATTGTTGTCATAAAAATGTGTATTGTATGCAAATATAAAGCCAATTATGCAAATATAAGCATATTTTACAATAAGGAACAATTCAAAATCAACCACACGCTCTTCTGAATTTTGATGCAATTTAACTTTTATATCTTATTTTGTTTGTGTAATATATTAACTATATGTTAAAGAGATATGCCTTTAGACGGACAGTCTTTTTTTGTACATCTTGAATAAGGTGATTATATATTATAAAATGAGAAGTAGAGAATCAATGTGTTAAATGCGCATGCGCGTTAAATTCCTTTAATTACAATATTTTACGTAAAAAAAAAAATGTTCCGAAAAGTATATTATGTTTTAATCGTACAGCAGTGATTTCGTGCATGCGATAATTACTAAGAATGATATACAAACATATTTCTTTTCTACATGTATTTTAGAATTTTTTTTCTTCAAAATTCAGAAAATGATTTTGTATACGACAGGCAGCAGAAGAAATAAAGCTTTGTACCCTTTAATATATGTCGCCTAAAAGTTCCGAACTAGTGCTTCTGCAGCTTTAGAATTCCGTACACATTTTGTCAATACAAAATTTTGAAGAATATGAAAACGTGTTAAACTAGAAGGCATGTCCCTTTAATATATCAAACACGTTTTTTTTATATTTCAGCGTAAATTTTTTTAGGGCACGACTTTCATTTTTACAGGGTTTTTATTTACTTGACAATGGAACCACTAGCACACCCGAACCTTTTTCAAACCATCCAGATACTGTAATAAATCTCGGATATAACTGATTTCGGATAAGTTTTAACTGTTAACGTATATATATCACCAATATTAACGTCTTGGGTATGCATTTGCAATTTTGGTTTTGATTTGTTGGATCCGAGTTTTATTACAGTTTTATAGATCACGTTGTTATAAAAATGTTGCTTCCATTTTTGGCTGAATAATCGGTATTCTAAGGGGCAGACTTTGGTAACTGGTTTTCCTGCTATTGCTAGAAAATGACATATAGATAATTGTTTTTCAGCTGCATATATTTCACTTACATCGATAATCATATGTGATCTCTTGGGATTGGAGAAATTGACAAATGCGTTTGGTTTATTGACGTTAGCCAGAGGCGTGTCCTCGGCTCTCGGGCCACCACTCGCAGGTAAGAGTGCTTGTGTGCAGGATATCGACTACGTCATCGAGGCGTGTGTAACATGTTGGCACGCACTTGAGACAGGGGGCCGAAATATTAGGGCTGTAAGGTTGCACTATATACCATCATAATCTACACACGTTTACTAATATAGTCACTTATTTGACACACATTATTAATATTACATACCTGTTATGATATACTTACTATCTCAAGGGGGCAATATATCGGTAAAGTGGAAAAGTAGATATGAAATGCTAGACTGACAAATATTTTGAATGTTTGTATATCGGTGGCCCAAGTTGACAAGTCCGTGCCAAAGAATGTTGCACTCGCGGCGGTCTAGGCTAGCTGTTGTAATAGAAATAATAACACATTTAGTGTTTGGGAATGCAATGATTTTATTCTATTTTTAGATCTAGGACCGTTTTGATTTGGGTCGGCATTCATATTATTTTAGTTAACCAGTCCAATCTGCTAATGTATATACACTGGTCGAGATGGATGGAAACATATGTCATAGTTATTATGCATGTATTAAAACTGAACTGAATAACATCATATATTCCCAAAAACTAAAGTGATACCTTCTAATATTCACCCTTTTTTGTTCTTTCACAGCTCTTCATAAACATGGACGAAGTCTGGAGCCCGGAAATGCCTGCGTTTTTCGTCACTTCCGGTCCAGATAGACTGGTTTCCGACTTAATAAGCGCCGTACATATTATTTATAGTTATATCATGTATGCAGCGCTGTACAATGCTTTGTTTGATTTCAGCGGCGTTTATTTCACTCACTTCCATCATTCTGTGCGAGTTACTAGGCCTTGGTAAATTGACTAATGCTTTTGGTCTTTTATCAATGGGGCGCGGCATTGCCGGGATCATTGGCCCCCCAATGGCAGGTAACACAGACCTGTGGCTTTTCATGTTTTCCAGTTCCATTAAATAGGAAACATTTCAACTTGCACTTTAAATTGAAGTGAAATGTATAAGAAAAAAATCTTCTTTTCGAAAAATTTCCACTAAGTCACCTGAATATACCCACGTGACCAATGCAGATCAAGGTCAACCGGTACATCCATGTCGTCTGATCATGGTCTGCACTTGTCCGCTCTTCAGACAGTACTTATTTTGAAATTTTCCATAAAAAAATGATTAATTGTCTATTCCCGCTTGAAAAATGGACAAATAAATTTAAGATATTCAGCTGGTGAGATCACTCAAGGTGCCATGTGGTTAAAATGTTTCCTAAATCAATGTTGCATCAAGCTTTATGCTTACTAGGAATATCGCTAGTAAATATATCACACTTTAACATGAGTTCACAAATTAAATTAAATAATGTATCGTCACCTTAGTTAACTGTGCCTTATCTACCACTTTGTTTATTTTGAGACCTTTTTTGTTTACCTTTTTGTATATTTTGTGACCTTTTTGTATATTTTGAGACCTTTTTGTATATTTTGAGATCCTTTGGTTTAATTTTAGAAAATCGCTCTAATTGTTTTAACAGGTCCTTTTTTCGATATATTTCTGATAGATATCATATGTTTTCTGAATTCGAAGATACGCTTGTTTTGTATTATAATTATGTATCCATGGCTTAGCATGTTTTTGTGATACTGCTCTAACCGAACTTTTAATGGGAAATACAGGGGGTAATTTACATTAAAACAATGGACTGAGTGTTATTCTTAAGGAAGAAGTAGCAAAATGCCACCATTAAATGTAGTATAATTATAAAGTGTTATTCAGGAGCTTATTTTGGAAAAATGTTTCTGGAGATCTTGGTCTATGACGTCATAACACACAATTGGAAAACGCGTCGGAATAGTAATCTAATGATTGCTAGCCGCATGGGTTCAAATTCCGTCAGGGTCAAGTCGTTGTTTCCTGTAGCATGGAACTTTACACTCATTGCCCAGTACTGGTTGGTTCCAGGAACGAATTCGAAAGTGTGTTTATAAGCTAATAGCTTCCTACACAATCAAACTAAAATAAATTCTGTATAAACCAACCCACATTTTGTCGAGACTTATATTTTAAATTGAGATAGGGCACTGTGATGATAAGAAGACGATATGTATAGAAAGAGCACATATATGTACATATACTAAATATATAAATGTGTATAATAACAATTTGTTTTAGTAACCTTATCAGAAAGAATCATTTGCATGTCGAGGGTTGATCGCAAAACTGTTGTAAGTCCGTCTTTATTTCATATAAGTTACAGCAGTTTTTGCGGTCAACTATTGAATGAAGGTACGTCAATTTATACAAATGGGTCTAAGCAATCGTCATCAAATTGTTTCAGTTACTCACTAGTCTTTTGTTACACCGGTTCCTCATCTGCCCCCGAAATAGAGACGTGTTTACGCCCCTAACTCTGTCCACTGAATTACGGGATGAATGTAGATTAATGTAGGGATTCTGGTTTTACACGAAAATGCTGGGGGTGTAACATTGCGGGGTGGGGGCGTTTGGTGTAGAGCTTACATACTGATTGTCCCCCTGCAAGGCGAGGATTTGGTGGTCCGCAAGCCAAAGACCGCACTTTTCTCGGGAGTGGGGTCGTTGTTATAAATGACTGGTACATGTATATACAAATCTTTATGAAAGATAAGGTCAAGGTCACATGTTATGTATTAAAAGTATCAACGGCATTATTTGCCTGCATTAGAACGTTAAATTTTATGAAAATATTATGATTTAGAACGGTTTCCTTATGTAGTAAATAGTTAGGTGGAAAATATTGTTCTTTCAAACAAACAGTTACAAAGAGTTTACATAAATATGGCATTTTAAATTTCGGGTTGTTGTTTTCCTATGTCTAGATTGTTTCAATTATACCTATGCTGTTACATTTAATAATTTTTCGCTAAATGAAAATATTCATTATTTTGAAAAAAAGTTAGATTAAAAATTGCTGTGAAATCAGAGACGTTAAAGTACATTATATTTATATGTCTCTGGTTAAATTAATTTTTTTAGTTTAAATTAAAGATATCATTCCGTTGAATTAAATATGTTCGTTAAATTTACAACATTCGGTTATATTGAATATTGAATGCATTTTGTAAAAATTACTCATCTAAAAGAATATTGAATTGGTGGTGAATTTACTTAAATAATGTAAACAACCGTTTAGAATGTATGGCTTTTATTAATTAAATACATCACGTGGCCAGGAATATATGTATTATTATATCTATATATCTGATATGAACAAAACAAACAGTAAAATATAACGTTAACATGCATGCTAATTACTATTTATTGTAAGATCTAACTTGTTTATCCGAACTCTTCTAATAATATGTTGAACTCAACTGTAATCGGGTGCAGCAGTCATGTAAAGAAAACGAAAAACAACACTAACAAAACATAAAGTACAACATCAACAACAATTTATTTCTCACTTTCCACCCACACATTCTTCCCTTTGAAATTGCATTTTCGACATTCATAGTGGATATGGCATAGAGGACATTACGTACAGAAATTACGTAACGTGTGAAGGACATCCTTAATCTAGAAAAATATACATTGTAACTTCCTTTCATGGTGGGGGGGGGGGGGGAGACTTAAATTAAGATTTGTTATTCATACTAATTTATATGGTATAACTGGTAGGGTTAAAGGTGTACACTTCATAAATAAGATTTGTAGTAAGTATATTGTCAGTAGGTTCAGATTTGAAAGGTTATTCACTTTGCATTATAAAAAATATCCAACCGACCGTTAGGAGTTTTTAACTTGATGTGTTGCCGATATGTTTAATTTTTACGTAGCTTTAAGGACGACAAGCTTTAAATTATATATATTATATATTGTGTATGCATTTTGAAATAGAAAATTCGCATGCATGTACAAAAACAACAACAAATTACTTGATCGCATACATGTACAAAATAACCTCATTACTTGTAATAATGTGGTACAAAGATGCTTAAAAAAAGTTTTAAAATGCGTGGCATAATTATGAATGATCTAAAAATAGAAGTTTGCACTCGTAGACACGCTTTGCAGACTGTGTTATGCAACTCTGGTATGCATGCACCCACCAAGGTTATGGATTATTTTTTTCACCAGGTGTTCTTTCTTTTGATGTTTAATATCTCCCCTATTCGTTGTGAATTAACCTACTCATAATATAGCCATAAAATGATAACAAAAACGTGCATGCTTGCAAAAGCGGTGGTGGTATACATTTGAGCCGAGTCACGACAAAACCAAGGCTATGCGTTTGCGACCAGCATGGATCCAGATCAGCCTGCGCATCCGCGCAGTCAGATCAGCATCCATGCTGTTCGCTTACAAACCCTATTACAAGAAAGGAAACTGATAGCGAACAGCATGGATCCTGATCAGACTGCGTGGATACGCAGGCTGGTCTGGATCCATGCTGGTCGCAAACGCATAACGCTGGTTTTGTCGTGACGTGGCTCATTTCATTTTTTCCATGTTCGTTTCGTCCTTGTTATTAATCATAGAAAAAAAACTAATCATGTTATCTTTATATAACTTCTTTTTTAGTCCCGGTGAAGGCCGGGATTTGTACCCTTAACCTTTTGTTTAAACAGATATGTGTAAATAACAAAATAACCCTTATATATAGCCTAGTATTAAATCTGAGTAATATATAATGGGCATTTGTAGCGTAAATTTCTCGTTGTTAAGACTATTTTACGAGTACTCTGCATATTATGATGACTTTTTTCGCATTTTTCCTGTTATTTATTCACCGTTTTATCCTAACTTACTTTAATTTGTGTAATAGGATTGCCCTGATTTGACTTTGGAACCGTCCATTTTGATTTTAAAGGGTTGTCAGTATCAAGAAGCTTAAATTGAGCAGACGACAGATAAGATTATTGTCAGACTGCGCACACGAGCAGGTCGGCCTGACTGGTTTGTCCTAACTCCATGTTAGTGACGTCCGCCACTCATCCTTGTCAGCTGAAGTTCGAGTCTTTATGTGATCAGGGGTGGATTAAGTTTTCTCCTGTGGTAATAGTAACTTGTAGTTGAGAGATGCACTGATTAAGCTAAATTTTACAAAAAAATCGAACTTCAAATGAATAGGTTTAAAATAAACTAGTCAAGTCCGCTTTAATTAAGCTTAGGTGACCTCATTGCTGCCCATGATTGTAAACAATACTTTTTGTTTATCAGTAGGGATGGATCATATTTCCCTAGAGTCACTTTAAAAGGAATCAGATTTTTTTATCAGTCGAATCAAGCTATCATTTAAATTAGTGTAAATAATACGTTCGAAATACTCATTGTCACTCGTGCTTGGTCGCAATTTGAGACACTTAAATGTATCTTTTATATACATGTTTTATATGTTTGAAGTATGTAACATTACAAATTTATCTATATATTTTGCCCCAGTCATTGACGCGTGAGTCTTACGTGTATACATGTATATATATACTCTTTATGTAATAGTCTAGATATCTTTACTTAAGTGGTAAATTAAGTATACCATTTAAAATGATACAACTTTGTAAAAAAAGTTCAAGGTGATGTGTCAGGAGGGTAATATGTGTAATCTATTGTTGTGCGATTTTTGCTTTATTTTGTTACGAAAAAGAAATCATTATTAACCAATTAACTCCAAATAATACAAATTTTACAGAAAAGTTAACAAAATTTGGCAACATAAAGATTTCATGAGAAAGAATGAAATTGCCAATCTCGTTTTAATACTTGTAAATATGATTTAACAAGCCCATTTTCTTTCGATTATAATTATGTTATGTACTTCTAAGTAACCCTTATGTACTTATGATGCACCGGAGCAATGAATCTTTATTTAAGAGGTAATAAATATGGATTATTATAGACCTATAATATTTTCCCGGAGGCTGTTTCATAATAACAATTTGTTTACCTGTTTACTTTACTCAAAGACCTGAAAATAAGTTATCTATTTATTTTATCTTTTATGCAACATCTATGAATAATTCAAATATTGAAACAGATGTTACGGTCGCTTCGTAAAACGCTAGTCATGTGAGAAATGTTTATTATTAGGTCATAGACCACTATTTGTTATTTGTCAACGGCATGTGAGGCACTTGATTTACGTTTTATAGAACTGGCTTTTAAAGATGGGACTACTTGAAATACAATCGAGGAGGTACTTATGACATAAAAGAGAATTGTGAAGAGTTTTGTAGTTTGTACATTGTAATCCTCAAACTTTGATGAAATCTTTGAGCATCTGAGTCATGTTTAAAGAGTTTAATGTTTAATGCTGATCGATGGCCAGTAACCTTGTTTCACTTGGGCCATTCTTAACGTAAAGTACCGATCACATGCTCGTTAAAGTCCGGAATAGTTCGGACGGTTTCCGTGTATTAAAGGTTTCTCTGAATTAAATGGTTTGGCGGCTGCATGATCAAGACCTTTGAAAAGCCATGTCAGCCACTGTTTACCATTGAATATAAGATACGGGAAATGACGGAGTTTGCCGACTTCTTACAATTTATTAGTGAAATATGAATGTCTCTTTAGAACTTTCTTATTATTTTGAGTGAAACATCTTTAAATACATACTTGATAAAAAATATTAAATGCATTCTACATAAGCTGATTGACACTGTTTTTTTGTTAATATATAATAACTATCAAAACGTTATAAACATCTTATAAACTCTCAGTAACAAGTCGCATTTTTTGAGTGCTGACATTTCGAGGAATGTACATGAAGGCTCGTATGTGTTAGTATATTTACACTTTCAAGGTTTCTTAGCAACTGGTTTACCAGGCTTTGATTTGCCCATCATTTACTCAGATGAAAAAAACATGTATATTTTTACAGTAGTGGCTAAATTTAATGTGGTTCAAAAGTCCTAAAAGTTGTGGAGCTATGAAACATACACTTCATACATACACAATGTGTTGTACGCAAAAAAGAATTGTTTATTAAAGTGGATTGGTCTACAATGGGCAACTTTTCCATAAGTATTTCAAAAATTGATCAGAGAACAATAGAAATGTACTATTTTGATATTCTTATTAAACATTACTTGAAAAAAAATGTTTATAGAATCTTAATTTTATTTAGTATGAACAATTATATGATGGCTAATCATATCTTGTTCTAGAACAGTTTATTATCTGATATATATATATATATATATAGATATGTATAATCGGACGATGTATTTAACATTAACCAACAACATCCGTATACATGTATAATTCTTCCACGTTTTTTTTCTTTTGTTATATATTGTGCTAAAGACTATCAACATGACCATTTGTGACATTACAGATATCTTGTTATAGACCAATCCACTTTAAATGAAACCTCGGATTGCATTTTAACAAAAGATAATACGAGAATTTACCCTTGGCTTTGTGTATTTTAAGAGTTTTGTACCGTCAGTTCCCGCCTTTACTGATTTTCGGATTTACGTTACGTGTGGCGTTGGTTTAAAGTTCTATCCCAACAATTCCGACACAAAAGACTTAAAGTGAAATGACCGGAAATGACAGGTTGCCTTTATCATGCGGTTTTTTCTTTCTCTCACAATTCATAAAATAGTGAAAAATACTAGTGAACAATCTATGGATATACACAAAAGCGTCTCTTATCCATGACACATTTGGTATTTAATCAACATGGTATTTTTATCTTAGTTTTCGAGTGGTACAATGGTACAGTTTTACCCACTTGATTTTAGATGTAAACCCCTTTTCTTTGGATAAACTTTCTTGTTCTATTTCATGGACATGTTACGATATTTATACGCAATCTTCCGCCTGATTTAATCTGTGGCATTTAGGCATAACAATGTCAATAACATTTTTAAAAAGACAAACTAATCCAAATATTTTTCCCAATGCCAATTATGCAAAAAATGAATAAATATTATGCATGCGGAAATTATACGGATAAATATTAATACAGTCGACTCTCGTTATCTCGAAATCATCGGGACCGTCCAAAAATATCGAGATAACGAAATATCGAGATAAACGTATAAGGTTAAAACAAGGCAGTAACTGATTTTTACAAAGGCATGTGCATACCTTAAGTCAAAGAAATTTAAAGTATGATATCTCCATGTCTTAGTTTCTTCAGCCTATTACACCAAAGTTGATATTTAACAAAGTTCAATTAGCGGATGTTTACCAGCGGAAATACGGGAGTCTGTGATAAAATCACAATAGTGTATTGACTAAAGCCGTTTGTTGCACAATGGCTGTGGCTTTAAAATTCTTATTCTTATCTGTTGCTAAATTGAATGTACACTTGTATGAAGTCAGTTTTCTTAAATGATCAGGAAGAACTGTAACCTGGTTCCCGGATCTCGAACAAAACTATTTTAAAGTTCTGAAATTAAAGATTGGTTCCGAAATTTACCGCAAAATAAGATGAACTTCCGCTTTATAAATGGATTTTTTTTATATTTTTGTTGTTCATTTTGTAATGTTTATATGTGTCGTAATCTTAATAAGGTCATGCATAGTTACATTTTAATTATGTTATATTTCAAAGGTGCTGTATTTCAAAGTACGGGCAATTACGACGCCTCATTTTACCTCGGAGGCGGCCTTTTCCTATTGGGAACGCTGCTGCACTTTGTTCTGTTCTTGCCATGTATGAAGAAGAAAGAAGAAGAATTTGAGATAAACTTACCGGACGAACAAGAACTGGAAACAATCGTTCCCAGACCGGAACCGGAAAAACCTATTCGGATTGAAGTCTGAACAGCTGTGATCGTTGAATAGAGACAGTATCGGAGAATCAAAATTCAAAATGAGATATCAACTAGTTTGTAATGATAAAAAAATCACCTGACATTTGGAGTAGAGTTGCTTTTGTAGCTGAACGAAATGAATATAAATTACTACTACAAAGGTTGGTAACTGTTGATAAAAATTTGAGCGCCATGAAGATTAACTCCATTTGCTTCAATATCAGTGTTAGTGCCAGCATACGTTCGTGAAAATTCGGCTTATTTCGGTACTTTCCGTTATATAACTAAGTAGGCGCCGATTAGACCATGAGCAGGCCAACTTGGCGCTTTCTCAAATAAACGTAAGCTACGGAAAGTACCGAAATTTGCCGCATTCACACGATGTTTCTAGACAAATAGAACATGCATCACACTTTATAAAGCATCTATCTTCCGAGCTATCATTAGATGAACTTTGTTTAGCTTTCCGGTGTTTGTCTATACATGTGATTAAATGGTGCTTTTTGCTTGAATTTTCATGTTTCATTGAATTAAAATATGTAAGTTGTTGATATTTTTAATGGAAAAATAGATGTCTGTTTTTGATTTTGTTAAGAAATAATAAGACGAATGTGTTGAAGTCACTATAATATTGTGTTATACATTTGTATATTTTTTCAGATGGTCTCTTTTTGTGTATATATATATTTTATTCATATATTTACATGTTTTAATCTATTTTGTTGACGTTTATGATATTTTTGCTCATGTAATTCATTATTATAGTATTGTTGACATGTTCTTTTTTATGTTCAATGTTGCATTTTTTTCTAAAAAGAAGAACAACAGTTTTATTGATATGTTTTATTATATACCTATTTATATGCTGTCATATTATGTAATATGAACGAATAAGACCTAAAGAAACGAAAAAACCGTTAAAGACATCCCGGTATGACATTGCTGGAAGTTTGCAATGACGTTTCTAGAACAAATTGGCATTATTGTTGCTGAAACAAATTTTGAATGATACTGCTAGAACAAATAGGCAATTTGTTTACTGGAACAAGTTTGCAGTGCCGTTGCTAGAATAAATTGGCAATTTGTTTGCTGGAACAAGTTTGAAATGACATTTCTAGAACAAAATAGCATTTCTGTTGCTGGAACAAATTTGCATAATTGTTGCTAGAACAAATGAGAACAAATTGGCAATGACTTTGCAAGGGCAAATTAAGAACTACTATTTTCATTACTTTCCAGCATAAACAGCTAAAATAAGAGGTATATACTGAAAGGTTTTTTTATTTATAATTTGTAATTGCACTTTTATTTTGGTATGTATCCAGATCTCCTAACTTTTGCTACTCCGGAACACACTTCACTTTGCGAAATCCAGGCCTTGTAATATCGCACTTGCAGAAGTCCCGGATCGCGATCTCCTTTAAATTTTTTATGTTCGAACAGTCAAAGATTGTGTTCAAGAAATAACGTTTTTTAGTATGCGCAATTTCTCTGTTATAAATTCTGAATTTAATAACTATTTCTGAAAGAATAATACATGTGTTTTAAATGCAGAGGTTTTAGTCATGTGGCATATGTTTATTATTCTTCTTCAATATAATATGTACGTATCATTTATATTTTTCAGTCATATACATGTATGAATTATTATCAGTACAATGTGATAATTTGTTTGGAACAGTACGATTTCTTGTGATACAGCCGATATTTGTTGTGCATTGTTCGTGTAGGAAATACAAGTGTTTTTAGCTCACCTGTCACAAAGTGACAGGGTGAGCTTTTGTGATCGTTTTTCGTCCGGCGTCCGTCCGTCCGTCGTCCGTCCGTAAACTTTTGCTTGAAATGACATCTCCTCATAAACCACTGAGCCAATTTCATCCAAACTTCACAGGAATGTTCCTTTGGTGGTCACCTTTAAAAATTGTTCAAAGAATTTAATTCCATGCAGAACTCTGGTTGCCATGGCAACCGAAAGAAAAATCTTTAAATATCTTCTTTTAAACAACCCTAAGAGCTAGAGCTTAGATATATGGCATGAAACATCTTCTAATGAGTGTCTTACCAAGTTTGTTCAAAATAAAAGCCCTGGGGTCAAAATTGGCCCCGCCCCAGGGGGTCATTGATTTTCCCTATATGCATATAGTCAAAAACTTAAAAAAAATCTTCTTTTAAAGAACCCAAAGAGCTAGAGCTAAGATATTTGGGCATGAAATATTTCTAGTGAGTGTCTACCAAGTTTGTTCAAATAAAAGCCCTGGGGTCAAAATTGGCCCTGCCCAGGGGGTCATAGATTTTTTCCCTATATGCATATAGTAAAAACTTAAAAAATCTTCTTTTAAAGAACCCAAAGAGCTAGAGCTAAGATATTTTAGCATGAAACATGTTTCTAATGGGTGTCCTACTAAGTATGTTTCAAATTAAAAGGCCCTGGGGTCAAAATTGGCCCCGCCCCGGGGGTCATTGATTTTCCTTATATGTGTATAGCAAAAACTTAAAAATCTTCTTTGAAAAAAACCCAAATAGCTAGAGTTTAGATATTAAAGCATGAAAACATCTTTTAAGTAAATATCTTAACAAAGTTTGTTCAAATAAAAGCCCCGGGGGTCAAAAAACTGGCCCTGCCTCAGGGTGTCATTGTTTTTTAACTATATATGTATAAGTAAAAACTTAAAAAATCTTCTTTTAAAAAACCCAAGTGAGTCTAGAACTTAGATGTTTAGCATGAAACATCTTCTTATGGGTGTCTACCAAGTTGTGTTCAAATAAAACAAATAAAAGCCCCTTGGTAAAAAAAATTGGCCCGGGGGGGTGCTATATACAGGTGAGCGACCTTCAAGGGCCATCATTGGCCCTCTTGTTTCTTTAAGTTGTTAAGAAATAGAATGTGTGCATTTAAGTTATGCGTTGCTTTCCACATTATCGGGAAGTTTCGTTCATTTCCTTTGTATTACTTTAGAACGTTTTAAAAACAAAGCTAGAAAACGTTTTGCAAAGTCTGGGGTTTTTTAAAAAGGGCCCCCCAAAGTGGGGGGCAAATAGGGTTGCAACCCTTTTCCCTTCCCTTCGTCTGTTTCCCCTTCCGTCCGGTTGTCCCCAAATCTTGTGAAAGCAAACTTTCCCCTTTTAAAATGGATGGCAAAATTTTTTTCTTTTAATTTTCCCCGGATGAAAAACCCCTTAAAGTGTGGTTTGGGGTAAAAAGGAATTTTTGGGTGCGAACCAAAAATTTTTAAAAAGAATTAAATTTCCGGGGCTTTTTTTGATTTTTTTACTTAATTTCCCATAAAGAAATTTTGTGAAAAGGGAAACCCCTTTAAAAAAACCGGGGAAAAAGGGGAGATTTTTTTTTAAACGTTCCCTTCAGATAAAGCAAATTTCTCCCTTGGGTTTTTGAGCACTTCTGCCCCTGGGGGATCCGTGTTCCTTTTGGGCCCCCATTTTTTTAGTTTTTTAAAAATTTTGTTTTTAAAAAAAAGATTTTTTTTTAAACTAAATTTTTTTTTAAAAAAAATTTAAAAGTTTTTTTTGTTAACCCTTTTCTCCTGGGGTGCCCAAAAATTCCTTTTTCAAAACCTGAGTTTTTGTTAAAAAAAAAGAAATTTGGGAAAATTTTGAAGATACTTTTGACTAAAAGTTAATTAAATAAAATCATATAATTAAATTATGCCAAAAGGAATTCCCCTTTAAGGGTGTGGGTTTTATGGGGGAAAAATTTGGAAAAAAAAATTTTTTTTAAAAAAATTTTTGATTTGTACTTTTTATAATATAGAATAAGTTTTTCGTTTTCCCTTTTTTTTATATATAAATTTGATTTTTAAAATTTATTTTGAAACAACCTTTAATTTAAATTTGTTTTTAAAAATATTTTTATGTGATTTTTTTATAAGAACAACGCGTTGGTTTTGAAATTCGGGCCTTTGACCCGACCTTTTTACATGACCTTTTTTTTGCAATTTAATTTTTAATTTTTTTAACGTTTTTCCACGATATATAAAGCAGGAATTTAAGTTTAAACCCGGAAGTTTTTAAGGGGCCGGCTCCTTTTATTTCTAAAAAGCCCAAATTTAGAAGTTTTTACTTGGGTATTCCCCCCCATTTTTTAATGGGGCAGTTCCTAAATGGGGATCATTGAAATAAAAATTTTTAAAACATTCAGCGGGGAAGTTTAAATTTTTTTCCGGGAATTAGAATGGGTTTTTTTCTTTAAATTGGGAATTTTTTAAAATCCCCTTCAGAGTTTGGGGCGTAAATGTATTTGAAAGTGTAAATTAGTTTTTTTGGTTTTATTTGAATAAGTGTTATTTTATAGTTTTCAAATATGACGGGCCCTTTTAAAAAAGTAGAACAGGTCCAAAGGGGGTGGTCCTTTTTTAATTTTAAAACCAAATTTTTAGGGGGCCCCCTTGGGGGGGGAGGGTCATTAAGTGATTTTTTGTGTGGTAACCAAACCCAGGTTTGACCTTTTAACTGTTTTTATATTTCTCTTTTTATTTTTCCAAATTTAACTTTTTAATTTTTTTCGGTCAAACCTTCGAAAATTTTAAATTTTGGATATTTGTTAAATTTGGTAAAATTTTCCCCCGACCTTTAAATTAAAAATATTGGGTATTTTTAAAATTTGAATTGGGAATAAAAATTTTTTAAAAATCGTTCCAAAATTTTTAAGTTTTTTATTGGGTTTTCCCGAATTGGTTTTTTTTATTTTTTCCCCGAATTAAATTTAATCATTAGTGATTAATTTAAAAAAACCCCCATCCCGGGAAATCCGGGTTTTAAAAACCCCCCTGTTTTTTCCGAAGGGCCTCGATTCAGCCCGTGTGGTATTTTTTTTTTTCCCATAAATTTAAAAAGAATTTTGGCCCAAATTTTAATTTTTGTTTTTGTATATAAATCATGCATAAAGGGTTTTTTGAAAATTTTTTTCTGTTAAAAAAATTTTAAATAATTTTTTTAAACCAAAATATTGGGTTTTGGGGGGGTTTTTTTTTTATTTGAATTTTTGGTCTACAATGGACTTTTTTTTTTTTCCCTTTTTTATTTTAAAAATTCATTTGTATTTTAAATTTTTAAAAGGAATTTTTTGAAAATTTTTTTTCTTTAAATTTTTTTTTTTTTTTTAAAATTTTTTTGATTTATTAAATTAAAGTTTTTGAAAAGTTCAAAGTGATTTTGATAATTTTACCATTTTTTTTTTTTTTTTAGTAATTTTCTTTTCCAGAACACTTTTTTTTGCTTTAAATATAATGTAAAAATCGAAATCTAACCCCAATTTTTCCAAACAGTTAATTTTTTAAAATGGTTTTTGATAAAGTTTACCGAAAAAACATATGTAATTTGCATTTTTATTAAAAGACTTTCCCCTTTAGGGCAAATTAAATTTAAAAGAACTTGATTTATCGGTTTAGTATCGGAAATTTTTTTGTAATTTTCTTCCCAAAAAATTTATCTTTTTCATTTCTTTCAAATTTTACCATACTGTTTTTACTTTTCCCCTTCCCAAACCCTTTTTCATTTGTTTTTTTTATGTTTTTTTTTGGAAATAAAATATGTCATGTTATTTTCTTTTTTTTTTTTTCCCTTACCGATAATTTTTGTTTTTTTTTTCCCCCCGGGTTTATGTTTTTTTAGAGTTTCAAGGGCCTTTTTTACGGAAAGAAAAAATTGCCCCCATCTAATTTTTAACCCTATTAAAAAAACCAAAATTATTTTTAGAAGGGGGTTGCGAAAAATTTTTATTTTTGCCGTTAAACCCGATAAGGGGAATGGTTTTTTTAGTACCTTCGGTACGGGTATCCATGATATTATTGGGTGTAGTAAAAAAAAAACGGGGGGTTTTGGGGTTTGGAAATTTAAGGGTCGGAAACCCAAAGCAGGGGTTTTACCAAAAATTTGAAAAAGAAAGGGAAAAAGGAAATTTCCCTTAAAAAGGGGTTTTAAAATTTAAAAAATCTTTATTGGGATATAATTTTTAAAAAAATATTAAAAAAGTGGTATTGGGGCATTTCGGGGGTCGTAAATATCCAAAACAAAAAACTGTAAAAAATTTGGGGAAAGTTTCAAATTTCCGGGAGTTTTTTCCGGCCAAAGGGCCGTTTTTAAAAAAATAATATTTGTTTATTATTGATCACCCCATTCTAAATTATTTTTACGGGGAAAATGATGGAATTTACCCCTTATCCCAACGAAACTTGGGTGGATAAGGAAAAAAATGAAATTGGAAATTTTTTCCCCAAAGGAATCTTTCGGCCAGTCCCCGTCTTTTTAAACCCCACGGGGGTGGTTTTGGGGAAAAGTTTGGGAAAAATAAAATTGGGTTTTTACATTTTCCCCACTGTTGGTTTAAAAAAGGGAAATCGGGGGGGTTTTTCACTCGAAAGGAAATTTCTTGGAATTTCGTTTTGAAAATTTTTAAAAAAAAGGGGGGGCGCCATTTCTATTCCACGGTAAGGGGTTTAAAAACGTTTTAAAAACCCTATTTAATATTCTTATTCGAATGTTTTCCTGAAGGGATTAAAACCCCCATGTTGGGGGTGAATTAAAGGGGGGGCCGAGTTCCCCTGTCAATGAAGGGGTGGGTTTCCCAAAGAAAAATTGTTTTGCTTCAGCACTTTTAGTTGAATTTTTTTTCCGACGAGGGGATTGACATTTCAAACGGAAAAACCCTTTACCCCCGAGAATTTGTTTTTTTTTGAAAAACACTGTTCTCCCCCCAGGAAAAAATGGGTTGAATTTTAAAGAAAAGGGATTTTTTTGGGTTTTACCAAGATTTTTACGACTGAACAAAAACCCGGGTAGTTTTCCCGGGGGCCCCATTCGTTCCCTCAACCCTCCGTTTCACTATAAGGTTTTTTTCCCAAAAATGCCGATAAAAAAAGGGGAATTTTTTTTAAAACCGAGTTAAAAAAAGGTAGCATGGGGAGTTCATTTTTCGATTGATTTCTGGGGTATAGTAAAAATTTTGCCAAAAAATTCGGGCGCTGTCCCCCGGGTAAGGAAAAATTTGAGTCTCTACAATTTTTTAAATTTTGGGTCTGCTGTTAAAAACTGGGTTTCATTCTGACTTCCTGTGACGTCATTGATTTCTTCACTTTGTGCGCTCCTCGGGGTTCCTTCGACTCGGTATATTCCACTTCTATCCGGAGGTTGTTCGGGTGATCGTAATATGTCGTAAATACCAGAAGCTGCGTCTAAATCAAGAGATAGGTCTGCTTTTGGTCCAAGGTTCGCCGGTAGCTTGGTTAGTTTTTCTTTAGCGAGATCTAAATGATCTTGCAGGGCCGAAATTAAATCTTCTTTCTGTAAAAATGATATCAAATAATGTAGGAAGTGATCAATTTTGCTCTACTTTAATTTAGCCTTACTTAATAAATCCAAGGGAAATAACATTTCTTATTGACACATGCTTATCAGCGAATTGTTTACACGATCTTGGTAGTCCTTTAGTTATATTTAGTGTCCCGAGTACCCTCCAACACATACCCAGGATCTCTTAAAGTGACAGCAAATTTATCTATAAAAATATTACTTAAATTGAGCAATTTTCCCTTTGACGATAAATAAAAAGTCACGTGGGATGGCTACCTACGAAAAGGTGTTAAAATATAATTGCAATACCTTTTCATTGTTAGCCATTGAAGTAATCAAGTTTATAGGATTTTCAAAAACATATTTATCCAGAGCGGGCGCTATGGTGCAGTGGTAACACTCTCTGGCCTCAACCAATCAAGGGGGTCGTGATTTTCGATCCCCGCTACCCACAAACAAATGCCCGAGACTGAAAAAACAGGACATGAACTCAAAAAAACAGGAATAAAAATAAAAAAGACAAAAACTAAAAAGGGGAAAAAAATTTATGCAAGGATCAGACAGCAATAGAAAAGCAATAACCAAATACACGAACTTTCGTAATACACGAAAGGGAAAACAGACAAATAAGATTTAAGGGGTTCTTTGCCCTTAAGGGTTTACATAAATAAACGGGACAAGAACTCAACTCCCAAGGGAAAAAATATCAACGACATTTAAAAAAGGACATAACAGACTAATCACATCAAACAAACACAGAAAAAGGGTACATCAAACAGCACAGAAAAAGGACATCAACAAACACGGGGAAGTAAAAAGGAAGAAACAACAAAGCACATCAACGACACGGGCCCAAGAACTCATAAAGACAAAATAACATCCAGGGCCCACAGACAATGCCCATAAACAAACAAGAAAAGTCAAGGGAAAAATTTAAGGACATCAACAGACAAAAGAAACAAAATACATATATAGAACTTTAACAGACACAAGAACTAAAAGGGACATAGACAAAAACAATCAACAAACAAAATAACATATATGACCCCTACAAAAAACATCAAAAAGGACTTTAAAAATCCCAAAACAAGAAAGGGAATATGCAACGGATCAGAAAAGCAATAGCCGGGCGAAAACCCCAAATACACTGAACATACGTTTAAAAGAAAGGGAAAAACAAAAAAAGATGTAATGGGCCCATGACTTAATGGGCTTTCCAATGACACAGACAAGAACATCCACGACACAGACAATGACATCAACAAACACAAGAACATCCACGACACAGACAAGGACATCAACAAACACAACAAGCACATCCACGACACAGACAAGGCCATCATCAGACACAAGAACATCTACGACACAGACAATGACATCAACAAACACAGCAACGTCAACGACACATAAGGACATCAACAGACACAAGAACACAAACATACATATATAAGAACATTAACAGACACAAGAACATCAACGACATAGACAAGGACATCAACAAACACAATAACATATATGACACATACAAGAACATCAACAAGGACATCAAAATAAAGACAAGCACATCAACATACACAGATCAGAAGATCAACAGACACAAGAACATCAACAGACACAGAGAAGAACGGAACAGGAAACGAGGACCCATAACATAAGAGCTGAAACGAGGACCGAAAACAGAACAATTAAAGGATCTAAAAGACGGGTCTAATGTATTATGAAAACCACAAAACAGTACAATAAAAGACAATAAAAACGTAATAGGAGAGACAACAATGGAAAAGACAATAACGTCTGCGTCTAAATCAAGAGATAGGTTTGCTTTTGGTCCAAGGTTCGTCGGTAGCTTGGTTAGTTTTTCTGTAGCGAGATCTTAATAATCTTGCAGGGCCGAAATTAAATCTTCTTTCTGTAAAAATGATATCGAATAATGTATGAGGTGAATTCAGCCTTACTTAATCAATCCAAGGGAAATAACCTTTCTTATTGACACATGCTTATCATCGAATTGTTTTAACGATCTTGGTATTGTCAAATCTCCAGACTCCTTGCGTTTTAGATATTGGAGTAAGTTATGCGCTGAAGGGTTTTCGTTGTGTTTAGTACAATTTTAGAGTTTACAGAACTGAAATATACTGTCTTATACATTAAAACTCGCCATCATCGCTGTGACTAGCTCTTGGAAGGCCGGGGACAATACATTGGGTCCGTTAGTTCAAGAAAGCGTACTTGGGGTGTTCCGAAACACAGTAGTTAGCATGCGCCATATGACATTAAGTGAGGGTGTGACAATAACCCCCCCCCCCCCCCAAATATTCAAAGAAAAAATTAACATTTTATAATAAAGCATTCTAAGATATGTCTATAATTTTTCTCCCTTAAAATACATGCATGAAAGCACAAATGCGATTCAACAGATAATGTTAGTGTGTGTGAGTTTGTTTACCCTCACCATCGGAGAGACTATATGGGCGAGCAATTATATTGGTGACAAATACGGTACCATATATGGAAGTGACGGACTATTTTTTTCTTTGATGGTTCCCGTTTTATACATTTTTTATATTTTTATATATGCATTTTCGCCATTCATGAATATCATTTCTTGACAGCTATATATTTGTTTGTGAAATAACTAACAGAAGTTCAGTAAATTGCATCTCCTTTTGCCTTAGAATTTATAGGTATAAAACACATTGTAAAGGGAAAATTGTGCTGTGGCAATGTAATTTGATGCTCGCAGTGTGTTGAAAATTGATATCTCGCTAGACCTTAGACCTTCGTTCTCGCGAGATATCAATTTTCCGAAGCTTCTCGCAGCAAAGTACAAAGCCTCTTAAAGCTAGTACAAACATAATATTCCTTATACATTTAAAGATTAGCTCACCTCTAGTAATGATTCTTTGAGAGCCTTGTTTTCTTCTACAATATTCAGTAGACCATCATCATTGTAAGTGTTCGCATTCTCATCACCTAAATGTAACGGTGGTATTTCTGCGCTGGCAATTTCCCTCAAAGAAGAACTAGATATTCTTGGAGACGCATCGTCCGGCGTTTTCCACCAGTACTGTACCTTTAAGGAAGGTACAAAAAGCGCTATGTTACTGTACATTAAGAGCTCTTAATAGCGTTTATTCAAATTAATGAGTACGTTTTGAACTTAATTAGTATCTATTATTTTTCATTAGAATATACATTGGATATATTTTTCATTTTTGCCCATTAACATGTACTCATTCAAATTAAACATGCTCACATGCTCTTAAAATGTTGTTTTTGTATTGTTAATATGAGATTCTGGACATAGAGTTAAGATACTTTTTAGCAATCAATCACAATTGGTGGTACATTTGAAGCACTATTCCATGCAATGAGAAAGGATAAAGGTGAATAACTTGTATGACATGTACCTGTATGACGGCTAATTTCAGAAGTAAAAGTTGTATATTATACACTACAAAAAACAGAATGAACCTTACATATACTCCTGGGGTCTAGAAAATATACTTATAATGGTGGATCAATGTAAAAACATAGCAAACCTTTGGCAAGAACAGCACTAGCTGAAACAGGAAAATACATGCTGCAATTGACACTGCTACAATTATGCGGGTGGCGTCCGTGCTTCTATGCAGTGACGTAGCTGTCATCGTTGCGCACAAAGTAATTATAATACTGACAAATATGGCGGCGAAAGTATTTGCTGAGTCATTCAGAGAAGGAACGGTAACTCCTTTTGTTTTCCAGGCAAATATCAGGCACGATATTATAAGAGTTATCTTCCATAGCGTCAAAACAATAATCCATACCGGAAGTTTTTCACAAGTGCATTCTTGGATACTCGTCGTTTCATTAAACACGTGAACGTCAACATTTTCGTCTGCAACAATCTGAAGAGCAGAATGTGATGCTTAATTTATTTGTAAACTTAGCAAGATATTTCACCCGAATGCCGTTTGCTGTAAATAAGTGTAACGTGATTTTTATAAAGAACAACACGAGAGCACGTGACGAGTAAAATTCACCAGAAGTTCATTATTTCTTAACTTAAGGTCACAAAATTACAATTGTACATTATCTTTTGACCCTCTGACAACGTAACTGTGAACACTAGCATACTTAGTGTATACAAGTATAATGAGTCTGGAAGTTGGTTATGACGCGATGCGACACACATTTTGTGGAAAACTAACAACTGGTACTTGTTAATATTAATTTATACTTATAATCATAATAAAAAGTGAGTTTTTTACTTTATTAAAGTCCAAAAGCCTTAACGAATAAAATGCCAATATCTTACGTACATTAGCTTGGACACTTAAACAGAAGATATACAAAAGATAATTAAGAAATATACTCAGAAATAAATTGACAATCGTATTGTTGTGCTATTCTTAGTCCAAATTTTGAGTGAAAAGCGTTGCAACGTTTTTTTTTCAATATTGGGTCACTTTTCTCAATCAGAATAATTATTCTGAGACAATGATCTGAAATTCTGTACACAAGTTACTGGGTTAGATCTACATCAAATGTAACATTAATCTCGAAAAATTGTTTCCAGTCTTTCATTAAAAAAAACTCAGTTAAGTCCCTTTAAACAAAATTATGTATTTCAGTTATACAGAATGGTTCGTTATAAAGAATGGTCCGATAGTTCAAAACAGTTTGGACAAAAGAGATATTTTGCTTAACATACCGATTCTGCAAAGAGCTTTGTTTTAGAAGATACCGGGTCAATAGTTTGCCATAATGCCATCAGCGTGAGGTCCACTGCCAGAAGCCCTCCGATGATAGTGATAAGCTTTGAATCTTTAATAACCTTAAATAGATAACAAGCTTATCTTTAATAACCTTAAATAAATAACAAGCTTATCTTTAATAACTTTAAACAAATAACAAACTTATATTTAATAACCTTAAGCAAATAACAAACTTATCTTTAATAACCTTAAACAAATAACAAGCTTATCTTTAATAACCTTAAACAAATAACAAGCTTCTCTTTCATAACCTTAAACAAATAACTAGCTTTTCTTTAATAACCTTCGATAAATAACCGAACTGATTTTTTCTCTAAAAACATATATGTTTGTTTCACAGTCGCATTTTTTCTTTACGTCAACAGAAATTGTTGCCACTGTTTCGCGTTTATCTATTAACAGTCTAAACGGCACCAATGTATAGATATGTGTTGATAAAGTGACTTTTGCTTCACCAACGCCTTTTTAAACGAGTGTTAACATACAGATAATAAATACTTTATTATTTAAACCGACATCATGATCATTTCCTTCATGACCAATTGATTTTAATTGACAATATGACTTTATATTTCATAAGATTGTTATAATGGTGATTGACCAACAGTTGATATTGAAAAATGTTTATGTATGATCAAATATAAAAGGTACATTCAAATGGATCTTTTGGACCACTTGATTAATCTATCTTTCATGCGAAGTAAATAATAAAATTGAAAGGAATTATGGTAAAATATTAACTTATTTTGACTTTCACCTGTTCACTCAAGATATACCTTTTGATGGGCATTTGTCACTTTTATTTTCAATATTTATTGCCTTGGAATTTTTAGCTAGATGTATGACATAAGTACCTATAAGAATAAGAAAAGAGAAGCGTCTTACCACTTTTTTGGCAAACCCGTATTGGAATATACTGTGTACACGCCACGCCTTCGTGCAGACTGGTCCCAATATAAGAGTGATTGAAGTAACTATTATCCAAACACGAATCTGTAACACAGTCAAAGCGGCTTTAAATATAGTGCCTTAGAAAAATATAAATACATGATGTGATAATTATATGCTTACGCCACCAGTACGTAGCCAGACCAGCCTGGAAGTCCGGTGGTGGAAGTGTTGGAAGTTTTCACTCCGGATCATGGCAGTAAGCCACATTGAATTTACCAAATGACAGTTCAGCCACTGCGTCATTCTTGGGCAAGCAGTCCAGCAGTTTACCAGTACTAACAGCCTTTACTTTCGAAAGGAAATGATAACTTCAGTACATGCCAGAGATGTACAGTGCGAATGACCGTAGAAAAGATTTGATCAATCACAACGAAGTGACCTGTACCATCGTCCGGGAATCCAACCAGGGTCACCTGATTTACAGTCCAACGCTGTTCCTATTGAACTAACCGGACGGTTGCCCGGACGTACGTACCTTCGAACCAGACTTAATACTTTCGGCTGCTCTATATTAAGATATACATGTGTGATACTGAATCTTCTAAAATGATAATGAACAGTTTTAAATTCAAAGCATAGCAAGTTCATTTTACAAAAAGACGGTGTTAAATATTTATTAAAATTGTTGTGTAACAAAGTCTTGAAAAAAAATGTCTTTGATTTTTTTTCTGTCACTTATTATGATAAATTCAAAAGTAGGCAAATTCAGTCATGTAAAACATTCGGCAAATTGGTCGGTGAACAATCATTGAATGCTCGTAATAACTTTTTACTTATTAAGCAAAATGTACTATTTTAGAATAATTTTTCAAATATAAAAAAGTAGTACAGAATAACTTCCAAATATTATTAAATGTGTTGAAAGATTGAAATACCTGACATATTGTTGTACGTGTGCGCTGTTCCTGTTCCAAAATAAAGTCAAGACCATACATAAAGCAGACGACACTCAACAAAATGGCGCCAAAACTTGTGACCATGTTCATATAGGGACTAGACATTTTGACGATTCTGTAAAAAAATGACTGAATTAAAAACAATAATTTGACATTCATAAGAGGGAACTTGGATTTAAGCTCGATTAAATAACAAGCTGTTGCAACTTACATGAACCACTTTCGAGTCCGCTTCCTTGAACCAACCAACCAGTACTGGTGTGGAATAAAGAAACATGGTCACGACCCGATTAGGGCTCGAACCCATGATAAGCTTTATTCCTATTTTGAATTCAGTTGGAATTGGCATCAAGAATGCTAGATTTAAGGGTGAACGTGTGTTTCTTGAAAAAAAGGTTCTAAGTTTTAAAAGTAAAAAAAAAGTTTTATGACCTTTTAAGAATCACGAATAAAACAAACTAATTTCTTTGAATGACAGTTTCTTTCAAGGATTATGGAGAAACAAGTATGTGATTTTCTTACAGCGCTAAAACTAAGATATTAACTAAATACGGTCTTAGACTGGGACTCTTACTTGTTTTTCCGGTGGTAGATATGAAAGACAAGGAAGCTGATAGAAATCATCAGTCCAAGAGTTGCGCATGCGCACGCGACCACAAAGGTTCCTAGGCTCACAGACGCCATTTTGTCGTCTGCTGTTCTAATTTCTATGATTTACGTTCAACATGATCTGCAAAATAATACAACGTCGACATGCATAAAGGGAAACATATAAATACTCTATCTCATAAATGTAAATCGCGTTGTACATTTTATTTCACAAAAGTTGTCAAAGGTTTTTTTTTACCTCGGAAGTCACAAAATTGCCTGTCAGCAAATTTTCCTACTTGCCACAATTATAACAACAAGATGGCAATTTTCGGGAGATTTTCTAAATATATTTTCTTTTGAATAACTAAATAAATATTTCAATACACAATTACGAGATCCGAAGAAATAAATATGCAAAGGCATGATTAATAAATAATTTCTATGATACGAAACTTACAATTGTTGCAAATACAAAACATGCTCGTTTAACAGACACAAATATTATCATTATTCAAATACTCACCACTCTTAATTTTCCTTAAATTCCAAGACCCTTATAATTCGAAAACACTATACTATATACGGCATGTGCATTAAAGAATCACTTTGCATAAGGTATATATTAATTTGTCGCTAAGTTACACCTTCTAAATCATGACACTCTTCATAAACGAGCGTGCCATTAAATGTATTTCACAAACATTTTCACAAGACGACGAGAAAACTACGAACAACTATGAAATATTAAGTACTCCATTTTAAAAGCTTTTTCCAATCCACTTTGAACGTTTCTTGAAGTCTTTCATCTTCAGCTACATTCCTTATTGTCAAAGAAACACATTTTTCCCAGAGTTTTTTTCATTTCTTATTCATAAGAAACTTCTATCACTAAAACGCTTTGTCTAGGTTTCAAAATACATTATACATGTTGTTTTTTCTCTCTCAAAAATTTTAAACCTTTTTGTATTCGATCGCACATAAATTAGATGCTATTTCTCTGAAAAGTCCATACCTTACATAAACATCTATATACATGTATTTCAAATTATGTTCCTTTAAGGTTACACAGGTCGAATACGATATTTGGTTGACTTTTGAATTTCAGCGGTCATCTCAAAACAAAATAGTAGATTGTTATCATTAAGGTAATGTATACTTTCGGCACATTCTTCTTCTAATATAGATGTAATAAAGTAAGCTATCTCTTTTAAATCTATTGTTCCGCCTGTCTTTACTTATCAAAATCTGACGGCCATATTTAAATAGAATCATCACCTGTTCGTTTACAAACGCCCCCAGCAGTTTAGGAAAAATCAATAATTATTTAACCGGTTGCTTTTCTCTAATAGAGCAACAAGCAAAAAATGTGCCATTTTCTCCATACGGTGTTAACCATAAAAAATCCTTTCGAAATAAATCGCTATATAATTATAGAAATAATATGGTCCTGTACATATATCATATTAATATAATATCATTAACTATACGTATTGTCTATACATATTGTCATATAGAATGCATGACATAAGTATAAAACGCAATTATCTTCCGATTAATGGCCCGATCGCATTTTTATGCAATTTTGCTACATGGTGATGGTCAGCCAATTGACGTGTAATAACAATCACCTGTCACTGGTCACTTTTGTCACAGGAGGTTGGTGATTTGATCCAGCTTCTTGTCCCTGTGATATAAATGCACGGGTAAATCCTATTATAGCCCATTTAGAAAGATCGTCAAACGACCTTTGTAGGAATGTTATGAAACAAAATTTGACGAAAATAAAAATTCCTGTTATACACACTTCCGTGTATGACTTATTCGTATAACTCATATAAACCTCATATTAAATCTTCCAAATTGATTAATAAAGAGAAATTAAGTGTAAGTCCGCCAAATTAAATAATGGTTCAATTTCGCGTGATATCGTTTTTCCCTCAAATTTCTAGAATTTCTGATTTACCGTTTTAATTGAATTAGAACGCCTGTACATCCTTTAATAACAACACTAATGAAGTTTTCTTTTAAGGAAGCTATTAACGCTGATATTATTTTTATTAAAAGTTATTTTGCACGAACCAACATTGTGTTTAAACACTGTGTTTAATTAACACATAGGCACGATTTAAATATACACTTTACGATCGCGCAACACGCAACTTGTGGCCGAGAAAGCTTCTTCCTTACTGAACGAATTGATTTATCATCATTCATTCTTAGATATTAAATTCCAGCTGCCAGTTCAAAGCAAGTCTCATAATTGTTTTACTACCTAATGTGATATATATTCATGAATTTACCGAACAGATGCGTAGCTTGTAATTTAATACATTATGCAAATGTTAACAATACAAAAAATGAAAAAAATGACCTTTTATTAATATGCGTTTGACCTAAATCCTGTCTTTTCCTGCGTTAAACTTTCCTTAGAATAAGTCCAATTAGACATTCCTTTGAAAACCAGAGAAAAAAAACATGTTTTCATAATCACTTTATTCAAAACGAATTTGTTTTCCTTAAGACGTGAAATCAAAACTGCCATCTAATTCTTTCACAATAAGGAACAAGTTCTCGCCCTGTTATCTCTTTTTTATAAGGAAAGAAAACTTTTCGAAACTATTACATAATACACATGCAAAATGTTTTTTTAGCAAAACAAACAAGAACAAACACATTTCATAGTTGTCCTTTTTCAATGAAAGGACACTCAATGCCATTTTCATCTGTATAAGAAAGAAAGAAAGAAAGAAAAACGGAAAGAAAAGAAAGAAAGAAAGAAAGAAAGAAAGAAAGAAAGAAAGAAAGAAAGAAAGGAAGGAAGGAAGGAAGGAAGGAAGGAAGGAAGGAAGGAAGAAGGAAAGAAAGAAAGAAATAACACATAAAAGTAAAATAGAAAGAAAGAAGAAAGAAAGAAAGAAAGTAAATAAGAATAAAAAAGGAATAAAAGAAAAATACCATATTTGGTACAAAATCATGTTTTCAATTTTACTACATGTATTACCGGTTTTATAACCCCTGGGCTACACCCCTGGTACATGTACTGTGTATCCAGCTGAGAGATGTATTAGTAATGTATACAAGGTTATTGTGCCCCTTAATCTTCTAAAGATTTCCGACAACTTTAAAATCATTTAATTTCTAATTTGGTCAAATTATCACGTAATGTAAATATCCCAATTCTTTCATGGGATACAATAGTAAAATTTTGTTTATGTTTAAAATAATTGTTAACAAAACCTTCAAAGGCGAGGTTTCCGATAAGTGTGCGTCCACTTAAAATTTGAATTAATTAATTATAAATTGACTATGTCGCATGAAAGAATTAAAAAGAAAAAAATAGTTCGTTTAGTTGCGTGGTCTGCTAAAATGAAGATAAAACAGTGTGCTTGGAAACCAAGGAAACTAATTATTGAAAGCGCGTATTTTTTTATTAACCGACGGTTTATAATAAGATTGTTAGAATTCGGTATTATTCGGCGCATTCCGACATATTTCGTTCTTTACAGAAATCAAATAAGCATCCACATAACAAGGAGCAACAAACATGACATGCGTTTTCCGATGATAAATGATGATATCCGTCAGTTCTACAACTTGGGAACAGTCCGGTTAGCCCAGTAGACTGAATCGGGCGACCCGGGTTCGTTTCCTTGATGGAAAAGGTCCATTTCGTGACAGATCTTGAAATCCTTTCAACAAACATTCGCAATGTCCCTCTGCCCTGGCATGTAAAGAAGTTATCAGTTCCTTGCAAAAGAGAAGGTAACTAGCCCTGGTAAACTGCTTGAATGCCTACCTGGAACGATGCCGTGGCTGAACTGTTCTCTGGTCGTGATCCGGAGGGTATTAAAACTACCAACACCACCACCAACAGTTCTCCAACTTCCAAATGTAACATTTTGTTCAACGAACAGTGTTAATGTATATGTTACAACATTTCATTAGCTTTATGGTCAAATCTATAAGCAACGAAATGTTTCCTGCAAGAAAACGTGCTTGATGAATCTGACAGACGGACACCGTCGAACCGCCATAAGAAGTCATATTAATAAACCGCGCTGACCGGAAAGAGTTGTTCATGTACTACTTTATGACATTTCATTTTTAGAACTATTTTAATTAATAAGAGAGAAAATAACAAAAAGAAGTATACTCACAAGAGTTTAAACCTCCAGTTGAACACTTCAGCATGACACAAGGTTTGAAAATTGTGCAAATATTCAAATCAAAAATGAAATCTTAAAGGAAAATCAGAGTTAAGAAATCAAACGATTGTTTTTCTTCATACTGTCTATTTTCTAGTTGAACTGGCCTATTGTACCCGCTAGAAACATGATCACGCTCGAATCATGGGCTCGTTAAACGCCCTATTGTTAGTCTTAGTGAAGCATATAGTGTTTTATGCCTGAGTTGAGAAGTAAAAGTTAAAAATCATTGTTTCACCCTAGTTATTAATGATTATGATTGATTAGATAACATAGCTGGAATGCTTTGTTTTTCTTCTTCATAAAAGGGATTGTCACTCAATTTTTTCAATTTTTTTTATTTTTATAATATTTATTAACACATTTGACCATTTCCAACCCTTGACGGAAACTCTTTGGTTGTGATATATTTGCATTGAATTTCAAACAGAATGAATAAATCTACCGAATTAATAAAACAAGCAAACATTGTCGACAATTAAGTTCCGGGCATGATTAAAAACACATCCGTTTTTCGGTCAAATTTGGCAACTACTATGCAAGGAATCGATTTCGTTAGAAATCAAACATTCAAATATCCACAGCTTGTGTTATATTTTAACATTGTAGTTTAATAGGGCATTGGTCTCCAACATAATTATACATAAAAGGAATGCAGAAAAATACAACGAATCTTACACCTTGACTGATACCTTTTTAAAGATCAAATATCGGAACTGTTGTCTTTCTTCTGTTCAATACGTGGATTTAAACAACTGTTTAAATAGCGTTATCATCATTTTAAAACAAACTTAAATGATGAAGATAAAAAACAAGATTCTTCAATTATATATTTCACACTTGTTACAGTTCATAATCAACATCGCCTAGAACACATTCGTTGATGATGTCATAGCTTTTTGCGAATCTGTCTATGCGGAAGTCGCCCCAAGAGACAACAACCAGTCCAGGTGCTGGAGTACCGTATGACGGGAAACCAGCTTCTCCTACTGTTACTGGAACCAGCTCTTTTTCCGGAAGTGAGAAAGTTAGACTGCTCCATCCACCACCGCCGCCACTTCCGCCTTCCTGGCGTCCTGCACCTCCTCCAAAATTTCCAGCTGTGAAATCAAAGAGATTTATAATACAATGTGCAATGTATCTTTATGGTAAAACAGAGAACATAAAGAAAATATGATTTTCGGAAAAAAAAACAACAACAAAAAAAAAAACAACAACAACCTGGCTACAAAGCAAACTCAGATTTCGGCTATAGGAATATTTTGACTGGCCAGATATCTATCACTACAAATAGAGATTAGAGACAGAGCTCAGGAAAGATGTTTAATGGACGTACATCAGTGCCTGAGCCTGAGGAGTGCAGACGACAAATTGTTCAGTATCAATTTATGAACACGGTTACTTCCCTTACAATTACAGTTGTGAAGACAAGAAAGCAAGGGAGATAAATGCAAAAACTATCAAGTAATTTATGTATAAACGCATTAAAATATAATGTTTAGAATGTGAATACCATACAGAGCACAATGTAAATAAAATTCACTCCGACGAAAATATATTATAAAATATTTATCACAATTTAAAATATGCATAGGCAACCTGCTGTGCAAAACTTGAATGTCAAGAAAACAAAAGACAAAATAACTCAGATAAAATCTAAATGACCAAGAAAATTATTATATTATAATTGTGAGAATAATATGATCGATATTAGGCCCTAATTGATATTAGACATCTATCTTTCCAGTTTGCCAGAAATAAGGCCTATTAAAAATTCGAATGTGAAATAACATGTAGATCTACATTAAATTTAATCTAGTTTCGAGGTTAAAAATAGAACCTCGTAAAATTCGAACGATATGGACAGTTATCTTGTTAAATTACCTTTTTGATAAAAAAAGTACTTGTATTAACATGTTTACTATATTGTACATAATATGCAGAAATAATACAAATCTGATATGCAATAATCAATATTATACGAATATAGATTTATAATATAAGTAGATCGCCCCAGAAAACATCTCGTCTCTGTGGCGCAATCGGTTAGCGCGTTCGGCTGTTAACCGAAAGGTTGGTGGTTCAAGCCCACCCAGGGACGATTATTTTTTTTTCTTTCCCACATTATTTTTGATGTTTTTCTTTTTTAAAGACGTTTGTTTATAGCGCAAAAACTGTCCTGTAATATCTTTTTTTTCAACACAGTTCTTTGTAATTTTGTGTACATAAATATTAACGAAACTACTCTTTTAAAGCTATAATGAAAATTCAAATATTATATATTTTTAGATTTTGTTGCTTTTATAACCTTCTTGTCATTTCTTAAACGTTTTGTAACGTATGGTAGCCTTGTTATTTGATATACATGAATACTGTATGTATACAGAATAAAATATTTAACCGCTATTGTTAATGCCAATATAATATACTGAAAGCTTCATTCATTCTAAGGATTTTTTTTTATCATTTTAATCACGATGTAAACAATAATTTTACAGTCCACGGACAGTAAATATACAGTATAGCTTTATACACATTTAAGTAGATTCTACTTCAAGTATAAACAATTAAAAAAGTTATATATTTCTTCCAAAGTAAAAAACATAATAATTATATATTAAGCTATTTACCGTAACTCCCATTTCCGTCTCTTCCTCCAGGACCCGCGTATTCGTCTAACGTTTCTTGGATACTCGTGCATTCATGCGAGAAACCCCCAGTTCCACAGAACAATTCGGCAGAATAGTCGGGTTCCCCGGTATCAGGGGTAATTTGACCTACACCAGCAGTGCCACCGGTGGTGCAATTGGATCCTGCTGAGCCAGGTCCTCCGTCCATGTGCCCTTTACCGCCTTTTCCACCTGGTACAAACGAATATGGATCAAAAGTTTATTAATAAAAGTGGACATTGTTCAAATAAATTATGGGACTGATAAGAACTCCGCTCGCTGGAATCTTGAATCTTTAATAAAATTTAATATGTGATATATTCTATAATTATTATTTTAAACCGAGCTCTGAGAAATTTTGTACTCCTTGCGATTTCTTACAATCACGCAATTAGACGACTTATCATGTAGAAATAAGATCTATCACATTAAATGTTTTAAATGATCTTATATCTTTAAAATAATGGAGGCGACATACATAGATCTTACTGGTCAAAAAAGGAGATTGGACTAGAGTTATATAGATTAATAAGAACAATAAATATTTCATTTTTGACAGACCTTCGTTGACTGATCCGCCTGTGCCACCAAATGCGTTTAAATGGGAACCGAAACTGCTGTCTCCGCCGTCACCAGCTTTTCCTGAACGTACAATGACGTCATTTTTGACGTCATAACCACCGCCACCTCCACCAATACATATCACGGCTAATAATGTAGCGCCAGGATATACAAAGAAACTTCCAGATTCTCTGTATACTTTATAACCTTTCTTCGGTGTTCCACAAATTGAATATTCTACAAAAAGTGTAGATATCAGAGCTATTTATTACTTTTCAATTTTGTTTTCATTAACCATTAAGTAGGCCGGCAATACAAACAGTCAAAGAACACGTGTTATATATATATGCTTCCATGGTAAAATGTAGAAAGGCTTATATAAAGTAAGCACGCTTAAATAAGAGGTCGGCAATAAAGCTTTTTAACATTTGATTTTGCCAGGTTAATATTTGAATATAAAATAGAGTCTAAATAGAGCTAGATCTATTGAACATTTAGAAGATCTTTTCGCAGCAAAAAATAAAACAAACAACAACAACATATTTCCATTTGCATTCGTAGAAACAGTGTGTACAAACCTTCCTGGGTTTAATCTTTTAGGGAAAAATCTAATAATAATAATAATTCATTCGGTGAGATGCAACCAACATAAATCTTGAGTCTAGATAAATGATTTGCTATGTTCAATGATTGGAGAAGTGCGACTGAATATCTTAAGAAAAGGGACTTAACTCTCATTAATTCTAAATCAGAAATGACGTAGTTAAAGCAGAATTGTCCCGCGACCTTCACATCTAAGTAAATTTAACTTGGTTTTATTTATATTTGATAAAATTCAAATAAACATGTAGAATGGAATCCAGATTAAACCGGTGAGAATAATTAACTAAGTAGATATACATGTACGATTCATTTTCGTAATTTTTCTCTTCGTAAGACAAAATGAGATTCTTTCAAAATAGTTTAAGAATCTAGAATCTAACGTCGAACGATGAATTATTTTTCTTTAAATATAGATCTAGTACTGTACATATCTACTAGTCGCAAAAAAACGTTCACAATCATTTCTTTCATTACTAACATGTTACAAATGATATATAAGTAATAATTCAAGCAATCCAGATAATATTTTTAAACCGAAAGAAAAATTATTCTATAAATAGATTGTTATTTATAGATCACACTATACTGTAGTATTTATTATAAATAGATATTTTAAACACCGTTAGACAAGCTCAGCGCGCTTAGCCGTGATCGTATAGTGGTTAGTACTTCGCGTTGTGGCCGCGACAACCCAGGTTCGAATCCTGGTCACGGCATCGACTGTGATCGTCGCTGTCTCGGCACTGCTGAGCAAATTTTTTTAAACATTTTTAAAACATTTTTAGTTTTAAGAGAGTAAAGTTATGAGCTCTTAGTTTATAAGTATATAACAATAATATTGTGTTATGCCTTAATACAACAAGTGTCGGTTTTATTAAGAACAAGACTAAACAGAAAAACAATACTTTGAAAAGATAACAAACAACAAAGTCTTAACAATATTAAATACATAAAGGATTTTTTCTATAAATACAGGATTTATTTTCATTGAGTGGTATGAAAATAAATATCTTATGAGTGAGTGGTGGTAGGAAGATGAAAATAAATCCTGTAATAATGACTTCCCCTAAAATTTTGTGTATTGACTGACTTTAGAAGAAAGTAGACGGGCTAGACACCAGTGAAAATTCAGAAAAATATGTTCACTGCAGTGGAAAATAAATTTTAACAGTGAAAATACGTACAATGAAAATACGCATGTTATTTCATGAATATTTCTCAATAGTTCATTTAGAAGTACATAATACTTTCTTTGTTGCTGCGAATATGTATGTAAGTAGTACTTATTTATTTATGTTATTAATGTTACAAAGATTATATCAAATCTGAAATAGAGCAGACAATCAAGAAAATGAAACATGTACAATGTATGTTAACACTTTGAAGCAAATGGGCTGGGCCACAAGTTTTACCATCATAAATGAAGGCCCTTCCCAGACAGAATTCAGAGCCAAGACGCTAACAAAAATTTGTTTGTGTAATGAATGGTTAGATTAAGAAACAAAATTTTAATTGTAGCATCAGAGCAAAAAAACAAAACAACAACAACAAAATTCGCCTTGCACTTCCGGTGATATATGTAAGAGAGGAGTATCCGCTAAAACAAACCCTTTAACTAACGCATACATGTGTTTTGGCAGTCATGTGATCCAAAATGATCTCTTACTGATACCATACAGTGAAATATAACATTTTATTTCACTGATTAATTTCAATTTATCCTGATGAACAAAATTAACCAATCATATTATATTACCTAAATTACATGTCGGGGTGTCACTCCATACACCGCCTAAACATGTAATTGTCGCAGACCCTGTTACCGCATGGGCAGGAAAACATTGAACAGTTGCCGTGTACCCACGTGGTACCACCCGACCAGCTTGGTTATGAAGAATATCGCCGTATTTGATATCCGGTATTACACATAGCGCTGAAAACGTTATGGAAAAAATAGCAAATGAATGTAGATACTGAACCACTAAAGTTAATTAATTAATTGAATTTTACAGACAAAACTTATAATCGACGTTGGAATAACGGATACACGTTTTTTGTTGTTGTTTTTTAAATCAGTATTACATAAACAACTATGAGAAAAGGAAGCTTTTTTTTTCAATGGCTGTAAAATAGTAGATTCGTCCCAACAACCTTACCAATAAAAGAAGGGAAAAAACAACAACAACAACAACACAATCTAACTTCAATAAATGGAAATAAAACAACAAAAAATGCGTAAATACCTGAATCGTTATGAACTTCGACAATTTCAGAGACTGAATTTTCCTCACATACAGCTTCTGTCAAGGCAGGTAGACATACTCCTTTACACTCAAAATTCGTACATACAGAATCTGCAAACAAGGTTAGGTTGTAATTCACCAGACAATTGTATTCTCATTCCCCACACCAGGTGCAGTGAAGGGGATACTTTCCACCAGTCTTTGCACTGCAGGGGTGGGGGTTGGATTGGGGAGAGACCATGACCGATGGCTGTAAAGTAAAAATCTCATCTATTCCGCGATAGGAGGAGTGCTTAAAACTGTCTGACCAATTAAAAGATATTGTCACGGGACGTGAAACACGTTGCAGGACGTGATTTGATCTAACTTGACATGATTTACTTGTTTTTCGCTTACAACTCTCGGAACTTAATCGCAAATTCTTTGCCTGAATTTTGAAATACGTTTATTAATCATAATGAGTAGACTGTACTGAGTCATTTGTATCCCGTGTCTGAACTGACATACTGACATATTTCTCGGAAATATTCGAAGATGTTCTCATCATTTACGCTTGTGGTACATACTTCCACATTTTTCCACTCTGTGATTTTCTTTCTTATTTTGAAACGTGGCTGATGGGGTTGCCTTTAAGGGTTAAGGCATTAGAACTGCAGCCACCGTTTATCCCTGCGTGATTGTAAGTGACGGGTGAATGGGTTCGAATTACTGGTGTCTATATATATTATCTCTTAGCTTCAGCAGGTAAAGTGGTTTTGACCCATGGTGTTGCTTTCTGTTTGTAACACCATTCTTAGTATTTCTAATAGAAAAATGTAATATTGTTTTTATTATTCTCTAAAGCAATGAAATATAATCAAATTAAAGTAAAATGAAATAAATGCCTAAATTATACTTAAATGGTATAAAAACACTTAAATCTCGTTTGAGCGCTTTTTCTCCCCTCCCACGGGCCACGACCCTTTACCCACACAGAGTGAAAAATGTGCTATCTGGTATGGATCATTCCATAATATCACACACATAAGCCGGGTGATTCACTATAAGGCCACCAATGCAGGATTATTTCTAACAATAAATAAAAGTAACATATCTTACCATAATTATATTCTGTGGGACTAACATACAGGCTTGTCGGCTTGAATAAGCTCTTTGAAGGTCCAACATCTTCTATCACGTCATAGTTATCTAAATTTACCCTTACATAAATAAAAGAAAAAGAATTTCTTATCATTAATTATCATATTTAAATGCTTTCTGCGGACATAGTTTGAAAAAAAATGCATTTTGTGCTCAAGTTAAATACAGCGTTTGTTACAAGGCCTACGCATTCGTTGACATTCCAGCTTTACTGATGAAAATTGCCCACAATTCCTTTTGCACATAAAACTTGTTTCTAAGCATGTTTTATGAAACAAGAAAGGTTTAATAAATTCTTTTAACCATTTTATGTTGCGTGTTTTTAAAAGAAAAAAAAATCAGTAGGAATAAAAGAAACACTGGAAACGTACATGTCAACCGATGATAGTTCATCTTAAGTGGTAAAGAAAGTCAACATGTGCCCATTCTGTTATTGTTTTAAACAAACGCGAACCTTTCTGAGACGTATAACTACTGTAAACGCGTTATTTATTACGAATTTATAAATACAAAATAAACACAACATAAAAAACTGGCTATAGGCTTAGAACAAAGAAACACCTCTGAACACTCCTGGTCGATCCGTTGATCCAGTAAATGAAGTATTTATCCACTGCTAGGTCATATACCGTGCCACCCTTCAGGTCAAACAGGGCTGTCATATTTTCCCCATCAATACCAAACCTCACAATCTGTGTCTTCTTAGGCTCATAGTAGGTCTCTACTGGAATCTCGTTCACAAAATACACATCTTAAATAATGAAGGAGTTATTTCCATATAAATACATAACAACAGACAGTTTTCCATATAAAGACGCAATAGCAAACCTTTTCATATAAACACGTGATATAAACACGTGATAGTAAAAATATCCATCAAAACACGTGATAATTAAAATAACCATATAAATATATGCCATATAAACAAGTGATAGTAAAATATCCATATAAACACATTACATCAAAATGTTATCCAAGCAAACTAATTTCAGCAAGAAGTAGCCCATATAAACACCAATAATTATTCATATAACCAAACAATCTTGTATACTTACAGTCGTCTGCTGTTGTTACTATTGTAGACAGGACCTGTGATGCTAAACAAATAAAGTCTGTAAAGTTCCCAAAGTTGATGCGCCAAATATTTCTTTGCTCGGTCATGTAAATATACCTAAAATATATTATGACAAAAATGCTAGCTTTTCAAATCTGCTTGTACTCGAAGTGATTAGCCACCAATATAGAGCTAGCCAACATGCATATATGTGCTGTCTTATCAGGTTGTATTATGTTGGATGACCAATATAAAATTTTGATATCCCTAAAATTCATAATGAACAGGGCCAAAAATGGGGCCCCGGGGAATGTCCATATAAGAAATTTAGCTGGTCTAAAGTTATATCAATAGGATGATTGCTGAGCAGCGTTTGAAACTAGATTGTATTTCTCTGATTATTAATTTTAAGAACAGAATGCTTTTATACTGAATGCCTCATTTCGAGTTTTCTATGGTTCTTAAATCACTGCTGTTTTGTTTTGTTAAGGGCCCTTACAACATTTAAGAAAAAAGCCCAAGGATGTCAACATTCTGTAGCCTTGAAGATCTTATTTGGCCATAACATATCTAATCTTTCTCAAGATAAAGAAGAAATTCAGCAAATAAAAAATCCTATTAAATATGGTGATCAAATCCTCCATCTTTACAACATTTAATATTTTTCTTACCCGTGCTTCACGTTGACTGTGACACTATGCGGGGCACCAAGTGCTCTTTTCAAAAGAACTGCAGATTTCATAGTGTCAATATTCATTGCAACAAGGCTTCCGATTGGCTGTCTGTAAAGGTCAAACTCGGGCTTGTTTCTGACCATGTACAATAACAGACGAGATCCTGGCTCAATGAATAGTCCTATAAAATCTGAAAATGATGAGGTTGTTTGTGAAAGTTATTGAACTGTGCTCTGATGAATTACATGTGGCTTACTGTCGTGATCCGGAGTGAAATCTACCACCACTACCACGACCACCACCAACACATCTACACCGTTATTGTTTTACAGACAGAAAGAATGAAAATATTTTGTACTGGATTGCAGTACAGACAAATGAGGGTCAACGTATCCAGCTCCAAGATATATCGACCGGTGACGATCAGGAATTGTTCTTCGTCAGAATAATCCTCAGATAGACGATACAAACCTTGTGCGCATGCAGGAAAAACAACAACTGGAGAAGGCAATGAAAACAACAAAATTAAGTCAATTCATGTAGCTCACCCTCAAATATTCAATCGATATTTATATGTACATATAAATTCAACTTTCAAATTGAATTACAAAATGACCAATAGTATGAGAAGACAAAATGTCTTTTAGAAGCAAAGTCTTAATAATATTGTGTTTCATGACCGAACAACCATTGGTATCTGAAGATTCTGTATAAAGTAAGCAATGTTATCCATTTTTACAAATAAAAACACCTACATTAAAAACATAGCCTTATTAATGGTATTACAAAGGTATTACAAACGGTCCTGCTGCTATTTTATCATTTAACTGGACAGAAAACGCTACGTACATGCGTGTGGATCATATTTGATGACTTCTTGGTTGGTTCCATTCATGAACGACCTGGAAATGGTACCCGTTTCAAGATCAGACCAGTATAACTGAAATTAAAGCGTTATTCAGTTTATTAAACTGCGCATTTTAACGTCCATTTTCAAACTTCGATTATCACCTGTATACACGGCTGCTGTATTTTATTTATTTTTTCATTTTCCTTAAATAAAGGAACTGTTTCATCAAATAAAAGAACTGTGCAATACATATTGCTATAATATTTTCGACATGACCTTAGACAAACATTATTTGCTATATAACCCTTGCAAAGATGACTGGGTAATATGCATTTTGGATTTGTACCAAGTTAATTGCCATTCATTCTTGTAACTTATGTATATCGAGTTTTAACAGCTGCATCAGAACCAATTTATAAAAAAAGTAATAGGAAATAATGAACCAACAACTTTATCAAACATTATTGTTCTTTCGTAAAAATGCTAATGCAAGTATAAATCTTTTAATAAAATTTCTTTAAACTACAAAGAATTTTTAATTTCTGAAGCGGCTCTGTGACTTTTAAAAAGTCAATTGTTACCATTTTGTAGACGGGGTCATAGGCTAACGAGTACGGTTGATGCAGTCCTTGTGTCGGTACGGCTACAAACTGCCTGGTGACATCCGGGATCTGCAATAACTTCGAGTACCTCATGTCCGAGACAAAGATAAAAGTTGTGTAAGGCTCGTCTGAAATTTGTTATTATTTATTTATTTATTCATAATACGTGCTGCACATCCAATATTTCTAACGACAATTTTCATTGGTCAACCACGCGATTCACATTATCTATAAATACACAGCTTATGCAAACCTATGAAATTATATTTAATGAAAAGAAAGCACTTGTTTGGTTTTGTACGAATGGTAGTGCCATTTCAACTTCATGAATTCTCGATTTCATTTTCATGAATTCACATTTTTAACTTCCTGAATTCCCGTTTTCAACATACGGAATTCACGAATTCACGATTTCAGCTTCATGAATTCCCGATTTCAACTTCATGAATTCAGGATTTCAACTGCACGAATTCGACTTCGTGAATTCACGATTTCAACTTCATGAATTCACGATTTCAACTTCACATGAATTCACGATTTCAACTTCATGAATTCAGCATTTCAACTTCACGAATTCGACTTCGTGAATTCACGATTTCAACTTAATGAATTCACGATTTCAATTTCATGAATTCAACTTCGTGAATTCACGATTTCAACTTCACGATTTCATTTTTATGAAGTTGAAATCGTGAATTCGTGAAGTTGAAATCGTGAATTCATGAAGTTGAAATTGCGAAGTAACGTATTCTCACCATTGACGCAGACTTTAAGCATGACAGTCTTGGTGGACTTTCAAGACTTGATCACGTGATCATAAGAAATCAGATAGAATATGTCAAGTTACCTATGATACAATCAGAGTCATTCTTTTTGTAACCTGTGCTACACACGCACGTGTAACTTCTAGATCCTGGTAAACACAGATGTTCACACTTGGCTCGCTTCACACGACATATGTCTGAAAAACACGTGCACAATACATACATAATGAACCGTCTATTACTTTTAGTTGCAGAAAGAATATTAGCCCTTAAATTGCTGAATGTGTGTAATGGAATCGTCCAGCTCTGAATTTGGAACAATCCATTAAATTTTTTTAGGGGATTTGAATAAAGATTTTTTACAAAAATTGAGCTACGAAGAGTACGGATGTTCAGACTGACCTTGTTCTATACTGGTCGCAAAGGCTAATCACTTACGGTCAAATTATCACCTCGCCAGATTATGAGGCTAGCTTAACTCAATCCTCGATTTTTTCTGTAACAATTCCTTATACAGCCGAATTACTGATTTCGAAGGTTAAAAGAAACAACAACAACAACAAATCAACAAACATTAAAAAAACTGTAAAAAAGTATCGCGTTTTATATAAAGTTCTGGAATGCTTTCAAAAAATGGTCAAAAATTTAAAAACAACAAGAAGAAGAAGAACATCAACAAAACCACAAACTTAAGCCCTTATTGACTAAAAGAAAAATATCACCATATATATAATCAATAAATGATAAGATTTCTACTAACCTAGTTTGTTTTTTGGCTGATTGCTAATGTGATGGTACCTGGCCCCGTACCAGTTTCCGTATTTGTAGAATGGGAACAAACTTTCACCGACATTTCTGATACGGCCATCTTTATCAAAGACCTTTCTGTCAAAGACGTGGAGTCCGCTTGATTTTAATTTTGTGTCGGTAAGAACTAGATAATCCTGGAATAAAAATAAAATTAATTTAATTAAAACTCTAATCTAATGGGGATATCATGTAATCATCCGCCATCACGTTTTTGGATAATGATTTTGTTCCACAATGAGGTGTCAGAAGTGATGATGTCACTCTAATTAAGCAGAGAAGGTTATAAAAGGTTTTTATGTATTGATATGTAATGTCCTGAGTTTTTGTAATGAAATGTGAAATTAAGAGTAAAAATAGATTTTCTTTTTGGTCTTTTTTCTATTTTATCCTTAAAATATCATAAAGTACTATGCTTAAAGTGAATGGGTCCACTGTAAACCAATCCGCTTTAAAATTTGGTGGTTTGTTCCAATTATTGAAGCACAAATTTGGATACGAAGAGATTTACAACACGGTTTGACAAATGGGATATACGGAATAGGTGGGGATGAAGTTGGGCGAGTGATGAAAATGCTTGATAAAAACTGACTTACGTGAAGGATTGTCATTCCTGTAAATCTATGTCTAAATGTTTTACGGTAGTGGATGATGAAGAAGGACCCTCCTTTGTCCGTCTCGTAGACAGCCGAATCGTCACATAAATACATTCTGACCTCACTAGATAAAGTGAAAAGTTTATAATATTTAAAGCTGCATGCCTCAAGAAGAGCAGAAATATTTCAAGAAATTCAACCTTGAAAAAAATGCACAAAGATTTTAAGAAAAGTAAAAATACCCACTTTTCAAGAAATAATTTACATGTTATATGCAATTAATAACAGATGTTACGGTAGTTATTCCCGTATTTCTATTGCGTGAGTAATTTGAAAATGTTGAAGGCTCGGTTTGATTGAGCCTGTTCATGGACGGTAATTGAAAGTGCAAGCTACCGTCAACGCCCCCTTGCACCACCGGCTAAAGCAGAATTCAACATTTACGCATGAAAATAGAAAATTTTGAATTTACGGCGGTTATCATGGAACCTTCGCTACATTCCATGAAAAACGGCGTTTGGTGCCCTAGTAATAGACTGCGTGTGCCCTAAACAAGACAACAGTGTGTGTAACTCAATAAAATGGAATTCAAGGGGATCAGACGTTATGAAGCCGCTACATCACAAGACGTCAAAAGACAATTATAAAAAGTCAGCACCATATGCTAAAGGTGATTATACAGTATTCAAGTTGTAATACTTGAACTACCCAACCACATCACAAAGCTAGAGAAGTCAATGATTAGATGGATAAACATATTTGCCACTAGAGAAGTCGATGGCGAGATGGACGAACATACCTATCGCTGGAGAAGTCAATGGTTAGATTGGTGAACATACCAACCGTTAGAGAAGTCAATGGCTAGATTGGTGAACATACCTGCCGCTGGCCAAGTCAATGGTTAGATTGGTGAACATACCAACCGTTAGAGAAGTCAATGGCTAGATTGGTGAACATACCTACCGTTAGAGAAGTCAATGGCTAGATTGGTGAACATACCAACCGTTAGAGAAGTCAATGGCTAGATTGGTGAACATACCTACCGTTAGAGAAGTCAATGGCTAGATTGGTGAACATACCTACCGTTAGAGAAGTCAATGGCTAGATTGGTGAACATACCTGCCGTTAGAGAAGTCAATGGCTAGATTGGTGAACATACCTACCGTTAGAGAAGTCATCAATGCTAGATTGGTGAACATACCTACCGTTAGAGAAGTCAAATGGCTAGATTGGTGAACATAACCTACCGTTACCGTTAGAGAAGTCAATGGCTAGATTTGAACATCTACCGTTGAATCAATGCTAGTTTTGGGTGAACAATACCTACCGTTTAGAGAAGTCAATGGCTAGATCTGGTTGAACATTGTACCTATACCCAACCGTTAGAGAAAGTCAATGCTAGTTTGGTGAACATACAACCGTTGAGAAATCATTGGCTAGATTGGGAACATACCTACCAATGGTTAGATTCGAACATACTACCGTTTAGAGAAGTCAAGTCCAAGCATATATTAAGCGTAAGAAGAAGTGAGTATTGGTGAACATACCTACCGTTTAGAGAAGTCATTGGCTAATTGGTGAACATACGTGTGACCGCGTAGAGAAGTATGGGTAGATTGGTGAACATACCTACCGTTAGAGAAGTTATAAGCGCGTTGAAAGCTAGATTCGGTGAACAACCTACCGTTAGAGAAGTCATTGGCTAGGATTCGTGAACATACCTACCGTTAGAGAAGTCAATGGCTAGATTGGTGAAACATACCCCGGTTAGAGAAGTCAATGGCTAGTTTGGTGAACATACCTACCGTTAGAGAAGTCAATGGCTAGATTCGGGAAATACCTACCGTTAGAGAGAGAACATACCAATGAAGTTAATGGTTTGGTGAACAATACCTACCGTTAGAGAAGTCATTGGCTAGATTCGTGAACATACCTACCGTTAGAGAAGTCAATGGCTAGATTCGTGAACATACTTGAACCGTTAGAGAAGTCAATGGCTAGATTGGTGAACATACCTACCGTTAGAGAAGTCATGGCTAGATTGGTGAACATACCTACGTTAGAGAAGTCAATGGGCTAGATTGGTGAACATACCGAACCGTTAGAGAAGTCATTGGCTAGATTGGGTGAACATACCTACCGTTAGAGAAGTCATGGGTAGATTGGTGAACATACCACCGTTTTAGAGAAGTCAATTGAGGTAAGTTTGGTGAACATATCTGTGTGCTTGGAGAAGTCAATGGCTAGATTGGTGAACATACCTGTCGCTGAAGAAGTCAATGGCTAGATTGGTGAACATACCTACCGTTAGAGAAGTCAATGGCTAGTTTGGTGAACATACCTGCCACTAGAAAAGTCAATGGCTATGTCACGTATTTGATATGTTGTCATCATATTAATTTGAGTTTTTGAGGAACCATCTAGATAAGACCACATTAGTGTTCCTGTAGCAAGTTCGCTCCAGATCATGACCCTGTAATAATAAATACATGCTTATTTCCTTATGTCCTTTTTCTACAGATACTGTTAAAGTTATTCATTTCAAACTGTTATTTACATAAACATTTGTAACATATGATGCCATTTCAGAACTTTAAATATCATTTTTGTAAAGATGTGTCCCCTTTTTAGTTATTTATTTTGCTGTGGTCAATTCTCAAATACTTAATAACTGCAAAATTGGAATATAACTTTTTTATTAAATCTGAATGCATTTTATAAAGGGCGGGTAATATTACAGTTTATTTTTGCTCAGTCATGCCCCCTTTGTAATATGAATTCCTTAGTAAGGTCAACATTTCTTGCAGTACTTGAAATTGAAATGAGTTTCTAGGGGGTGAGGGGTGCATATAAGTCTGAAATCTATTTTATCTAATTATTTCCCTTTTTTGCTTTACAATATTAAGCCTCTTTCTCAAAAACCGTTCAAATTTGAAATATGTGTTGCCTATCAAAGGCGGGTAAGTATGTCAAGCATATTTGCAGAATTATGTCCCCTTTTCTATGTTCGTTTCAATCGAGCAGGTTCTGTCCACAGACAGGTCTTATTTTATCATAGACTAGAAATTTAGGTACAGCGTGCATACTTTTGCACGTTGAATCATTTAAGAAAAATATAGCTTGGACAAGATCATCATTTGCGAAAAGTTGGTAATAATTTGTTTTTTAGATGGAGCGTGGTTTGAAAGCATGCTCTGTTGTTATCTGATTTAATTAATATTATCAACAGCAACATTTCGATCCTTTCCGTTCGTTTTCGGATTACGGATAATAGCTGAGTAGTTCCGAATTTAATATTACACCGTACAACCTCAGTTAAGCAACGCCAAATTTTTGGCTGTTCAAGAGAGGGTGCAGCGATATAACCGTTACATTTAGTATGAAATATAGCTTTGGAAAGCTTTGATTCTGCTGCTGTAAAGAGGGTATTTTTCTACAGAGGGTGTATCTACATAGGTTGTACGGTATTACCTTCTCTGAGGATGTAAGGCTAATGCTTTCGGTTGACCAAGATCCCGATGAAGTATATGTGGAAAGGTTCCGTCCTCCCTAACAACCATAATGTGGCCATATTCGATATCTGTCCAGTACAAGTAATTTCCATCAAACGCAAGACCTAAAAACAGAACAAGGGAAGTAACTCTCACTATTTCAAATTATTTCAATTAATATAACGAACGCAAGAACATACAGAAAGTGAAAACACACTTGTTGATGTAAATTGTAACAAATATATATAATATGTATAATATGGTGGTTGTAGTGAAGAATTTTCACGTGATGTATCAATTGTCGATTATCGTGCCACCATTTACAAAGTCATATTTTTTGTGAAATTTTTTTCTGAGGAATTTTATTTTTGTTAAAAGTGTGATAACCGTGGAATGTTCTTTTTTAAGAAGCTTATTTTGCTTATTTTATAAAGCATATGAGTACATAATTTATTAATAGAATTTAATCAAAATAACTTACTCCCTACTTCTCCAACAGCAAGGGAGACCACTTCTGGCTCACTGTTTTCCAAAGTTGACAATGACTTTATCACCTGCAAAATGATTTCTTGGTCTGCTTTACAAATATTTTCATCAAAACTAGTATGAAGTTTTTTTTATGATTATAGAAAAAAATAAATGCAAAACGCCGCGCGCATGTTTTCTGATCAATAGTGAAACTTTAAGATTTTTTTTAAGAACGACTCTGATGATACTGCTCAAAAAGAATAGCAATTGAGCCGCGTCACGACAAAACCAGCATAATGGGTTAGCGAAGACCAGCCTGCGTAGCCGCGTAGTCTGATCAGGATCCATGCTGTTCGCTTACAAACCCTATAACAAGTAGAGAAACTGATAGCGAACAGCATGGATCCTGATCAGACTGCGCGGATGCGCAGGCTGGTCTGGATCCATGCTGGTCGCAAACCCATTATGTTGGTTTTGTCGTGACGCGGCTCAAAAAACTTACATTAGTACTGTATTCATAGAAGAAGATTTTCATCTTTCGTACATCAGATGCAACGGCTTTCACCGGAAACTTCGTCGACAGGATTTTCACAGGCTTAGCCTGTGACAAGGTCGACCTTGGACCTCGTTCTATGAAGTTCGGCTTGATAGTGTAAATTCCGTCACCTTTCGGAAATAGAAGCCCTGAAAAGTCACTTTCGCCTGCGTTAAAGAAAATAGAATTAGTAAGCACTTTTTTACTTTTTTCATATATATATATATAATAAAAATAATATCATAAAAGAAACATAAAATACAATTTTGAAAAAAAAACTATTTATATAAGTAGAAAAATCTTTTTTGTGATGTAATTACCATACGATCCGCTATTATTTTACACTGTTAAATCTTAAATTTGGACACATACACAAACATGTACGAGACATGCTTCAAACCGTAGATCATCATATTTCGAGCACAGAAAATTAAACTTGCAATGGCATAGAAACAGAAAAAAAACTTATTCAAGAAAATAATTGTGAGACGAGAGAGAATAGGCTTAATGAAAGCTATTTTAAGATCCCGAATTTCTGTACTTAAATTGTCCCGCTTTAAATTTGGAATAGTCCATTCAAAGCTTCAGTGGTTTTCACAAGTGTTCGAAAAGTCTCGATTAGTTCATTTGTATGGTATTTGCCGACTGATATTTTAAGTAAACTTACTACAGTGCCGATCAATAACTTCCGGATCCACTCTGTCTTCTAGGAGGGCGCTACAGAAACAATCTTCGTTATATGAACTCATTGTGCAAACACCCGGACACCCAGACAATAAACAATCGTCTTCGGAGGGAATAAATCAAACAACATAATTCAAGCGGGGTAATATGTGTTTTTCATATCTTTTAAATAAAAGCATTTACACATTTTAAATAGGTTATTCGCCAACAAAGCAAAAGAAGCAGAAGATGGTTCATCCTATTGACAAATGAGTTTGTTTATTTTAGAAAATGTAAAAAGACACCTAAAATAAAAAGTTTTTGAGGAAAACAAAATGATTGCATTTCTGAGGCATAATGGTCCTTTAATAAATGTCATACTCGGTTTTTGATATTGTCTATCTTTGTCTATAAACACCATGGTAAGTGGACTTCCGCTTGACCTAGATTCTGGACCGCTGTTTAATCTGTCCATTTGGTATATGTTTATTTTCCCATCATCTATGTACAGTAACTGATTCTAAAAATATATATAAAAACCCGTGTTCCACAATGGATAGTTTTTATAAAGAAAGTTGGTTTAAATGGTCATAATAAGAATTGTACAAATACTATAAAAATCTGGAAAAGAGGGAAAGCCTTTAGAAGCCATGATGAACACTACAGACAACGTCCATTAGGGATAATGGGAACGTGCAACAGTCCTAAAGACTCGCCCCACCAGGACCGGCTTAGCCGGTATCCAATCTTAAACACTTTATGTGCTTGAAATGACCAGAAAAAAATATAACAACACTGAAGTAACATACGGGCAACTTCCTACAGCTGCTAAATGGCATTTGACACCTCCAGTTGTGTAGAATAAAAATCTTGAAATGGGAAGATCCCTCAGTAGCAATGAAAACAGACAAAATTACATGAAAATTGCAGACTCTGTGTGATTAAAGCCTGTTTAAAGCCCAGTGGGTGGGGTATGGTTTAATTCTTAATGTAAGAAATCATTAGTATATAATTATGTTATATCAGGAGTGATAATTGCTAGAAAATGTTCTAAAATGACATATTATAACTAAATATTTCACACAAAATTTAAAATAATTAATATTTTGGAAAGTTATTCTGATAAATGAACTAAATAAGAAAATCACATATTGCAAATTTTCACGTCTCGTGCACCGCTTACCACAAACACTCCTATGTCGAAATGTTTACTGGTGACAGCTTTTTGCAGGTGTTTCAAATCCTTACCGTCTAAATCACAGGAGCCTATTCCTTTTAGGCCAATATTGTCTTCATATATCCAATATAATCTTAAAAATAAAGTTTTGTCCACTAATTACTTCATATATCCAATAAAATATAAAAAAAAGTTACAAATTATTCTACGATGACTTTTTAGTCCACTTTACGTATGCGAGTCATTCTATACCAAACTTTAATGAGGCTGCGTGACCGACTTGTGAACGAGTCGAACTAGTAAGAATTCTGGCTGCATGGGCTTAAATCTCGTCATGGGCAAGCTGTCATTTTCTTGAGCAAGAAACCTTACACACATTGCAAAGTACTGCCTGAGTCCATGAACGAATACAAAGTGTGTCTATAAACTTATAGTTTCCAACACAATCGAACTAAAATAAATTATGAATGAACTAAAACCAGACTACTTTGACACTTAAAACGTTCCGTAAAGTTCACAAAAAGTGCTCGGCATTAACCCATATCAAATCCCTTTTCTCGATTCAGTTAGTGGGCATCCGTGGCTAAGTGGTCAAGGTCGTTGATTTTAAACCATTTGCCCCTCATCGCTGTAGGTTCGAGTCGAGCAACCGTCGTCAGATCCTACATATGAGATAGCTATGCAACTAGCATAGTCCGTTTGTGCCTGAAATAATGTACAGAAGGGCAACTAAGTTTTGTACGGCCAGAAAGCTGGAAAGTCGCCATTGACCTATACTGTGCTGGTGTGACGTTAAACCCAACCAAAAATATTCAGTTATAAATAAATGTAAGAGCTGAAACAAAGAAAATTTGTGAACATAATTAAAATTACCTCTCCTCAGCATAATCTATGAACAAGGACATAGGTCGTCTTGAAGTTCGACGAAATCGACAAAGTTGCTTAACACGACGTCCGCCAAGCGTAGAACGCATTACTCTAGGATTTTTAGGGTCTATATCCGTCCAAAATAAAAACCTTGATATTTGAAAAAATAAAATAAACAAAAACTATGTATAGATTAACGTTTCTGCCGTATGGTTAACTTAACAACGGTGCAACATAAAACCGCTCTGAAATAATAAAAAATACGAAAAAAAAACAAAAACAAAAAAACATTATGAATCTTTAAATGTTTGATGTTTTGAGTGCTGTTTATATTTTTTTAAAAGGACGGTTTGATTCAATGAACAAACATAATATTTTATGATTTTTATACCATTATCAACAAAACAACAACAAAAACAACAACAGCAGCAGCAGCAGATGGTTTGGAAACAAGAGCTGAGAGCTCGAGACATTACCTTAACTAACCATCTGGTCATCTTTTTTTAGTCTTTTTATACAGACGATTGCATCTTCTATTGACACAGTGCATATCTTTTTATAGTATAGACTCATTTTCCACATTCTATACAATAGCTGATGAAATACATCTTACCCTCTGCCAGGAAACGTCACTATCCCATAAGGCTCGTCAATCTGAGAGTCGACAATCACCACCGCCATGTTTGGCGAGTACATAGACACGGCAAGTATGACGTCATATGCGTCATCCGTCCAATAAACAACGTCGGTGACCCAATCCACAGCAATACCTGTATAAAAAGACCTTGCAATATTAGTATATCAATTCATAATTAGAAGATGATTTAGCCAAAAATCTTTGTCAATATGGTTCCAGTTAGACCACTTGCTTTAAAGGCATGGCAATCTATCATTTGAAATGAATAATAAAGTAGCCAATGAAAAGCTGTTTTACAGTTTGCATTGCATGCTTTAATTCCTAATAAGCCTTTTGAAAATGTTAATAAGGAATCCTTTGATTATTAAATACCACACGCGCATGCGTCAGGTGTGACGTAATATCAGATAATATCATCGACATACCGTTGACCTTTTTCGAAATTCCCTCATATAGATCCCATTCGATTGACAATCCTAAACTGTCGAAAGTTCTTGCCTGTAATATAAAAACTGTTCACGAAATGTTATACAAAATACTATCATTGAACGAAAAGAATTTCTTGCTACCGAAAAGAACAACATGAACCAGTTTATACAAAACGAAAGTACCTAAAAATTACGATAATGTGATATGTGTTATTGAGACTCGATGGTAAAAGGTAATTTTTTCAGATATGTAAAAATTGTTTCAAAACCAGTTGTATCTTTGTAGCAGATGTCCTCATCGTGTTTAAATATTAAAATATTTTGATAGAGTTTACAGGGGCGTGTCACGTTGGGGGCAGGATCTGACCCCAAAGCGTCTGCGACCCCATTGTCTTGAAATCAATTTTCATCAACTTCCATGAAAAGATAATAACAGATTCTCTTGTATTTTGAAGGTCTTTATATTTTAACTGTGTAAACTATATGAAATATAAATTACAAAATTAATATATAAAAAAAGGATACAAAATCTAACAAACCACAATTTTCTGACTAAGGGAATCCACCATCACCATTGTTTGATTACCAATATCAACGTCAAGATGGGTAAACCGGTTTCTGTTCGGTAATGCCAACGCTATACGTGAAGGCTAAATTGGACCAGAAATAAATAATTATAACTTGATAAAAAAATAAATACACAATCGATAGATGCATCAAACTATTGATCGGTCAGTCAGACGGTCGGTCGGTCGGTCGAGTCAATCAATCAAACAATCAATCAATACATACTTATATCTATGATTTTTCCCATTACAAAACACAATATCTGAAAAAGGTGTTTAGGTGCCTTTCTTGCAACCATATACATGAGATGAGAATAACGCAACCAGAAAAACATGGTCAAAATTACCTACACTTATTACTTATTCGCTCGTTTATACTTACCTCAGGAAACGTTTTCTTTCTCCAAAGTTCATTAGTGAGGTGTATATATTGAAATACCATAGTGCCATTCATGTCCTCTATCCAAACCAACCCTGGACCCGAAAACAAGTCTTCTTTATAGTCATGGTTACCTGTTTTGTGTAAATATAATTGATAAAAAGTAAATATACATTTCCTTTTGTAGTTCAATGGTGCCAGCACTATTAAGTGTTGAAATTTGAGTACCGCTCAAGCCGGTGCTAGGGGGCGTGAGGGATGTTGCATTCATGTATAGACTCAATCAAACCGAGTCTGAAATGTTCGTGTAATTTGTTGTAATTAATGCTTCCGAAGGATCACTTTGGGTGTCCAGATTTTGAATAAGACTGTTCCAATTTTTTAAATATTGGGTTATCTTAAATCTATTCAATCTCCAAAAAGTTGTCAATCATAGAATCCCATTAAACACCGAAAACTATGGTGGCTGATTTGTGCCATTTCGCGTTTTCGCCCCGCGACCCCGCCAAGCGAAAAGTCGAGAATTAACAAGTTAAAATGGCGGGGGCGCGGAGCGAAAACACGCTAATTAGCGGGGGCGCGGGGCGAAAAGTCGAGATTTAATTGTAAAACCGCGGGGCCGCGAAGCGAAATATTTATTGTTTTAGGGCGCTTATTAGCGTGCTGTTGTCCGCGCCCCCGCAAAATTATTCTAACAAACTCTCGACTTTTCGCTTCGCGTCCCCGCCGTTTTATTTCTTAAACCTCGTCCTGCGACCCCGCGGGGCGAAGTTTTTTACTTAAATCTCGCCCCGCGCCCCCGCTAATTAGCGTCTTTTCGCTCCGCGTCCCAGCCGTTTTATTTCTTAAATCTCGTCCTGCGACCCCGCGGGACGAAGTTTTTTTCCCTTAAATCTCGCCCCGCGCCCCCGCTAATTAGCGTGTTTTCGCCCCGCGCTTAATTAACACGCTATACACTTTAAAAAGCATACAAAAGGATACTGTCTACAAATGTGTTACCAGATAAAGACGTGTCTAAATTATCCGACATATTGAAAAAACAATAACATTCTAACGCGCATGACACAACTGAAACACCGGAAGACGAAAACACGAAAATCAAGAAATAAAACTTCGCGCCGCGGGGTCGCGGAACGAGATTTAAGAAATAAAACGGCAGGGGCGCGGGCCGAAAAGACGCTAATTAGCGGGGGCGCGGGGCGAGATTTAAGAAATAAAACTTTGCCCCGCGGGGTCGCGGGACGAGATTTAAGAAATAAAACGGCGGGGGCGCGGGGCGAAAACACGCTTATTAGCGAGGCGCGGGCGAGATTTAAGAAAAAAACTTCGCCCCGCGGGGTCGCGGGACGAAATTTAAGAAATAAAGACGCGGAGCGAAAACACGCTTATTATCGGGGGCGCCAAACGAGGTTTAATAAATGTATAAAACGGCGGGGGGCGCGGAGTGAAACACGCTAATTAGCGGGGTGCGGGGCGAAAACACGAGATTTTAACTACAAAACGGCGGGGGCGCGGAGCGACAACACGCTAATTAGCGGGGGCGCGGAGCGAAGAGTCGAGATTTTTAAGAATAATTTGGCGGGGGCGCGGACAAAAGCACGCTAATTAGCGCCCTATAACAATGAATATTTCGCTTCGCGGCCCCGCGGTTTTACAATTAAATCTCAACTTTTCGCCCCGCGCCCCCGCTAATTAGCGTGTTTTCGCTGCGCGCCCCCGCCATTTTAATTGTTAATTCTCGACTTTTCGCTTGGCAGGGTCGCGGGACGAAAACGCGAAATGGCACAAATCAGCCACCATAGAAAACACTTTTACTTGTCGTAAAAGTATACGGTAATAATCTTAAATGACATGACGAACACGAGACTTGCTTAACTTAATCATTTATATCGGAAATAGTTTACACTTTAAACATATAACTTAGATCTAGCTCTTTCAAACAATGATACCACAAAAACAATATCGTTATTTACAGAATAATTTGTAAAAAATAAAGTTTAAATGAAACAAAATGAGCCGTGTCACGACAAAACCAACATAGTGTGTTTGCGACCAGCATGGATCCAGACCAGCCTGCGCATCCGCGCAGTCTGATCAGGATCCATGCTGTTCGCTATCAGTTTCTCTACTTGTTATAGAGTATGTAAGCGAAAAGCATGGATCCTGATCAGACTGCGCGGATGCGCAGGTTGGTCTGGATCCATGCTGGTCGCAAACCCATTATGTTGGTTTTGTCGTGACGCGGCTAAAATGTCAGTAGGCACGTAAATAGAAACAGAATAAGTGTGCAAGCTTTGTCACGTGACTGTGCAGTACGGTTAAACATTACTGTTTCCGACAATTAATGGAGTCAACTTTTATGAATGAAAAAGGGGGTTTTAACTTACATATCACACACGACAGCTCTGCCAGTAAAATACTTGCTATGAGAATAAGTTTATCCATTTTCTACATCAACATAGTCACACATATCTTAAAAGTCCAGATTGTGAAATTTGAGCTTTTGTAAGTGGTGAAACAATGTCACTTGACTTGAATATGTCTATATTGCTTCATTATGGTATATTTAGGTCAATAAACCAAACTTCTCTGGTTACAATATTTTTTATGGCCTGAATTTATAGGAAATGTCATGGTTTGCAATAACTAAGAAACACATTAACACATTTTTCGAAATTTAAAACTAATCTATATGATAAAATTATGGGTTTTATTGTTGTTGTTGTTGTTGTTGTGGTTGTTGTTGTAAAGGCATCTCCAGATCTAGCATGACTCTATTTACTGACAGTTTATTTCGCATGCTCGCCGCAATAATTATTACTTCTATATGGATTAACAACGGCTGACTTATGAACATATTAAACAGGATTTAGAGCAACTTTTATTTTTGGAGTATTTTAGTCCTTACTAGCCGTTTTTGAAGTCCTAAATGGATTGTAAAAAATCTAATTAGGAGTTACTAACTAGATCTTTCTACACAAGATATTATATATTATATATTGAAAGTAATTGTTAATTAAATGCAAAGAATATAAGCTTTCGAAGTCTCTGTAGAGATGTGCAGGACTGACAGATGAGGAAGATGGTCTGAGGCTAGCCTTTTATATGTCCATGATACATCTGCAACGCATGAGCCGCTAAAATTTGCTTTCTTCGTCTACATCGTGGTCCGATCTCGATGTCATCGTACCAAAAATACGATGGCGATACGACGGTATTACAGGGGCTTCACGTAGTCGTGATACCTTCTTGGCATCTTCTTGTTTCCTTCGTATTGTCTCCTTGAGGCGAAAAATGCCAGATGGCACCGATGATCACACGAAGTAAAGACGAAGACTACACGATTTGACAAGATGGCTTCACGATGGCCTTACGAAGCGCAAAAATGGCATACGAATTCAACACGAAAATTAACCTTCGCAATGCCTTCCGGCAATTTTTTTGGCATGCCAAATATTTTGCGACCACTCACGAAGTTGCTGCCGGAGCCTGAAAAATTTAGCCGGGGGTCATACGATGGCACAAGATGCCCTCACGAATGCCCTGATGTTATAACGATCAGATCCGAATTTTAACATTTCCTTATTTGTGTATCCGTCCATCTGGTTTCAATTTCGGGACAGTGTGAAAAAAATATGATTTCTGTTAATCCTGCATCAATCTATCATCACTGGTGCCGGTAACACAGTGTGACGTTGAGATCATGATAATTTATGAGTGCAACACTTGTGTTGCTTTATTTGAAAATGAATCAAGGCTTGTATACCTTTTCCTCCCGGTCTATTTTTTAACTCGAAAGATGGGAAAATTTCAGTTTGATCACGTGATGCTTGAAATTTGTATACAGATTTTTAGATAACTATTTGCAACAACATTATTCCCTTTGTTATTTTTCGTGAGAAAATGATAGACTTTGTAAACCGATTTATTATAGTTACCAAGTATGTTTTCCGACAACAATAAGTGGTGTTGTAATTAAGGCATTATGGATTTTTTTGGTTGCTTCTCAATAAGAGTACAATTTTGTTTCTGTTTTATGTGTTTAACCAGCAGCCATTCGTTGTGTTGTTTGTCTTCAAAACTTAAATCTTATGTTTAATCTGATAAAAGCCAGGCCTAAAAACAAGGAAGGTTAACATGAATACGTTTTGTCGACGGAAAATGGTATAAGTATACGTTTTGCCGACGGATTACGCTCTATGTACACGTGCGGTATATGTTCACGTTTTGTAGACGGAATGCTGTATGAAATACGATTTAAGAATATGTTTTGCCGACGCTATACAGTATATGAATACGTTTTGCCGTCGGAATTCGGTATATGAATACGTTTTGTAGAGGGAATACGGTATATGAATAAGTTGTGTTGAGTGAATACGGTATGTGAATACGTTTTGTCGACGGAATATGGTATATGAATACGTTTGGTTGATGGAATATGGTATATGAATACGTTTGGTCAATGGAATGCGGTTTATGAATAAATTTGGTCGACGGAATACGGTATATGAATATGTTTTGTCGACAGAATACGGTAAAAGAATATGTTTGGTCAATGGACTACGATATAATTATGATGAATACGCGTGGATAACGGAGTATGATACATTAATAATTTGTTCAAAGGAACATAGTACTTGAATACCTTTGGTGTACGGAATACAGTATAAGAATATAATTTTAATAAGGTCCATGAGAAACAAACAATTATTATGAGTAGCTTTACTTGACGTGATAAAGGGTAACACTAAAACGCGAATGGTGTAACGTGAAGATGGACAGATTAAATATGAATATGCTATATATGGTCATCACGAAGACGGACACACATTTATGACTCAGAGATTACTTAACTAGATTTGTCTGTTATATTATGATTTATAAAAGTTATAATTTAACTGACATTGGAAGATATGGATTTCAAATATGCTTATATTTGCTTATTTGTGTGTAGTTTATATAAATTTGGACAAACTGAAATAGGTAACTATGATTGATTTTCTTTTTCTTTTGCAAACCTTACTTGTTTTACATTGCCGAACAGTTTAATAGTGCTTCATTATAATTGAAATTAAAATTGAGAGTAGGTTTCTAGGCAGTGCTTCTTGAAATATTTATAAACTTAATGGATATTGGTATAAGACTTGGATTTTGTATGTTCTAAAACTGGCAATTGTTTATTATGGTATTTTTACTTCAAAACATTATCTCTCACTGCATGCGATGGACTCGGACCCTCTAGAAGTTTAGAAAAATGTTCGAGGCAAAGATGACAGCATTGGCTTTAAGTGGGATGTCTGAAATATTACACTGTGGGGTATTTGATGAAATCTTCCCCACCTAAGCTAATAAATCACCATTCGTTGGACATCAGAAGTTTACTTCGTAAGTCTTCTTGATAAGCTTGGATGACACCATTTGCAGAACATCCAAAGTCATATATTGAGCACCCAATCCCTTCTGCCCCTGTTAAAGTTGAAAAACATTTATGGAACACCCTAGGTCTTCTTCCCCCGGTTGAGCTAGGAACCATTTGTGGAAAATCCAAAGTTGGCTTCCCCGGTTAACCAAAAAAAGTCACCATTTGTGGAGAACCGTGTCTTCTTCTTAAGCTAAGCTTGGAAATCAGCATTTTAGGAGTTTTTGAGGTCCTCTTTCTCAGTAAAGATTTAAAGTCACCATTTGTAGCATCTGAGGTCTTCAATTTCCGGTTGGACGGGAAAGTCACCATTTGCGTGACATTCCAATTCTTCTTACCCAGGATAGAGTAGCCTGTCAGGGTATGGTATTTACAGTGTGGGCGTTACTTCCATGGACATTATTCCATCCAAGGTTATATAGTGAGTGAACAAGCGAAAGCCAAAATAAGTTAGCTTTTTGCAATAATTCAATTTACTTAGCATGAATGATAAAATAGCTCACGTGTCGCAAGGTATTCTGCAAATATCCACCAGATTTTACCTGTAACTTACAATTTATGAACCAAAGTGCACGTGATGCAGACTTTTTATATTTTAGGCAGATTTATATTTTATCCTTAACATTTTCAGTATTGACTGTTTGTAAATTGCTATTATTACAGTTTAACTTTTAAAATATATGTTAATTCAACTCAAATTGACGAAACAAAATAAGCATAATGTCACTTTAAATTTTTCTAAATAATAAATGCAGTAGGTTTAGAATTATTTCCTTTCTATACATTCCAGCCTGTGGGCACCTCAAGGTCGTGTATGAATACAAAGCGAACTCAGTTGATTGCAGAATTCGTTTATACCCGAGTAACGAACTCAAACCTTTCATTGAAGAATCTCACCACTACCGATGGATAGTAACCAGAAATATTTCATCGTCTACAGTATCAGAAATAATTCTTCAGAAAAACAGCGATACATTCAAATACAACAAAACGAAGTACAACGAAGAAGACTATACGTTGCTTATTCGTAATTTGAACCCTCTTGATGTTGGGCGATATGAAGTCGAGTGCTGGACAAGACAAAACATTTTTTACAATAGTGACAAAGTCATGGTCATATTACCCGAACCACCGACACACACGCCAGGTGAATACTTTTAACATTAACATTCAAACATGCCATCTTTATTAATTAAGAGCGGACACCATTAGCCTAGTGGTAATGATAATTCTGTCTACCGAGAGCGTGATCCCTCCCTACTCCAATTGTAATAACAAATAGTCTTACGCATCAGACAGTAATCCGAGCACACGTTTAATGGAGCTTTAAATCTTTGCACCTCAGAAACTCCCTTTGAAACTCAAAATATCTACCCCCTTTTCTGTATGGAGTTGGATACAAATAAACGTATACATGTATTACAAATTACAAATCTGTGCATAATGTCCTGTATGTTGCAACACAGTGTATGTTTTAAAGGAACTCCACTGAGGTCCAATAGCCAAAGATAAAAAATTTTGAAATTCTTTCTTAAATCAACTGGTACATTTAAATTTGAAACCAAACAATAGATGATATAGAAGTATACACGGTCGACTTTTTTGCGATTTTTGGCCGATTTGAGTGAAAAGTGTTTAAACGGTTTTCATTTATTGGGCCAATTTGCACGATAAAATTGATTATTTCTGGGAAACGGAGTAATTATCTGAAACTTTGTACATGATGATTGGTCTAGAAATACATCTCGTTATACAAAAATCTTGAAAAAATATTTTTGGTCCCTTCACATCAAAAAACCTCAGTGGAGTCCCTTTAATACTTCATAATAATAATAACTGTAATATATAATACTTCATTGTATGACTAGTTTCCATTATTACTGTAGAATGAAATATATCCGTGGGTGCTGTTGTTTTAATACTGATAATTATGAATGTTTCAATTTTAACCCTTCAAAAGACAATCCCGTAAATGTCCTCTGATTTTTTAATTAAGAAAATACAATAAATTATTAGTCATTAAACTAGAACGTAACAAGTACCTCGGTCAAAATCTATTGTTATAAAGCATCATTTACACCACACGAAACTAGAATAGTGTTGGTTAAGATATTCGTCCGAACTACTTTAATCTCGGATACTTAAGTTTCAATTGTGTTGGGAGACAGTTTTTAAGAGTTGGCAAGTATTTTTTCTCAAGTTTAACTCTTGACTGTAATGTATTAAGTTTCTATTTGCTATTTTTATACAACGACACTCCTTAAAGATATACTATGCTCATGTTTAAGTAAAATAATTTTATCGCAGAAATTTTATTGAAATCTATGAAATTCTTACCGAATATGTGTAAATTGTATATAAGAATGTGCAAACTATGTATGGGAAGCTGCATTCCCTATTACAGGTCAAGTAAAGTTTGTCCTTTCTTTGAAAAAACTGCCAGATTTTCAATGTTACTTTATATTAAAATTGTACATTGTACCCACCTAGTGTTTAGAGTTTAAAACTACGTTATGAAATCATAACATGTTGATTTTGTTTTTACAAAGAGACAGTGTTGCAATATTCAATATTTCCAAATATCAAATTTGAGAATGAGATATCTTTAAAAGAAGTGATAATAAAACATTTTCTAAAGTTTACTAAAGTCAAAATTGCATTTCATTCAGTAAAATTCAAGAACATGTTTCATAGAGAACTGTGAAATATTTCCAGATACAGTTCATTTATGGACTCAGATTGAGTAACCTTAAAGGCCCATATGGCCTCAAATTGTCTCTTAATTTATTTTTATTTCCAAAAGCTTTTCATTCTTAGTGTCTTGTAAAGATATCCGAAACAACAACAACAACAACAACACAAAAGAAAAAAAACAACAACAAAAAACACAACAGCAACAGACAAAAAACATACATGCCATTTAGTTGTTCTATCTTTTGCTTCGTCTGTTCTTTGCCAATTAGTACAGTTTAAATGCTATGGTACTTTGTATTGAAGTCAAAAAACCTCTGTTTACATTTTGCTACATTCATTGTAAATAAGCCGTGTCACGACAAAACCAACATAGTGCGTTTGCGACCAGCATGGATCCAGACCAGCCTGCGCATCCGCGCAGTCTGATCAGGATCCATGCTGTTCGCTAAAAGTTTTTTTTACTTGTAATAGGGTTTGTAAGCGAACAGCATGGATTCTGATCAGACTGCGATGGATTCTGATCAGACTGCGCGGATGTGCAGACTGGTCTGGACCCATGCTGGTTGCAAACGCACTATGTTAGTTTTGTCATGGCACAGCTCAAATATTTTATGATCAGAACAGGCATTTCATAAGTAACAGTAAAAGTTTGATATTACAGTTTTGAAAATAATTTTGACATTTTCTTACTTGCAATATCACATGACAGAAGGAAGTATCCTCACTCAAGTCAAGTGTCATAGGAAACAGAATAAAAAGCTAGCTTTTTTTTCTTTCTTCAAATTCCAGATTATCATTGCACAGCTTATACTTAACTCTTACCATGCTATTGATCTTGGTAAGGCTTGAAAAATTTTGTTCACCTAACCATTTATCTTTCGTAGGGAAAATTTTAAAATATGTACTGACTGAATAGCGTACAGAGCGCGGCACGGCAATTCTTGGTCTAGAATGGCCGCTTGGGTAGATTTATTCAGTTGCCGCAACAGGCAGCGTAAAGTTTAATTTGATTTTGCATCTCCTTTTCAGGTTCGAAGCCCACAGCGTCTTCATTAGTAGCAGATTCAGGTATTGGAAGCACTGCCATAATTGTGACCTCAATCTGTGCTGTTGTCATAGTGGCGATTATTTCTGGGATTGTTTACCTCGTATTTTGTAAACAACGCGGAGGAAATCAAGGTACTACTTTCAGCATGCTAATTTCCAAAGCAAGCAAAAAAGGAACATGACGTTAAAATTATTTCTTCCATATTGTACGGATGCAATCTGGAATGTTGTATTATATGAAATGCCACAGTACATTAATGAAGAAGTGCTATATTTTCTTATAGAAATCTATTGGACATTGTTTTTCATCGTCGGCGCTCATTTTTAAAATAAGGTAACTTATGGGTGCTCTGCTTTGACGGCAATTCCTAAATTTCCGACGAACAAGAAAAAAGAAATCCGGCAAAATACAAGCCAGACCGCAGCCGTAAAAACGTGAATAATATATGTTAATGTTATAAAACTTACAAATAATGAATATTATCAACAATATACAGTTAGCTTGAAAGTTAGAGTAATTTATAGCGTGTTTACCTATAGTTTATATTTTTTTTATTTCAGGGACCAAACGCTTAGTTAGTGACGAAGGAACATCAGCGTGAGTACTGTTTTATTTCTATATTTCTTTTATTATTACTTTTGATACTATTAAATAAGTAGACCTTATAACCATCGGCAAAAGACGTTTATGACAAACCAGCCATACAATAAGGTTTGAAGTTGAAAACGTTTAACTGCACCCTTAGGAACACCAGTATTTACTGAACGCGACCCTGATGGCATGCATGCCAAATCAGTGTTGTGCTATGTCAATTACATGATTTATGCAATAAGTTTACAATATTAATATAAAATCTAATTGCCAATGCTATTAAGTTGATGACATTACGTTTTTGATTGATGTTCAAATAATCATACGTACACTGTTTGTAGATCGGTCCGTTCCTTATATCCTATTTAGCCACTTAATCATTTTGTTGTTGCCGCACATTTTGAGCAATAGTACATACTGATCTCAAAGAATAGATCAGTTTTATTGCTAAACTTATTCTATTATGTGTCTTTTTCAGAACTGGTCAAGAACACCATGTATGCCACGAAGGTAAGGGTCATTCAAAGAAGATATTTTCTCTTGTTTAAAAAAAATAATTCTTTTTAACTATTTATTTAAAAGTAGTCTAAGTGTGTGCCACTTTTGTAAACTATTCTATTCAACATCAAATAGAGGTATTAATTTATTTTCAGACCCTTTATCTATGTATAATGAAATTGACACTGGCGAATTGGTTTTAGACTATGCGAAAGTAGAGAAGATGCAAGTGAATCCCGTTCATGGACTATCAAAAGAGATGTTTGTTGCTTCACAACAGTTTCATACAGGGGTTGCTATAGCGTCAGATGAAGGCGAGTACGATTTAGTAAACGTAAATGACGCATTTGTTGGCGAAACAGACAACGTTGAAGTTGAGTATGCAGACATTCTTGTCGACCTTCCAGATACTGCAGTTAAAGCCATCGAAGCTGAAGAGGAAAACAATTACGAATATGTTAAAACGGCAACTCGTGATGAAACTATTCTAAATATTCATGACAGCAAGAAAGATACTGTTGAAAATGAAACAAAAGACATGAACTTGGATGCACAAGATAAAAACATTAATGCTGATGTCTACGCAAAGGTTTCCAAAAATAATTCAAACAATGAAGAGATAATCAAGATTGGAAACTGTGATACTGAAAAGCTCTACAACATGGACTACTCCATACAGTTTCCTAGAATAAACTGCTCGGAGATAACAATGTCCCTGGATGAAGACAGAACTGACCAGCAAGCCGAGCAATGCCAGGAACCAGTCATGTACTCTAACCTCGTACCCCGCCCGCACAGAGATAAGGTAACCAACGAATTGAACGACTAAATGAGCCAGTGTTGAAAAAATTGTTTTATTCAAATTAACTTACCTATCTTTAGTATAAAATAATTTTGTAACCAACCCAAAGAAATGAGTTATGAACAATATATATATTACCACTTACACATTGTAAACTTTCACTTACATTTTACTTTGAAGGAGAACAATTTCATGCATACAATACATGATTTTTTATAATTATGGTCACGTAACCGAAGCAAGAATTTTCAGATGTGTTTTCTTTCTGATTTTTAAAGTTATTTTCTGCAGACACGTGCCAGCCGAGCAAGCCGTAGAGAACTTCAGTACGCTGTTTTAGACTTACCTGATCAGGATTTAGAGTCGGATGTAGACAAGGAAAAAGAGTTAATTATTCATGCAAAGTTTCAACCGTGTCATTACGATGCCATTGACTTTGATAGAAAAGCTTTCATCCCTCCAATTAGAAAAGCTCCATCGTCTTGGTACAGACGGAAAAAGCAAAAAGGGAAAACGATGAGATAAATGGACATTTATCTCATTAAACTTGTGAAATGGACTTTTTACTTTGACTTTTGAAATGCTCAAATTCAAAATGTAAAAACTGAACTGTGTAGAGAGTCTGCTTGGATTGTACGGAAAGGTAGAGCATGGCTCTGATTGCAGTATATAAACAAACTGTTATCAATTATTATAGCGAGAGGCTTTTTGAGGGATGGAATAACTTGTTTCAGAGAAATATCTTTATAACTGAGACTAATTGCGATCAAAGTTAATTGAGAGGCGTTGCGAAATGAAGAGTAAATACTGACAGTAGTATGACAGGGGCGAGAAGAGAAAGGTTTTGCTAAAAATAGAGGAAACAAAGAATCCCCAAAGAAAGCCCAACACGGCAAATTGAAAATGTTTGAGACTCGGTTTGATTGAATAGAGAAAATAAGAATCCCTAAAGAGTTAAATTATTTATTGAAACAATAAAGAGGAAAACACAAGTTGTTTAGTCATGCAAAATCAAATATGTTTAAACATGAAAATGAAAAAAAAAAGTTTATAATTACTCTAAATTATTAATAATTGAAGAAGTAAAATCCAGCAATAATTTATCATTTATAATGAATAATTTATGCGTACATGTATTAACAATGTTTTATTTATGCAAAGTCATCAATGATTAAATGTGACTTCATCAAAATTTGGTCATGGTTATGCATTATGAATCAATTTTGAATTAATTCATTAGTGTTTTCTTAATTATTTATATCACTTCGTATGATTGTGTAAGATTGTTTTCAGTTAGCATGTATTATGCAAAATATAATGGAACTTCCTTTTATTGTAAGCGTATATACTGTTTACAGAAATGGGGACTATTTTTTACATATACACATGTATTTGTTGTGTGATATTGTACACTTTCTTGACGAATAAACTTTGTGTCGATGACTGTATCCGCTTGATCTTTTTCAATTTTGTATTCAAAAATATAGAAAAGTGATATAGTAGCCACAACTTCTGTAACTGTGGGTAATGTTTTCTTGTCAACTTATTTGCTAAAACTCGTTATATGACTGTACAATGCTATTTCTGCAAATAACTTACTACTTTGGGAAAAAATCTGTGCGAGCTGAAAGGCATATACAAAGATAGATATTCCCGTGGTATGGACATAGTATCGAGGGCAAATGTTTAAAGATGATGTATCTTAGAGTAAAATAGTTGAGTCTTTTAGTTCTGGAATGAAACAATTGAATCCATCATTTGGATGACCCCAAAGCTCGAATAATTTTAGTATCACTGTCTTGTTCAAGGACCACTCACTCTGACATATCAAATAATAATAATAATAATAATATCTTTATTTAAAGAAGGTTACACATTAAGAACATACAATAACAATCATATATATCTTATTTCCAAAGTGGCCTTCTGAAAAAGAAAACAACAACAACAACAACAACAGGACATTCATAGGTAGAAAAATGAATGTATAATATGTAATTTTTAGAATAATACAACTCATATACTTTCGACAGGCACTCAACAATTTTTGTTTAAACATTTATGTATATTGCATCATTTGTTCGTTCGTTCATTCGTTCGTTCATATATTTATTCATTCATTCATTCACTCACTCATTCATTCATATGAACATCAAGATATGCTTTGTATTTTTCTTTAAAACATTTAAGGTTATTAACATTACGAATATTTAAATTCCGACTGTGTATCAACCAACAACAAATGAGCCGCGTCACGACAAAACCAACATAGTGCGTTTGCGACCAGCATGGATCCAGACCAGCTTGCGCATCCACGCAGTCTGATCAGGATCCATGCGGTTCGCTATCAGTTTCTCTACTTGTAATAGAGTTGGTAAGCGAACAGCATGGATCCTGATCAGACTGCGCGGATGTGCAGGCTGGTCTGGATCCATGCTGGTCGCAAACGCACTATGTTGGATTTGTCGTGACGCGACTCAAATTCTTCTTGCCAAAAATATGAGCATCCTTCAGAAATATATTGTTCTCCAGGACCAGTTTCATTATGTTCAGATCGCGGTATTGGACAACCGGTAATCTCGTATCCCCTTGCCGATCGATGTATTGTCAAACAGTCGCATTGGATCACTTTTGTCCTTCTAACTTACTTGAAAATATTTTAGACTGAACACAAGATTAGTGACAATTGATATGTTACATTTCTTCTGACAATTATTGGTGAAAATATTGTACCTTATCATTTTTCTTGTTCAGGAGCAAACATTGACAATATGTCAGTCTTCTCCATCTGAATCAAACACAAATGTATCACGTTTTTTTTCGGAATGAGATTTTACACGCGTCCATTCGTTTAATCATTTAACTAATTTGCCACAGTTTGACCATTGACTGTTTGACCTGGATGTTTTTCTTTTAAGTTTCCAACACCTTTTAAAGCTGCACGCCTCCAGATAAGCCAATATATTTCAAGAAAACTAATAATTAGAAAAATGCACTAAACTTTTAAGAAAGGTAAAAACATTCAAGATGAAATGTTATCTTTTACATGTTTCAGCGGTTTAAGTATATTATCACCATATTTCAACTGCGTTACTAACGCAGAAAAGCCTGTTCTTGCATATATTGACCAATTTAGGTAATTTTCGTGGGTTGTAAGTGCCGACTGCAATATGTCAATTACTTTATTTATTCACCTCACATTATTTCACTTTTAAATATATTTCCAAATTTTTCATGAATTTAACATGAATCTGAAGGCGTGCTGCTTTAACAAATGCTGTCGCTCAACTCTTCTTATGTTTTCGACGTGTCTGTTTTGGTTTTGACTTTAGTCAATAGCAATTGAGCAATTGAGTAATGAGCATTACTTTCCTCTGCCTACTGATAAGGGTCGTTATCATTTTTATTCAATAAATCACCCTGTGCTGACCTCACAAGGCTTGTTAGAAAATGTGTAGGTTTCATCGTTCTCTAAATGGTGTCACGTCGCCATAAGAAACTCAAGTACAGAAACTAACTTCCGCAAAAAAAAAACGATTCAAAACTGAAAATGTACTAAGGACGATGCAAATACTTCCGCAAGAAAAGTAGTTTACTTGCAGAGAATGCACATGTGCCACACACACAAAAAGTTTATGACATTCCTGGTTTAAAAAAAACAACTTTAAATGCTTAAGTTTCAACAACTACAGAAAGAACAAGGAATGCGGTCCGGGATGGAACATATGCATAAAAAAGAAAACATTATAATTGATTGACAATATAACATCAGCTATGCTTTTAAGAAATTCAATTGAATCTGTCATACGATTATATTTCCTCATTCATTTACAGCTTGATTGGCATTGTTAAGTCATCAAAATGCCATTACACCATATCGTGACCAAACACTTTTGATATCATTAATATGACTGTTTATTATATACTTTTAAATGAAATATTGAGAAATATTGATGAAATAAAATGCGTATTTTCATTTTCCGTATTTTCACCGTAAAAATTTTTTTTCACTGCAGTGAAACATATTTTCCGTATTTTCACTAGTGTCTTGCCGAACTACAATGTACTTTCTTTTAAATTCTACCAGTACTCAAAATTTAAGGGAAAGTATTTCAAATTTTAATGTCCAGAAAGAGAAAAATGTATATAATAAACAGAAAATTCAAGTTTTTTCTATAAATACATGATTTATTTTCATCTTGTGGCATAAAAATTACCATATTTCACTCGTGGCTACCGCCACTCATGAAATATTTTTTTTTCATACCACTCAATGAAAATAAATCATGTATTTACAGAAAAAACTTGAATATCCTCTATATCTCACAGTGTCATAGGTTGTAATATCAAAATTTTGTAGATGTATTATATAGAGGATATTTGTTTAGTTCAGTGTAAGATCGGAATATATTTCACCGAGTGGGCACCAAAAGGTATATTTCACGAGTGGCGTAGCCACGAGTGAAATATGAAACTTTTGGTGTTCACAAGGTGAAATATATTTCGATCTTACACTAAACTAAACAAATTTTCTTTTTATTACATGCAAAGAAACGTTTTAAAAAGACATTAAACCTAATACTGAATGAAAAGCGCGCCAAATAATAATAGAACGTGACGTCATTTACGACGTCACGTCATTAAGTTGGTACCCAGTACTGTGCACGCTGGTATTTCACTGAAACAACGTAAGGGGCGTAATTTCAAAACAGTGAAATTATCAAAGGGGTAATTTCACTGTTTCAAACAGTGAAATTACCAATTTTATATCACTGATATATTTCTATAAACCACCGAAAAGCATGTAATAAATACGTATAATACACTATAAATAAAATATATGATCTGTACAAACAACAACAACAACAGCAACAGCAGCAGCAGCAACAACAACAACAACGTTATCATGGTCAATATCAGAATGCTTTTTTTCGTTAAGTTACCGGCAAGACACAATTGAATAAAATAACAAACAATTAAGTGCAAAGCATGGTTAGTGGATACAATGAGAATTTCACCACAGCTTTTTTGTAAACAAAAGAGCACATGTTAATGTTTGTGGCTGAAACTATTGTTATTCGGTAGGGGCCTATCAATTAACTTTTCAAGTTTATTTTTTATAAAACAGTTTTTACTGATACTAAAGGATAAAAGCTGGAAATGATAAAACATGCCATCACACAAGTATAGTACTTTTAAATTGATTGACTCCATAAAATAGTACCCATTTTGTAAAATACGAGGGTTGCTCAAAATGTAATAGGATTTAGATCCTTGCACAACATGTTCCGAAATTTGTCTCTTGTAAAATTGTGTACGCAAATAAAAAAATATGAACGGTAGAGCTGCAGTCCTATTTCTTTTTGAACAACCCTCGTATTTCCAGATACTTTTTTGTATATTTGTTTTAAGATGAGGTGGCCTTTATAACCGACTAAATAGTCATATGTTTTCTAAGTATTCTTAATATTAGGGTTTGTTTGCTCTTAATGTCTACTTAAAACATGTATATTCACTATAGAAGGAAGCCGGACGTTTTTTTCCATTTCTTACCATATACTTAAAGAAAGTAAGTTAAAAAGAAGATATGATTAAAATGATATATTGATAGAGAATATAACATGGACAGGGTGTATTTTCTCGGATACGTGTTACTTTTGTTGATTGTTAACACCGTTTTGTGTTCCAATGGTAAGTCCTTTTCCGTAAAACTATATTGTTGATCGAAGTACAAGTCTTATTTGTTCCTATATTAACTTGAATTCTTCAGAAAACTGTGTATTGTTAACTACTATTCCTCTCACCGTACATGTGTAGCATTCTTATTTGCTTTAAGCAGTGTATTTTGTTTTATGCTGAATAAAATTCCTATTCGTATTCGTAAGTCGTCTTCCTTTGTAAGTCGGTAACATTTGATTGTAAACTTTTGAAATTTCGTCAGAAATACACTCACGAGTAAGTAAAATGTGACGGGAAGCGCATGAATATTATTTTAAGCATTGTGTTAAAAATGATGTAAAATTCGAGCAGTTTTATCATAGTTTGATGACGGGAAAAAGGAAAACATAAACAAACAAAATCAGTGAAAAAACTCTAATATCTTAAACAAGCAAAAGAATAATGAATTGTTTTTCTTTCTTTCTTTTAACCCCCCCCCCCTTTTTTGGCGTGATCAAATTATACTTTACTCACGAGCGTACACTAGCTGATATACATGTATTTTCATTAATGAAAATATTGAGCAATCTAGTGCTCAGTCTCGAAAATATGTTTCTATCTTATATCCATAAGTGCAATGTAGCTTTAACATGTCTTTGTCGATTGGTTAAGACGTAACTGTTAGCTGGTCCATATGATGACATAATCACCATCATTGTTTTAACTGAAACTATGTTAATTTTCAAAGCATATTTACCGCTTTTTTTCTTCATGGAAATCACGAATATGTACAGTAGGTTTAGGCAATCCGAATCTAAGGCAATCCGAATCACATTAATTAATTTCTTTTCTATTCATCAATAAAAACATAATGATACGTTCCAAATGTTTCAATTGACAAAAGAATAAGATGGTATAATTTTTAAAACAATCAGCACTTGTGTGTAAGGAAATATATGTTTTGAGTGGCCCAGAACTACTTGAATGACAAATTGTTTAGATAACCATTGTTGTAAATGAAGTCTTTTATATTCTAAAATGACCTTTTCTACAATTACTGTATAATGTTTGCCTAATGTTTTAAAACAATCAATTTATTTTTTTTCATGTCGATTTCTATTTTGTATTCATCAGAATTTGATGTCAAGATTTCAAGAAAACCTTTGTAAGCAGTGTAACAATTCTACGATGTTTAGAAAAGAAATGACACCTGTTACTATTAGATTATGTCATATTAATGTTACAAATTAAAGCACTCCACAAAAAGAAGTATCTTTAAAAAGAAACTCGACCGAAGACAAACTTGTTAACTTGCATAGGATAAGCTACTACTAACCATGCTTACCGCCAACAGAACATTTTATTTGTCCTCAATAGTTTTATTTCAGTTCATTTTTACCCGCATTGTTTTTCCCCATTAATTGTCAATTTGAATTTAAACAATATTACTTACATTATTTGATTTTAATCAAAATGGAATTTGATTTGAATAGGAATTTATAATAAAACAATGATTTAGTAGATACTGTACACTAATTTCATTTGTAAATTATTCGAAAGTTCGTTTCAATCGTCTTATGCCCGCTTCGAGAACAGAATATAATGACTAGAACAGCTCAGAAGAGAAACCCAATCGAACGCAAAAGTATCAAAAAGGCGATCTGTCATATTTAATTTCATATATATATATTAAAAAGCTGTTAGAAACATCTAGAAAATATCATTATTGTGTTTTTATATGTATTCTGACTTATATCTTTTTCCAACACTTCTTGCCATCGCGCAATCGAACAGACCTCTGGAAATTCTGCCTATATTCATTTCTTTACTGTTAATTTTAGCGGAAGTCAATGTAAAATCAGACGGCTTTTGGCCGAAAAAATGAAAAAATAACGCTTTTCATAAGGTGATTCCGATTGCCTACACTAACTGTATATTGTATCATAGTTTGGATCCTTTCTATTGAAAATGTGTCCGAGTTAAATCGGTTACATATACATGCAAAATGCGTTAACTGGAGTGCAGGTATTAGTTACCCGCACTCCAGACCATGCCCATTGATTGGCTCATTTTTGCTGGGATTTACCTATTGTGACTGCAGAGAAAGGGAAAGCGATAGAAATATCATATTCACATGCTTGTTCATTGGTTACTTTTTTATGGGGTTTCATATTGTGACAACAGGGAACGTGTTTTTATGTTTGACCATGATACAAAAGAGAAACAACATCAAAACACTTGGAAATCTGATAAATACTAGGGGGCTACGTCCCCTCGTACAAATCAGATATCCTAGTGATTCGATGCTCTTTCTTTTTCTAAAATTTGGGAACTTCGGGCGTGAAATTTTTTTTTCCTGAAAATACGAAATTTAAATGTTACTATCGAATGTAAAAAGGAAAATAAATGTATTCGTTATCATTCGATGAATTCATTTGACAACTTGTTATGGACAAAGAAAGTCTTAAATTAGATACTATCAAAGCCAGATATGTTGTGTTAATCTATGACGATGTAGTATGAAAGAGCGCGTATGTTATGAATAAGCAAAAATATCAACGCCTGTATCCTTGGCCCCATTAAGGCATTCAGATTGTTTAAGCTATTTATAATTAGTCGCCGGTAGAAACCGGCGACTATATTTGTAACAGTTAAATATTATATCTATCGTAGGAGAAGGCCTTAAAATCTGAATATAAAAGCAAATCAATTACTGAACAATTAAGGACCATAATTATTTTTCATAATCTTAAAAATTCAAAAACAAAGTAACGTTGCTAATTGAAATGAAATATACAAATATTGACTTCTTTAAAAGCAACATAACAATTTTCATAAAATGAATTAATAACGTATCCCTATGGACCAGTCAGTGAATTTAGGGATACTTTTACTTTTTTTCTAAGTGTCATGTGTTGCTATTTTATGATTGATAAATCATGAATGATATTTGAAATGACACATTAAAATTATTTGGTTGTTTATATCTTATGAGACCTATTATATTTCATTATTTTATCTAATTATAAACAGATTCTCCCTGTAGAATCACGTGACTACACGTTGTATGTTATTGTTATAAAATCTATTAATAGTAACAGATTGCTGATCAGATAAGACATAATAGTAACTTGTGAATAGTTGAAAAGGTATGGCGCCTGATTAGATGCAAATGTATAAATAAATACAAAGTTATCTTTCATTAATCAGTTTCATATTTTATATCATTAGAAAGGTCGATTTCCTTCGTGCAGGTTACCAAAACCGTATGACGGTAGGGATTCGGAATCGTATTAGATACATAATAATTAAAGAAAACTAATAAAACATCTTTTTGTTAATATTTTATCGAACTGAAAAGCAATTAAACGTTAACTATATCGTATGTAACGACAGGAATATTGATTTCAACTAAATAGTTTATTTTTTCGATAGCGCATAAAAATATTTTTTATGCAGATACCACTTTTACGGTGGAATTGCATTACTTCATGCAATAATTAAAACATATATATTTTCAAATATTCGATGACCGTTAATTATTTGGAGGTAATTATTGGATTCTGAAGTATACAATACGGATTTCGATGTCTGGTATAACGGTATAATTACAAGTAGAATTACAAGAATATCACTCGCCTTAATTACAAAATTTATCAAAATTATGAAATAAAAAAATGCTAGAAATGAAACACGATTTAGCAACTTATGTTTCATATAGTTAAAAGAAATGATAAAAGTTTTATGAAAACTGCAAAAGGGATTTTCAAAGATTCGAACTTGGCCTACTAGGTCACAACTTCGTCATACTTGCCACCACCAGGCCATCGAACAATATTAATTGATTTAATATCTTTACTATCAATTAAATCTTTAGCATTAAACATATAATAAGTTACGTAAACTAACGAAACACCTCCTGAAAATAAATGAGTCTCAGGTTAATAAAGCAGTTCCTTGACAATATTGCTAAGCAAGTTTGCTTCATATATGATGTTTTATTGTGAATGAACAGTTACTCAACATATTGTTTCTCTTTTCTTTAATTTAACTGATATTTTCTTATATTTATGATAAAACAATCATTTTCTATCCGGCGACTTGATGCTTTAGCATCAAAATCTCTACTTGTTTGTATAGTGATAATGAATCAGACGTGGACGTTTCTAAAAATTTGTAAACATGAGGTGATATTCGGAAAATCATGACATAACCCGCGACCAGCGCCACACACAGAGATATAACACTTTACATGTATAATAAAAGATTAAAATAAAACGATTGGATGTCATCAACTTTCTAAAACGTTTATGTGTGACGACATTTTAAAATGACGCATGAGAAATGAGTTTTGCTGTTTCGGATCTGCTTCGGATGTAGTTTTAATTACAGAATGATTCACAAAACATTAAAACATGTATTGCTTTATGGAAATGATACGTAATTATATTGATGATATTTATATCATGCATCAGGGATGTCTTGAACACATATGGACCTCATTTGGAATTTGAGTGGCGAAATTGTTCCCGAATGGTCGAAGATTTGTAATATTATTTTATTCTTTGTAGATATACATGCTTATAGTAAGCTCCTTGATTATTTACATCTGTGTTAAACAACAGGTTTAGCGTCGAAATAATAAGAGTTACAAACCCTAGTTTAGAATAATATGGTTCTCTTCAGGCCTTTAACATGTAACTTCACCGTGGCCGAGGGGTTTGCACGCTCGCTTAGGAATCGAGAGGTCTGGAGTTTAAATCCCAGTTGAGGCAACTCATTTTTATAAAATTATTAATAATTAAATAAACATTGAATTGAATATCAGTGTTGCAATTAGTCTTATAGCCAATGTACTACAGTTAAAACACTGCAAAGCATTGGTGGCACTATACAAAAACAAATTGGTTGATAATCTCACAACATTCACCTTTCTGACATTCTGAGACCTAAACAAACTCAGCGCCTTCTGTGCTTTGATTTATTCTACTTACATGTCAAATATACGGAAACAAAATTACTGATGTCCTGCGGTAACCGAATGATCAGACGGAAGGGCTTCACGATACAAATATATTTTCTGAAGTTAAACATCTTAACAAGTTTATCTATCTTATATTCGTTATCTTATTACATGTGAATATAAACCTTTAGATAAATTGTAGCAAGCAAATACTTATCAGAAAAAGAAACAACAGAAAATTATATGAGTTTTATATGTCCCACTATGTTAACCAATTACCAGTGCCATTTTGTGAACATACGTGTAAAATTTAAATTCCGTTTTTTTTTCAAAATTTCTTTTTATTCTTTCAGATTGTGGTAAACTTTCTTTGGAATACATTCAAACGGGAGAAACAGTTTCCGCTAAAATATATTTCAATCCTTCGGCGGATCTTGAATGGTATACATGGAGACGTGTCAGCCCTTTCAGACACCTAAAAAACTCGACTAAATATGTTATTTCAGAAAATCCGCACACAATCATTATTAAAAACTTAGCTTCCTCTGATGATGGCAGATATGATACTGAATGTACTTTAACAAATGGTATTGTACGTGTAAGCGCAAATGATATTTCTATAAGTCTGAACATAACGTACACAACTGAAGAAACATCACGTGACTCGGTTTCATCACGTGATCATTATTCAACAACGAGACTATTTGAAACTAGAATTACCCAAGGAAATGTGACACCTTCGTCCACAAAAAGAATGTCCAAAACAACGGAGAGAACAATATCGCAATACACTGGATTATTTGCTACTACAAAAATGGAACCAGATAATAGGACACCACTATCTTACACTTCAGAAACGGTATCATCTGAAGGTGGAACACTCTCTTCATCAACAGAAACAGTATCATCTGAAGGTGGAACACTGTCTTCTTCAACAGAAACAGTATCATCTGAAGAAGGAACACTGTCTTCTTCAACAGAAACAGTATCTGAAGGGGCTTCATCTGAAGGGGCCTCACTGCCTTCTTCAACAGAAACGGTATCATCTGAAAGGGCCTCATCTGAAGAGGCTTCACTGTCTTCTTCAACAGAGTTGGAAATATCTACACTGCCTTATACTAAGGAAGTATCATCTCAAGACGTTAGAATGTCTTCTGTATTGACAAGGATTTTCTTTCAAACAAGCAGATTCTCAGAGGATTCAGATACTACTACACCGGACGGAAAACATAAGAAAACAACAGAGTTCATGTCAGCGGAAGGTACGGTGAAACCCGTAAATGATACTACCATAGAGCATGGACCTACAAATGTTTCAACCTCCACATCCTTTTCATATTCTACAATTTCTTCATCAGAAGTTTTATCAACATTATCGACATTATCGACAACTGACAGCATCAATATTTCAACCGGACACGAGACAGGTATGGCAAACCATATTTGAAATTGTAATTTTCATTTCCTTAGACAATTATTTTGTTTTACTTTATGCATTGCAGTGGATTACCGATTTGTTAATAGTTCATACTTCCCTATGAAAAGTCTACTTCCCTTCCATTAAACGGTCAAATAAAATAATTGTAATTCACTATAATATAACGTTTATCTTATTCATCAAAGCAATATTTAATCTATAAGTAACTACAAATCCTCGTGACATCTCAAAACCAACCAAACGAAACAAGCATTTAAGAAACGAATAAAATACGTTAAAAAATTCATTTTCTTATCTTTACAGTAGTGGTGATTCTATTATTTGTTCTAGGAACCTAAGAATTTAAACATTATTTCAAGTTTGATATTTCAATTATATAAGCTTATAACAAAGAGCATAATAATGATATTGACTGAAATAACATCATGTTTCTGCAGACAAAAGTTGTGTAATCGAGGAAACGGGACAGACTACAAACATACTCCTAGATTTCTTCATTACGGTAACGGTTGTCCTGATTATTATTATCATCGTCATTGTTGGATATGGAAAGAGAAAGTGTCGCGAGGAATCATTTCCAGATCGTCGTAATGGTAATTTTTGGTTGTAGATTTGCTTGTTTACGTACGTATCTTAGATACTGAATTAACGCCAAGCTGCATGAAAGGGTTTTGTTTTAACTCGTTCAAGTCAGAGCAACAAATTCATATCCAATTCATATATTCTTTTTAATAAGCAAGCATGAACGATTCAGCCGAAAGTCGGTGTGATGTAGGGCTGAACCTAATGGTATATTAGTTACTTATACTCTTACTGCCATTCTGTTCCAAACTTAAAGCAGGATAAATGCATTTGTTTCCAATTCAAACACTTTTACTGCCATTCTGTTCCAAACTTAAAGCAGGGCAGATGTATTTGTTTCCAATTCAAACACTTTTACTGCCATTCTGTTCCAAACTTAAAGCAGGGTAAATGAATACAATGATGATGTAGTTGTTATTGTTGTTTTTAATGATGATGATGATGATGATAATGATGATGATTACAAAAGAAAAGATTATGCGTAAGCATTGCATACACTTGTATAGAAATGTTATCCTAAGGACAACGTCATATACGTTTTAGGGTTCATGTTTTTTTGCTATTCCAGGTGGTTTTATCCAATCCTGCAAATATGACATACAATGTACTTTTGAATTCTTAATATTTTTTTCTCTTTTAGAGAATATGGAACAAAGAAACTGCTTTACGTGAGTTGAATTTTTATCAATGTCTTGTATCATAGAAAATAAATCAATATCAATTACTTCGAACACAAGAGATGGTGTCGGCTTCAATATGCCACAAAAATGTGAACTCTCACCATACCAGCAATAGTTTTCGCATATTTTGATTTGCTATTATTTAAATGATACCAAAGATAACTTTATAATGATGATGATTATTGTTATATCGATGCTAGCGAGATGTATGGAAGGATTGGCGGATGAACTGGCGGCCGCATGGATAAAAATTATAACGGGGTAGTACATTGATGGCTATTTTATTACCATTATTGTTATCCCTATAGTTCTTTTTAGTCAGGTTAAAGAAATATAGCCACATAGAAGCTTATGGAATGAATGACATCAAAGAGAAAGTTCAGTTACCACAAAAGTGCTTTCATGTTTGTGCATTCGTACGTACGGACGCATGGATGGATGAACGGATTGATGGATTGGCCAAAAGCATCACCATATCCATTAATATGTAATTGTTAGAAGATTATCAAAGTCATTTTACTGTGTCGATTTGCTGAATGCAACCGAACGGATTAATATGATGTTCATTTTTGTCTTTTTACAGGAATGCCACTTATGTCACAGTTGAAAAGAAAACGACAAGTAATATGAAAATTACAAATTGAGCGATATATAGAAACAAAATTCACTTTACTCAAACAATAAATCTGTTATCATCGCACTATAATTTTAATCGCCATAATTATGCTGTTCATCTTATTAAAGGAGCTCAACTGAGGTCAAAAACCTTAAAACATAAAATTTGAACTGAAGTACTTTAATGCAAAAGACTGCAAAGAAAAATAAAGGAATTCACTCAGAATTCATTGAATATCGATTTTGTGTGTGCATTTTTAGCCGATTGAGTAACATGCTTTTCATTTTTATGTCATAATGATTATTCTCGGAAAAAATAGGGGATAGAATTATCTGAAAATTTTCACATAGGTTATTAGTCCAGACCTTTATCAAATGGTACAAAATCTTTGATAAATATTAAAGTCTCGTCAAGTTAAAAAAATCCTCAGTGGAGTCTCTTCATGTCTAATACAGCGTTTGGTTACCCTCTATGTATATCGCATTGTTCGAAAAAAAGTTCTGCATGTTTTACAATGCTCTTTTATGCTCTCCGTATATAATTTTGTGCTCTTAAGACCATCCGTGTAAAAGATTTTTTTTTTTTTTTTTACGGATCTCCGCTCTACGTGTATAATCTATTTTATTCTTGTGTATCTCCGTATTGTTCTTGTGCTCTTGAGGCTCTCTGTGTATAATTCTTTTTCCCCTTGTGTGCCTCCGTATATATTCTTGTACAGTTGAGGTTTTCCGTGTATAATCTATTTTTCCTTGTGTATCACCGTTTATATTATTGTGCTATTAAGGCTCTCTGTATATAATCTATTTTTTCTTTATGTATCACCGTTTATTTCTTTTGCTCTTAAGGCTCTCTGTAAATTAATCTGTTTTTCTATATGAATCTCCGTATATATTACATTTATCTTTAGGGATCATTGTATACATTTCATTCCTCTCGAATAATCTCCGTATCTATCTAAATTCTTTTGATGCAACTCCGTACATATTTCATTGCTCTTGGGGAACTCCGTATATATGTAATTGTTCTCAATAGATTACCATAAATGTTTCATTTCCCTTGCGGAACTCTGAATAAATGTCATTGTTCTTGACGAATTTCCGTATATATTTCACTACTCTAGAGGGATTGCCAACTTTTTACTCCGATGATTCTCCGTACATGTTTTATTATTCGTATATATTTCATTACTCTTGAAGGGCTTCCGTACATACTATGACACTGTTCTCATATGTACACCGTGTAAATTTCATTGTTTTCGATGTAACCTCGGTAAAATTATATATCAAATATATTAATTAAATATATTGATATATTAAATTAATCACCGCATACGCGTAATTGCCCCTTTAGAACATAATTACAATGTACATGTATAATCTACATTTTGTAAGCTTATTTTAATGCATTCCTGATATTGCAATGTAGAATTATCGAGCAATTGAAGCCACTTTATTTAAACTGATTTAAAGTAGAATGACCTTGAATAAAACTGTTACCTAGCTACATTTATCTCTTTGTGTAACAAAACATACGTTTCTGTACTTTATATTTTAGGTTCAGATGCTGGACAAAAGTCGGAGAAAAAAGTTTTTAGCAATACAAAGAGTCGCTATGACTATGAAAATTTTAAGCTTGAGTTTGAATTAGCTGAACATGTGTAATTTACCATGCGAAATGAAACAAACACCAATTAACTAATAAACAAACGGCAGTCATTGCGGATATGCCTGAAATAGACACAAAACACAGGATTGTGAATCGTTGGAAAAATTGTTAAATGTTACTTGTAAAATTCTTATAATAGTAATAATAATTCATACTAGTATGTAACACTAAGATTGATATATATATGAGTCTGATATTACACTTTTGTACGAGGGTTGACCCAAAAGTCCGTGTAATTTTTTATAGGAGGTTCATTTTTAACATCTGTAGATAATAATTTACATACATCACCTGTTAGTTTATTATACTAGTATATCAAATCATTTACAAAATAATTGCTCTATCTACTTAAAATTTTCAGCATTAAGGAAATTAGTTTGCGCTCTCAGGGCACTTCAGATTTTTTTCATTTTGTTATAAATACTTTAAATAGGCTTATATCTAAAATATCTGATGATGTGTCTGCACAATATCTCACATGCCCTTCCTCTGCTTTTCTGATGACATTATCTCAAAATATTTCAGTTAAAATATCTCACAGAAAATAGGAAAGTTAAAATGACGACGTCCAAAAATTTGCGGCGCAGCGAACAGTATTTAGGGATGACTAATGTACCTAATAGAACAGTCCAGTAACATATCCCCAGCATTTGTTTAAGTCATGAACGGACCCAGAGTTCTGCATCAAAAGAAAGCAAAAACGCATAAAAAACCTATTTTCAATAGCTCAAGCAGATGCAACGAGACCGGAAATTCACTTCTATAAAAAAATTAATGTTTGCCATCCAGACATTCAACAGAGTTTAACAATCAAATGATTAAAGCCAGTAATTGACGATTTAAGGGTAAAGCTGAACTGTTTATGCGTTGAATGTCACGGAAAGGCGCTTAAAATAGGTTTATGTCGTCTTTGACGTTTTACGTACGCCACGATCCAAATAGTTGACATGTTATTTATGACATCATTTTGTTGTTTATTGATGATATCTTTCTATGTAAATTTGTGAAAATGTGTCAATTATATGGGTAATAGCAAACTAGTTTCTATTTTATTTAGCTTTTAAACAATATTTTCACAGAATATTGGGACAACCAATAACACATGCTGTCGCTCAACTCGTCTTATGTTTTCGAACGACTCTGTTTTGGTTTTGCCTTTAGTCAAAAGAAGTTAATGAGTATTAATTTCCTCTGCCACGTGGTAAGGATCATTTTAACAAATCTCCATGTGCTTACGTAATATATTCTTGTCACGAAGATGGTTAGAAAATGTGTAGGTTTCACCGTTCTCTAAATGATATCATGTCGCCTTAAGACAAAAACTAAATAAAACTCAAGTAGAGAAATTAACTTTCGTACAAGAAACGATTCAAAACTGAATATATACTACGGACGAAGCAAATACTTTTGCAAAAAAAGGCCAAGTGACGATTTCGATGTATTAGTTCACTTGAAAAGAGCGCACGCCACACCCCAAAACACACAAAAAGTTTATCGAATTCCCGGCGTTTTTCGAAAACTGAAATTTTCAGTTCCTTTACCAACAACAACAACAATTACTGCAACAATTACTGCAATAACAACAACAAAAAGAACAGGGAAAGTGTTCCGAGAATTTACATATGTAAAAAAAAGGAAAACATGATCAATGATTGACTATTTAATAGTTTTTCTCAGAAATTCAATTGAACCTGTCAGCTTCATACATACACATTTGTAATTTGTAAATAAATGATTGTATAGCACAGTATCATGTGTTGTTACATCTACATTTTGTAGATACATTATTCATATATTTGTTTATTTATTTATTTATTTATTATCATCTATTCTATAAGCAGAAATATGTAACAACAATAACAACAACGATACCATGCTCAGTATGCTTTTTTCGTTAAGTTACCGGTACGACACAGTGGACTAAAATAACAATTAAATGCAACTGACTTTTATATTTTCAAGTTTATTTCTATGTTACAGTTATAACTGATATCAAAGGATAAAAGCTGGAAATGACAAAATGCCTTTGCACAAATATGTTACTTTCAAATTGGTGGACCACATAAAATGGTACAAATTTTGAAAAATATTTCCAGATACGTTTTTGTATATTTGTTTTATAATGAAGTGGCCTTTATTACCGACTTGACTGAACTGTCATATTTTTTCAAAGTATTCTTAGTATTTGGTTTTGCTTGCTCATAGTGTCTACTAAAAACATGTCCATTCACTATATAAGGAAGCCGGACGTTTTTTTTATTTGTTACCATATACTTAAAGAAAGTACGTTTAAAAGAAGATATGATTAAAATGATTATATTGTTAGAGAATTTAATATGGACAGGGTGTATTTTCTCGGATATGTGTTACTGTTTTTGATTGTTAACACCGTTTCGTTGCACTATAGTAAGTCGTCTTCCTTTTTCTGTAAAACTATATTGTTGAAGTACAAGTCTTATTTGTTCCAATATTAACTTGAATATTTCAGAAACTGTGTATTGTTAAATGCTTTTCTTCTCACTGTATATGTATATCATTGTTATTTAGCTGTAAGCAATGTACTTTGTTTTATGCTTAATAAAATTCGTATTCGTAAGTCGTCTTTCTTTGTAAGTCGGTAACATCTGATGATAAAAAACTTTTAAAATTTCGTCAGAAATGCACTCGCGAGTAAGTACAATGTGCATAATGACGGGAAGCGCAAAAATATTTCTTTAAGCATTGTGTTTAAAATGGTGTAAAATTCGAGCAATTATTTCATGGTTTGATGACGACAAAAAGGACAGCATAAACAGACAAAAACAGTGAAAATTGCTTTATATACTCACGAGCGTAAACTAGTTACAAGTTTCAACAATTTGATGAAATACGTATTAATTCACAGAATAGAACTTTGTCCTCGTTTCTTCCAGACTTTTTAGATATCTTAAAAGTTTCTGCAGATGATATGAAATGTAAACATCACAAAACCGTATCATCTCAACCATTATGGTGGGATAACCAATGTCAAATTCTAAAAAGAGATAAAACCCGTTTTCTTAGACAGTTCCGAGTTTCAAATGAAAGAGATGATTTACTAAAATATAAAACGTCCAAAAACAAATTTAAAGCACTATGTAAAAATAAACAGTATTTCCACTGCAAAGCTAAACGGAAGCTGTTGGTTGATTCCAGGAAAAATGCAAAACAATTCTGGAATATTCTTAAAAAAGGTAATAGTAAAGAAAATGTAGATTCTTTAATAACATGCAATGAATGGTATGATTATTTTAAATTACTCTTGAATCCTGTAACTGGGGAAATTATTTCTATCGATGAGCAGCCCGTGGTCAATGTGAATCGTGATTACTTAAATTGTGACGAAATTAACGTTCCTATATCCGATCTAGAAATAATGCAAAGTATAGACCATTTACGTGCTAACCGGTCACCTGGACATGATGGTGTCTGCTTAGAAATGTACAAACATTCTATTCATATAATTTTACCATTTTTGAATGCTCTTTTTAATGAAATTTTTGAAAACGGAAACTTCCCAGAAGAATGGAGTCAAAGTATTATCACTCCAATACATAAGAAGGGTTCTAAATCAGATCCAAATAATTATCGAGGTATTTCTTTAATAGATTCCCTATGTAAAATATTTGTTAATATATTAACTATTCGTCTTACTAAATGGTGTGATAACTATAATGTAATTGATGAGTCTCAGGCTGGATTTAGGAAAGGCTATTCAACAATTGATAATATTTTTACTCTAATGTCTTTGATCCAGAAGTACCTATCGAAGAAACGGGGTAGATTTTATTGTATATACATAGATTTTGCAAAAGCTTTTGACAGTATTCAGCATCAAAAAGTATGGGACGCTTTTTCTAGAAATAAGATCAATGGAAAATTTTTAATGATAATAAAATCTATGTATGCAAAACTTAAATCATGTGTTAAAGTTGATGACAAACTAACAAGCTTCTTCTCATAATACTGGAACAAGGCAGGGCTGTGTTGGAAGTCCGATAATTTTTTCACTTTTCATAAATGATCTAGTTACTTTTCTGCATGAAAAATGTAATAGAGGTATTTTTGTATCCAATGACATTGAAGAGTTAATTGCTCTTATGTTTGCTGATGATGTGTCTAGCTTTTCTGACACCGTTGTAAATCTACAGCAGCAAATAAATTATATTGAAGATTATTGTAAATCTGTTAAGATGAAGATAAACTTAAGTAAAACGGAAATCATTGTTTTTAGAAATGGCGATGTTTTGAAACAAACTGAAAAAGGTTTGTTTAATAATGAACCTATTGAAGTTGTTCCATTTTACAAATATTTAGGTGTATTTTTCACGCCAAAGTTAGTATGGTCTAAAACACAAGAGATGCTTGCACTACAATGACTTATAGCTTCTGCTTGTATATTCAATTTTCAAAGACAATTTGGTCACATTGATCCTATTGATATGTTCAAAATTTTTGATTCAATGGTAAAACCTATATTGTGTTATGCGTCAGAAATCTGGGGTTATAATTATGTTGATAAGATTGAATCTGTACAAGTTAAATTCTGTAAACAATATTGTAACTTGTCACAAAATACAACAAGCTATTTTGCTCTTGGTGAATGTGGAAGATTACCTCTCTGTACTATCTATTTGACAAATTGTGTTAAATACTGGTTAAAACTGACACGTATGGGAGATCAAAGGTACCCAAAACATTGTTATTTGATGTTAAAACGACTACACGAATCTGGACGGAAAACATGGGCTGGCAACATTAAAGATATGCTTTTTCAATTTGGTTTTGGATACGTATGGATCTCTCATGATGTCGGTGATGACTTAATATGTTAAAGGAACGCTTATTTGATTGTTATTCACAGAACTGGCATAATGCTGTTGATTCTTCTCCTAAAGCATTACATTACAAGTACTTTAAGACTTTACTTAATGTTGTTGAACGATATTTAAGTTTAGATTTAGCATATAAGTATAGAAGAGCTTTTTCTAATTTTCGCTGTTCATGTCATAATCTTATGATAGAGAAAGGTAGACATATTGGAATAGATAGGGATTTAAGATATTGCTTTCATTGCCTAAAGACAAATATTTATATTATTGAGGATGAATATCATTTTTTCTTTGAATGTTCACTATATAACAATATCAGAGCTGTCTATTTTAAAGATACATGGTTACATCATCATTCCCACCATTTATTTTATTCTCTCATGTCATCAACAATAATAAATGAAGTAATATCTATTGCTAAATATATATATTATGCAATGAATGTAAGAAAGGAAGAGCTAAATACTGTATAATTACAGTATTTACAAATTCAATTCATTACATCTAGTAACAAATGTATTTGCAATTTATCACTCTACTGTTTGATGTATTGTTGTACTTTGTATTTTAGGCATGAGGCCTATATTACTTGAAATAAACTGAAACTGAAAACTGAAACTAGTTAATGAAAATATTGAGCAATCTAGTGTTCAGTCTCGGAAATATATTTCGATCTTACATCCATAAGTATAATGTAGCTTTAACATGTCTTTGTCGATTGGTTTAGACGTCACTGTTAGCTGGTCCATATGATGACATAATCACCATCATTGTTTTAACTGAAACGACATTTTCAAAGCATATTTACCGTTTTTTTCTTCATGGAAATCACGAATATGTACAGTAGGTGTAGGCAATCCGAATCTAAGGAAACCCGAATCACATAATTTAATTTCTTTCCTATTCATAAATAAAATCAAAATGAAACGTTCCTAATGTCACGTTCCATTGACAAAAGAATCAGTTGATATTAGTTTTAAAAATCAGCACTTGTGTGTAAGGAAATATATGTTTTGAGTGATCCAGAACTACTTGAATGACAAGTTGTTTTGATAACCATTGTTTTAAATAAAGGCTTTTATATTTGCAAAAGACCTTTTCTGTAGCTATTGTTTAATGTTTGTCTAATGTTTTGAAATAATCAATTTAATTTTTTTCATGTTGATTTCTATTTTTTATTCATCAGTATTTGATGTCAATATTTCAAGAAAACTTTTGTAAGCAGTGTGACAATTCTGCGATGTTTAGAAAAGAAATGACACCTCTTACTATTAGACTATGTCATTTGAGTGTTATAACTAAAAGCACTCCAAAAATATTGCAATAAAATAACGTTTTTTTATAAGGTGATTCCGATTGCCTACACTAACTGTATATAAAATTTGGGTAATTCGGGCGTGAAAGTTTTCCTCCTGAAAATACGAAATTAAATGTTAATTTCGAATGTAAAAACGAAAATAGATGTATTTGTTGGATGGTAAGATTTTGTGAAAAATCTATATTTTGAGTTCGTTTAGCGACACTGTCCTTATACCTATAGCATGTTTTGGACAAACTAGAACCCACGACGGGGAGAATATCTCGACGAAGAATGTATGAAAATTCGTAACAAAAATAAGTATAAATAGAGAAAGGTCAGGAGGGTATTTTTGTTATTCCACATAGTACTTACATGCCAAATATACGGAAAATCACTGATATCCTGCGGAAACCAATCGAACAGTCAGACGGAAGGACAGACGGAAGATCTTCGCTATACAATAATATCTCCCGAAGTTAACATCTAAACACATCAAAACAAAGTTTATTTATCTCATATTTGTTATCATATGATATAAAACTTTAAATAATCAATAAGTTGAATAAGTTTTAATTTCACAAAATACTGCCTTATAATTTTTCACAGAAAGAACAAATATCCTTATCAGAACAAAACAACAGAAAATTATATGGTTTACGTGTCCCACTTTGTTAACCAATTACCAGTGCCATTTTGTGAACATACGTGTAAAATAAAAATTCCATTTTTAACAATATTTCTTTTTCTTCTTTCAGATTGTGGTAAACTTTCTTTGGAATACATTCAAACGGGAGAAACAGTTTCAGCTAAAATATATTTCAATCATTCGGCGGATCTTGAATGGTATACATGGAGACGTGTCAGCCCTTTCAGACACCTAAAAAACTCGACTAAATATGTTATTTCAGAAAATCCGCACACAATCATTATTAAAAACTTAGCTTCCTCTGATGATGGCAGATATGATACTGAATGTACTTTAACAAATGGTATTGTACGTGTAAGCGCAAATGATATTTCTATAAGTCTGGACATAATGTACACAACACTTGTAGACACATCACGTGACTCGGTTTCATCACGTGATCAATATTCAACAACGAGAGTATTTGAAACTAGAATTACCGAAGGAAATGAATTTTCCGAAACGACACCTTCGTCCACAGAAAGAATGCCGAAAACAACGGAGAGAACAATATCCCAATACACTGGATTATTTGCTACCACACAAAAGGAACCAGATAATAGGACACCACTATCCTACACTACAGAAACAGTATCATCTGAAGGTGGAACACTGTCTTCATCAACAGAGACAGTATCATCTGAAGGAGGAACACCGTCTTCTTCTATCGAAACGGTATCATCTGAAGGAAGAACACTCTCTTCTTCAACAGAAACAGTTTCATCTGAAGGGGCCTTCAGGGTTTTT